TACTATACAGACAATTCGTACGCACATATCTATGAATTTATACGGTCCATATGTGCAGGAAATTCGATGTCGAGGCGATGCGAGAAAGAGAATATGTTTAGACGCAAAAATTTAAATAAATTTTATATAAAAATCCGATAATCACTGCCTCAGATTTTTTATAAAACAAAGAAAGGCAATCAGCGAAGGCCGACTTGTGATTGCTCTTAGATTAATACCTTATGATATCTTATGATTGCTTGGAGCACAGATTGATTTTAAAAACATCATCATATAATTAAAAAGGTTTCAAGTTTAAAATTGACTGTTAATTAAATTGCTATCTTATTAAGATAAAAGATTACATCAGTAATTGTGGCAACAGACTCTATAAACTATATTTTAAGATCTAATTTTTCTATAACCGAATATAACTCACTAGATTAGTGTATACAAAAGGTGTGTTTATAAACATTTCCCACGCGTCCCACTCGACCAACAAAAGCCGGGGGAATAGAAATAGCAGCGAGCCAAGTTAACAGGTTAACAGCCAACTGCTTTCGTTTGATTTTGTTGGTCTCTGCTTTGGCTGGGATCTAATTAAAAATGCATTCGACTTGACCAACTAAGGCGACAACGACAAACAGGGCCAGCCAAAACAGCAGTTTAGCCAATTAGCATGCCCAGACAAACTATTGAAAATAAGGCGAGGGGATGGGGCATTTTTTATTTGCACAGCCCAACCAAAACCACCACCCACTGCCACCCCTTTTTTATATTTTGCCCGCCTGATGCGGACCATTGCCCAACCAACGGGGCAGAAAGTATCGCAAGCAGAGCAGAGTATCTGACAGATGCTCTTCGAATCTTCGCTCGGCAGCCGAAGAAAAACTGATTTATATTAACCCGAAAAAAGGCGAAGAATCTCGAATGAATTTGTAGTACGACAAAGAGGCAACGCACGTTTGATGTTGTAGATACATTCTGGCCATGTTGTTGTTGTCGCAAGTACAAAACGCAGAAAAACGTCGAGCAAGTACGAAAGTATCTCTCGGGTTTTTCGGACGTACGAGTACGAGTACGGGTACGAGTATCTGGGCATGAGTATCTGGTTCCGCGACAGCAACGGCGACGCCACTCAGCACGTTCATTATGGCATTTTGTCAGATACAAATTTCAGAGTCGCTCTCGCCCCGAAAGTGTGCCTGTGTCTGTATCTGTATCTGTGTCCGTATCCCTATCTGTATCTGTATCTGCTGCATCTGTATCTGTGGTGCTGTTGCTGTTGCTGCTGTTGCTGCTGCTGCTGCTGCGGTTTGTTGCGCGATAAGCATACGGATATGTCAGTTAATTATTTGTTTATATTTCGTATTGCCGTGCTCTCTTAAATTGTACCATGGCATACAAACTCGCCCGTTCATGTGCGATGTACACATTTCGTCGCCATTGATACGCGCTTATGTGGTCTAGACTCCAGACTCTAGAGTCTAGAGCCAAAGGGGCTCTACATAAAGTGCCATACCACAATATACATTTATGTACACGGTCCCATCTGTACCGAACAATTCGCATACGATTTTCTGCTGATTAAGGCAAAAAGCAAACTCACTCGGACCACAATTCGCTGGAGTCTGGTTGATCGCACTGGTTGCGATTGGTTTTTTCGAAATGGGTGCGCTGTTTTATGTTCTAGAACCGCTCAAGATTATTCCACACATTATCATCACCTTGGAGTCAAAGCAAACTAATGTTGATGCTACAAAATTGTGTCTATACCTATTACTAATTATATAATTTGGAGCTCACAATGTTTACCTTAAAAGATTCTTCATATTAAATAAATTTTGCATTCAACTTACTTTTTACTCTACTACCCTTCTTTTATGCCTTCTGTCTAATCAAACAAAAGACTTACTTTCATATCAAATTAAACAAACAAATGCTTCAAACTAATGCTTGTTATTAATTCATATCATCGACAATCGAAGTAAATACATATGTTTATTATCCCGCTACTGCTTTTCAGTAAAACATTCAGTACCAGGAGCCAGAAATGTGTAAGTAAATTGATATCCGCATCTTTGGGGGCCACCAGCATGTGCAGCTGCCACCGCGGAGGTGCCTGCAGCAGCAACATCGGCGGCAACATCTACAGCAGCAGCAGCCGCAGCAGCAGCTCAAGCAACAGCGGCAACATGCACAGCAGCAGCAACATGTACAGCGGCAACAGCAGCAAGTTGTGGCAGCAGCGAAACAGGCGATAAGGAAGAAAGCACAGGCGGCCAATTCGAATGGGGGAAAATGGCTGGAAAACCGGTGCAGAAATGGCAGTCGCCGTCTGTCTGCGTCTCCGCCTTTCGCGAAAGCCTCGCTGGTGTTGCTGGTGTGTGTTGCTGGCCGAGGCAGCAACTTGCAACACGCAGTTGCACTGTGAGTGCAGCTGAGCGCCTGCTACAATGCAGCGGTCGAACACCTGGAATGGGGCATCCACCTTCGGGATAAACCGGGATCCAACCTTCCCCCCGCCCAATACGTAAGTCCCATTGCGATTCCCAAGTTCCATCTGCACTCGCATTCCCAGTGTCTCAGGTTGCGATTGCCAGTTTTTAAAGGGCGGTTTTGCGGCCGCAGGGATGTTTCTCTCGGGGGTTGGGAATCCAGAGACATACATATTGGTATTGGGACCGACAAAAAAAAAAAAAAAGAAGGCTGTGGGTGAGGCCACTGTTGCACAGGAGAAAAACCCGAAAAAAGCGTACAACAAAAGCTCGGCCAAAGCGGAAACCTGTTTTGGCCACCGAGCAAAGTGAGTTGAGTGAGCAAAGAGTTAACTTGAGCAGCAGCAGCATTGACCCCAACTGACTCAACGACGAAATATGCCAGTGAAAGAGACGGCAACAGAGTGTCGGACAGAGACGGGGATATTGATGGAGCCTCGGGAGATCTCTCGTATCCGAATAAATGCAGAACATGGTGCGAAATATTTAATACAAAAATGCTGAAAAGGAGTTTGGCCTGACAAAATAAAGCCTCGCTCAAAACCAAATACAGTGGAAGCAGCGTAATGAAGACATTATCAAGGCAATGGTATTCGTCGAGGAATTTTAAGCATAATATGTATAAAATGATCATTACAAAAATCAAAAAGTTTTCTAATAGTAATGCTAGCTATAAAAAATACGTCTTATAAGTAAGTTTTATTTAAATATACATATGTATGTCCGGTTTTTGTTTTATAGAAATTCAAATGTAACTTTTCAATTCGAGTTACGTAGAAATTCAGATTAAGAGAATATATTTTAGAGTTCATCTTATTTGACTTTAAAATTGTTAAATAACGAAGTGTGGATTGCTCTGGCAGTCTGAGACTCGAGTTACGTAGGCCATCTTATGTAAAGCTTAAACGATTCACGACACACTGTAAAGAGAGGTTCATTGCAGCCAGTTTGCGTTACGGAAGCCCACCTGTACCGGCCAACTGCAGCAGACGAAGCGAGGTGAGGCCAAGTAAACCTGTTTACAGTTCAAACTTCGCATTCGATATATTCGATGTGAACTCTTTTTTGTTGCGCTGTGTTCGTCTGGCAGGTTCTGGGGATTCTGCTTCTTCTCGGCCATTCGAGTAGTTTAAGCCACCTACGACGAAGTCGAAGCTTAGGCCGGGTTATCTCCAGCTTAATTGGGTCATTCACACGCGCCACTTGCCGGCCGATAGAGATGGATATACGGCTCCAAAAGGGAGATAAAGATACAGATGGAGGCACCGCTCGAAAACACACACAACTTTTTTTCAGCCTAGCAACAACTTCCGGTGTCTTGAAGACGAAACGAACAAGAAACCAAAGACGAGGCATACATTACATGTTAGACCACTCGAAGACGTACATATGCGAAGACGGGGGCAAAACAAACGGCGGTGAACAGAGGGAGAAACACATATAAAACGACATTTGACAAGCCGGACAAATAACACTGTTTATCAAGTGAAGAAAAGTATTTAAAATGTCGGGTATGCCAGGTATTGTGCTTAAATGCATGCCTTCATCGCCATTCCAATGGAATGCAGTTAAGGGACATATTCGAAAGTGGAACAGTGTGGTTAACACAAATAAATCGAAGATTTCAGAAATTCTACATATTGCTAAAATAGTTTTCCGGAACAGCAAGGAAATTCAAATTGAAATGATTAGCATTAAAGGCTATCTATTTAGCTTGTCAGAATACAAACTTTTGACTACAGATGGCGGGTGTTCAAGCAGATACGGATTCATGTTGGCGGTTTTCAATCATGCTTGAAGTCTTTTCTAAGATGTGAAATAATTATAAAAATTTAACACTCAAAACTAGTCTAAAGCAATAGTTACAAATTAAATTTAGTTTAATTTCCATCCTTGAAATTGTCATCATCAAAAAATAGGTAACTTCTCGAATTGGTTTTGAAGCAGAAGATTCGAGTATCTTGCAGATAAAACTGAATGAATCAACGGTAACTCTCTCCCACTCTCTTTTTGCTACCTACAAGGATCAAACCGAGGATCAAGGATAAAGAAGAAGCAGACAGAGAACCGAAACGAGGCAAACACAAAGTCATCGGTCCAAAGACAAAGGCAAATAAATGAAAAGACACAAGAGAGACGGCCGTAAAAACTGAACCGACAACTTCTGGGTGTGCGAGGGAGACGGGCGCACGGATAGAGCGAGATAGCGGCATGTACATCCATCATTTTCTAGGCGATGCAGGCAACAACAAACTGCAGTTGCGGCTTATGAATTATTTGGCAATTTCAAAGCCTCGAAAAACTGGTCTTGATCTATTTTTAAGAGCCGAGCTTCGGCTCAAGCTCCCTCGAGCATAAATACATCAATCAAACGAAGTTCTACACGAAAAGCGCTTCAAGGTCTTATCAAAACTAAGAAAAAAGGCACGAAACCCGAAATAAAACTGGTTTCGAATGCAAAAACCTCCCACACAGTAAAACGTTACAAACTAATTAGGCGATAAGAGCGTAAAAGTTACTTACCCAGAAGCTGGGGCGATAATCCAATTTGATTTTGATTTGGTTCCTTTTATTTGTATTTTCCTTCTATTTAGCACTGATAATTGCGTTGACTTTTAATCCGACTGCAACAACAACAAGTACGGCACAATTTTATTAGATGGCCAATGCAATAACAACTAGCAAGATACTCTCTCTCCCTCTCCCATTAGTGTCTTTGTGTGTGTGCGAAAATCAAAACAAAACACGGCAAAAACACTCGGGTACACTTAAATCTGAGGGAGTGAGCGAGACGGGGAGAGCGAGAGCGCAAGAGAGAGTGATCCGATTTGCTTTTGTTTTAGTTTAGTAACTGCAACAACATGTTGAATGTGTTTACTCTCGCCCTAACGGTAAATCTAGTGCTGCAATTTAACCACTCTCTTTTCGTCTCAAATTAAACATAAACAATTCGCAGGCGGCGATTCTCCTTGCAACACATTCACACACAGACGCTTACACTCACACCTATGAAAAGGACGCTGTTGAGGGTTGCATTTTGTTTTGTTATAAACAATTTTGGCTTACTTTGTCTCACTAAACACTGGTCATTTTCACTGTTTAAGCCGGAAAACCATCTCGGAAGTCCGGAATGAAATAAAATGCCGCCAACAAATTCGTTTTTTTTTTTTTTTGTTTTCCACATTTAACACAAAACTTATTTCTGTTCACAAATATCGCTTTTCAGTCAGCACAGTACGAATTTACGAGTTTCTACGAGTTTCAACGAATTTCGAGCGCTAAACAAAGGCACAGAAACCCCGTCCGACTGCGGTGTTTGCTGAAAAGGGACAGAGATAGCGATAGAGGTGGAACGTGTGGGTCACAACAAATACAAAAACGATACGGCCGAAATACCGAAAGGCGGGTTCCTCAATTTGCCATTTTGGCATTCTTGCACGATGGTCACTCTGCAGCGCCTTGAGACCTGTTACTTAACAGTCTACAATTTGGAGAGATGTTAGTTGAGAGACACGAAATCTCCTGCAGCCATTTCATCAACCTATCAAAATTGGTTTTTGTCTTTGGTCTTAGCTGAGCGTAGATTCGAGTGATGTTAGTTAACAGAGAGGAAGGGATACAAATATTACTTTAACTCGAGTTCATTGGATTTTCATTCACGATCCTTAAATTTACCTGAATTAATTTAAGGGCAGAATATACTTGTCAAGCTATCAAGGATTTTAGCTATTAAAAGTCCTCTGTTAAGGGTACGCAAACGACTTGTCAGGATCCTTAACCGATCCAGATTTGTATGGCCCTGAGGATCAGGATGTCCTTGATTTGAGTTACTTGAATGAATTGTCCGGCATAGGTGATGAGGAAAAAACTTGGTAAGCAGAGCGAGCACAACACCGAAAGCATGCCCAACACGGAGACGGAATACGATCTGTTTGGCACCCAATTATCAGACTCGTCCACCCCGGAGAAATTGAGCTTTAATCAAGATTGAAAAGTTTAAATTCATTTATTTGTTTGTTCCTTTATTATGTGCCTATTGAGTAAAAAATTGGCTAAAAACATGAGACCCTTAAAATTGTTTAAAATTAAAAAGAAAATCTATACTTTACGTTAACGTAACTTGTTCTTCCACCTTCCAAAGTTGGTTTGAGGCACGGGTCTTAGCATTAGTCAATTTGGCGGTTAATTTGAAAGAAGATCCCAGAAAGCAGCCTAGATTCTCCTGTAAACCTATTTTCTCGTCTTAGTCCAAAACACCATTAAGAAAACATTAGGTTAGTTGTGCCTACAGGTCTTTGATTATGTATTTAGCACGTCGATACAAATAGATCATTGCTTCGTTCGATAACAATACTCGAAAAACAGTTGCAGATAGAATTTGTTCCGTTGAGAGTGGGTAATATTTGTAAATACTTTAACATACAATTTAGTTGGGCTGGCTAACCAACAATTTACGATAACATACGAAACGATCCGCTAACAGGGCTGCAGACATTTGGGAACGGCTGCAATGTAGAATTAACTATTAACGATATTCAGTATTCGAGATTCGGGAGTCAAGAATACACGATATACGATATACGATATTTGCTTGGAGAAATCATAAGAAAATCGACTGGGCGGGCAATATAAATTAATCATGTATTTGTGCGTGTTGAATGCGTCGGTAGATGATGAAATACTTTCGTATGTGCTGCTGTCATGGGCCTCTCATGGGTCTCTCGTCCTTCGTCCTTTGTCCTTTGTCCTTCGTCTGATCGTGGTGGAAAACCAAAAGAACGGAACGGAACGGAACGGAACGGATCGGATGCGGTGCCAAAAGAAGAACTCAAAAGCGAACACAGAGACAGATTCGAGGGTGCGGGTAGAAGAAGAACATATGCGGATATATATGTAGATATAGATGCTCGATGCAGCGATACAGCGATGGATGCAGCGGTAAGAGGCGGAGGTGGAGGTGGTAACCATAGTCCGTAGGCGAGCGAGTCCGAGTCCGATTCCGAATCCGCTTAGGCGACGGCATCGGTGGCGCACTCCTCCTCGACGGTGATGTACATACCCTCCTCCTCGTAGGCCGAGTCGTGCTTGGCCAGGATCCGCAGCAGGGGACGCAGGCGCAGCCACCACTGCTTCTTCGGGATGCGTTGGCTGGAGGGAAAGCAAGGAGCCATAGGTTAGTATCCTCTGATCACAGGATATCCCCCGACTGACTGGCTATACTCACTCGAAGTTCGTCTCGGCAATGAGGTCGACCAAGGGCGAGAAGCGGTACTGGCGGGACACGATGCCCAGCAGAGTGGCCGTCTCCGGCGCCTTGCAGTTCACCACTCCGTTGGCGTCCACGTTCGCCTTGATCTGGGTGGCCAGCCAGTCGACGCACTTGGCGGCCATCTTGGTGCCCATGTTGCGGTCGAAGGGCGTGGGCGACCCGCCCTGCTGCATGTGGCCGAGGATGTTCATCCGGCAGGTGAAGAGGCCCTTGCCCTCCTCCGAGTACAGGCGGTAGATGAAGTCCGTGCTGTAGTTCTCGCTGGCCTTCTCGTTGCGCAGGATCAGACCGCGCGAGACGCCCTCGGCCATCTTGGAGGCCATGTGGTAGACGTCCTGCTGCAGGTCCTTGATCGAGAACTTCTCCTCGTAGATGTAGGCGGCATCAGCTCCTCCCGCCAGCCCGGCCAGCGTGGCCAAGTAGCCGCAGTAGCCGCCCATCGTCTCGATGACGAAGACACGGCGCTTGGTACCCTGCGCCGACTGGCGGATGCGGTCGCAGATCTCGGTGATCTCGTTCAGCCCGGTGTCGCAGCCCAGCGAGAACTCGGTGCCGGGCACGTTGTTCGAGATCGTCGAGGGGATCACCACGATGGGGATGCAGAACTGCGGGTAGTTGTCCCGCTGATCGGCGATCTGTCCGGCGGCATGGTAGCTCTCGAAGCCGCCGATGATCAGCAGGCCCTGGATCTTGAACTCCTTGAGGCGAGCGGCGATCTCCTTGAACTTGCCCTCTGGCAAAGTGCGCTTGGTGCCCAGGTAGGCGCCTCCCTGACCAACCCATCCGGAGACATCGGACCTGGAAGGGGATTCAAATTAAAATAAGTGAGTGTTAAACAGAAGGCAGCAAGGATATTTGCTCACCAGCCCAGCTCGCGGACATTTCCGGCAATGAGGCCCTCGACTCCGTCGTTGATTCCGTAGACGACATCGCCTCGGTAGATGGCATTGCGCACGAAGCTGCGCACAGCGGCATTCATGCCACAAGCCGGCGCTCCAATGTGCATCACGGCTAGGCGGTAGCCCTCGATGCCCTTGCCCTCGGCGTCGAAGTTCTCCTTGGGGGGCTTCAGGCGGGTCAGCATCTTGTAGGTCTCGAGGTTCCGCTCGAAGGAGCGACCGCGCAACTTGACGGCGTCCGCCCAGCGCTTCTCCTTCATGGCCTTGGCCACCGCCTGGGTGCGCTCCACGCACTCCATCAGCGGCACTCGGACCGCCTGGTTGCCGTCCAGCGAGATGACCACCGGCACCGACTCCTTGGTGGCCTCCATCAGGGCCAAGGTGGCCTCGGCACCCATGCGACAGGCCTGGAAAAAATAAATATCATAATTAAGAGTAGAATACAAAGTGAAATCAAAGGAAAACCATTTCTAAACTCTTAATTAAACAAGGATTTAGAATGTTTTATAGAAGGGGTGATAAATTCCTCGTATTTTAGAAATATTCTTACCAAAATACGATCGAAGGCGCTGGGATTGCCACCACGCTGGACGTGACCCAGAACAGTGATGCGGGCATCGTGCTTCAGTCGCTCATCGATCACCTTCTTCACATCCTCGGCAGTGATGGGATGTCCCTCGCGGTCCATGGCTCCCTCGGCCACGATCACAATGTTCAGGCGCTGACCAGCAGAACGCTCCTGTTGGACAATGGTTTGAGTACTTATTTAAATAAAGATACAATATTGTTTTGGAGGATGATACAAAAACTACAACAGCACAAACAATTCATGAAGAGGCTTTGCGAAAGGCCATCGTCACTTCTACGATGTGGATTTGATGTACATATGATTTGCCTTAGAATATTTGAAAAGTTTCGAACAAAATGTGTAACAGCAAGCATGTGAAAACAGTGCGTTTCAGATTGTTAAATCTGAGATACATTCAAGTGGAATGGCTCATTCATTAAGCATTGCATTCAAATGGAAGTTTATGAAGTGATTCAAATTTTAAGTATTTACATGTTCGAAACGCACTGTAGCTGAGTACATATTTTGAAAGTGAAGTATAGACGCACAGTCACAGTAAGTTGGTAAATAAAACATTTATGGAGATTTACAGATCGATTAAACGAGAATGGGCGTTAGTGGAGTTGGGAAAGTTAGTAGGGGAACTTAGTGACGTCATGGGGAGTACATAAAACAGAGACCCAAATACCCAAACAAGTAAGTCAGATGGCTGTTAGAGCTGTTTATCGCCATGGAGGTTTCGGCCGAAAGCCGAACGGGCCAAAAACAAAGCAGTAGAAAATTTGGAAAAAAACCAACTTTGACAAAAATGAACTAGAAATTAGAAATTAATCGGATAGCGAAGGACTCTTGGCCTGACCTGAAGGAGCTTGAGACAGATCTCGTCCTGCCAGTTGACTGACACCGGCTCCTCGGGTATGAACATGAAATCAGCCTCTGTGGCTATGGCTGCCGATATGGCTAAGTAACTAAAAAACAGAAGATTAAGTACAAAATAAAAGATGTTTCACAAATGTTTCGGTTTCGGGGTGGGGGATCATTATTGGGGGATTGGGAGTATCTGGGGTCAACTTAAGATTAGTTACAATATGATATTCGTATGCTGGTACAGACAAAAACTGTGCATAGTACATTCCGTATATCTGGATATATATATATATTCTTGTGCAGTAAGCGGAGTATAAGAAAAAGCATTTGTGTGGCATGTGTCGCTCTCAATCAGTGTCTTAAAAAAAAAGTTGTACTTTAAAGTACTTGTGTTCTACGAAATAAAGCAAAGTCCACTGCACTGAAGTTAAAACCTTTATCTACATGCAGGAATAACATTCTCGATACCTATTGTAGTAATTTGATTATCTTATCTTCAGATTGTATTTCTTTTTTTCTAACAAATCTTATTCTGTTTTTGGGGGCCTAAATCTTGTTTATTTCTTTTTAAAATTTGGAAGCAATTATCGAGAATGTATTCCTGATTTTATAGCGATTCTATTCTATTCTCAGTGCAGATGGAATGGGAAATGGAGCTGCATCTTGCCTGGGCCAGCTGGGAGCAGAGCCTGTCTGGCCAATCGACCTTGGGCGGCATTTCGGGAATGAAAATGAAATCGGCCTCGCACGCCAGTCCGCCCACAAGAGCTAAATAGCTGCAAAAATACATTACAAAATATTAGTCAAAGGGGGAAGGGGGTTGTGGTTTCTTCTTCTGGGGGAGATGGGAACACTACGATCATTCGAAGGGGTTTTCACTTTTTCACTTTCTTGGGCAAGAAACAGAAATGTGCGAAATGATTCGAGGACATTCAACAGATTTCCGTTGGGGCTTGCCTGTTCCAACTTGAGGACAAGTCGATCGGGCCAATCTTGCGGCGGCGGATATTCGGGCAGAAAGACGTAGTCTGCCTCGGAGATAATGCCAGCCACCACCGGCAGATAGCTAGAGATATGCAGTATCGGTGCAGGCATTAGCTAAAATCCCAATTAATCACTGACACTTAGGCTAATACAAAGGCAGCCCAGCTATGCTTGGATAGGTTTTTCACTCTCTCCCTCTGGAAAAATCAACTTACCCGCAATGACGACCCATGACCTCCATGATGAAGGTGCGCTGATGCGAGTAGGCGGTACTGGAAATGGCATCGATGGCCTCGATGATACGGTGCAGGGCCGTATCCGTGCCGATGGTCATGTCCGTGCCACAGAAATCGTTGTCAATGGAGCCCACCTGTGAGCATTAAATCCCATTAGTAATTTACCCTAAAGAAGAACGAATTGATCGTACCAATCCAACGATGTGCAGCACATTGAACTTCTCCTGCTGCTCGTGGGTGATGGTCTTGTTCTGCAACAGCTCGTCCAGCAGGCTGGACCACTCCTGACGGAACAGATTGGCGCCGGTGAGGGAGCCATCGCCGCCAATCACCACCAGGTTGGTGATTCCACGCTGGATCAGGTTGTTGGCGGCCTTCAAGCGACCCTGACGCTCACGGAAGTCCTGGCAACGGGCAGATCCGATGATGGTGCCACCACGATGGATGATCGAGGAGACCGAGGCCCAGTTGGCCTCCTGGATGCAGTCGCCACCATCAACCATGCCCTGATATCCCTCGCGGATGAAGTAAACCTTTGAGGTGAAAGATATGCAATTTTTGTAGATATTGTGTAAAGCATACGAATATATAAGCAACCCTCGCGGATAAAGGAGATCTTGCGGAAGAAGATACGAAATTTTTATAGATATTGTGTAAAGCATACGAGTATATCAACAAACCTAGCGGATGAAGGAGATCTTGCGGAAGAAGATATGAATTTTTTATTGACATTGTGTAAGCCCGAAAAATATTTTCACTGCGGCCCATGACATCATCAACTCCATTCAACATGATTCAGTTTTGGGTCCTCAGAATTCTTGGAAACATATTAATCCCAAATTTCTACATTGCTCGTGACATAATTATTAGAAGATTAACGAAAGCATAGAAAAAGTTAACCAAAAGATAAAAAACTGGCATTTGCAAACTAACTAACACCTTTAATTAAAATATTTTTCCCAACTTTTAGATTAAAAGGAAATTATTGTTGTTGCATTTTATTTGTTGCTTATAGTTTAATATAACATATAAAATTTAAATCATGTGGGAAGAAAATATAGTCTAGCCAACTAAAAAGTGAAAAACAAAATAAACAATAATAATGCCAAGGCACTATTAGATTATTTAGATTAGATTGCTCAAAGCGCCTAGCAGCCATTTAAAAAGCAAATGTATTCAGCAGACTCATGAAATATATACAATTTTTTATGCAAATCTGTAGGAGGTATAGCAATAAAATTTTCTTCTGTCACGTGCCATAAATTTCACTTTCATTGACCCCCAAAAAATTGAATTCAAATAAATGGATTTTAATCAACATCAATTGGCCACAATTCACCAATTATTTGCATATTTTAGAGGGCAAAAAGTGCCCAAATACCCTAAAACATTTAACAACTCATTTGAAAATGAAAATAAGCCGAAAAGAAACCAAGAGCGACAACAAAAAACGAAACAAATTAGCCAAAATAAATCGCATGCGAGAGTGGCCCGAAAATAAACCCAATGTCAATGTGCATATACACATATATTCTTGAAAATCTTTCGCGGACCGATTAGAGATTATCTAACTGGCATAACAATTTTGTATTGCCGTGGTTCAATGGCTGCTGATAAGCAAATTACCAGGTGTTTTACGTAAATTTTCGGGGTTCATGTGGGTCTATTTGGGGTTGGACGACAGACTCGATGCTGCGGGGGCGGAAAGTACTTGACAGAGGTCACCAACTCACCTTGCAGCCCAAGTAGATGGCCATACGCACACAGGCCCGAACGGCGGCATTCATGCCCTGGGAATCCCCGCCGCTGGTGAAGACCGCCAGTCCCTTGTCCTTCTGCGAGCCGCGGGCCAGGAAGCGTTGATTAATCTCGGAATTCATTTTTCTACTATATCTGTATCTCGGTTATTAACGGATGTCGCACAAAACACACACACTGGGAATAACTGTTATGCACTATGGCAAAGGGATAATATCTCCCCACCGATCACTATTTTACTCTTTAACTATTTTAACCGCGCAGCTGGAGCTGGGCCGAGTCCAAATGGGCTATAAATACTACTACTGCTCCTTGCCGTGGCTTTTCAGTTACTAGCGATATATATTCACAGGCGGTATTCACAAGTTTCGCTTTTGCTTTTGACGTTTCAAGGTGACCTTCAGACCAGACGCATACACAACACACACGCACACAGTCACGGGCTTTCTGTAAGTGCGTACTGATGCAATGCAAACTTTGGGTGGTTAAAATACCCCTGCGTTCAATTCACACGGATTTCTTTAATTTGTTTGGCCTTAGGACGAATTTTGCTACGTTTTATCTGTTATGCACGGACTTTTCGCGAGTCGCAACCAGCGGAAAATAGCACTTAAGTAATTTGTTTACGTTCAGCCCCCAAACGGTCAGCTGGTGATCAGCTGTTCATCACTGGGCGAGTAAAAGCTTTCGTAAGCTTTTACCGCTGAGAAGGGGGGACTTTGGAGCCTGTCATCGGTGGAAATGTGCGATAGCCGCTATCGATAGGGGAGCCCTTTGAATTCTTAGTGTTTCATTGGGACTTAAACTAACTTTGAATACTGCAACGTTTCCTCCTAAAGAAATTGCTTAAAAATCTAGCATAAAATTACAACATCTTTCCCTGTTTATCTACAACAAATAAGTGTCTGATAAAACTTACATAGGGTATCATGGGATGAACGTAATCAATAACGTCTTGCATAGTTTTCAAGCACTTTCGCAGCTCGTCGACGTTTTTAAAGCATTTCTTTTTTGGGTAAACTTTCTTCTTTTTAGCAATTTTTTCATAATTTTTTTTTGAACTAAGAAGATTAAAATCCACTGGTAGATGTCTTCCGCATCTTTGGCGCAATCCATCATCTTTTTCAGGGTCGTTGTCCTTTTTATCACCAGAACCATTGTCAGAATGGTGAGCAGCCCTTGGAAGAATCAACTAATGGGACAAAAATCGTTAAAAGATTTCTATCTTTGCCTTTCCTTACCCTTTGGTTAACAAGTAGGCGAAGTAAAGGAGTCTCTGGTAAAAAGTTCTTGGATTGCGGGCCATGATAAAAGCGTCCGTTAATTTCAAATAAACTTTTTAAAATAGGCTAGTTAAAGTTAACAAAAAATACTTTGACACCTACTTACAAAGATTTAAATTTAGTAAATACCCGAAATTTGATTGAGTTCATGCCAAATTAAATTTTGCCCCTAAATTTAACATTTTTTTTTGTTTTGTGACATTTTAGAAGCTGCAACCTCGATCAAAATAAAATGAAATCCATTCGGTGTGTTTTTTTTTGTATTATTTATTTAATTTTTTGGTTTTTTTGTTGGTAATTAAGAAACTGTAATTTCAATAAACTTAAATATTCCACTCATACATCAATCTTTGCCTCTGTTATATGCATACAATTTACGCCTACACCCGGTTTTATCATCTGGTTGTCATTTACTCTGTTTCATGAATGTATTGCAGTTTCACAATATTATTATTTTATATGTTTTGGGATTCGACTTATTAGCGTTGCGGCAAAAGTGTTTCATTTATTTAAATATATATTTTTTTGTTTTGTTTTTTTTTTTTTTTTTTTTTTTATATTCCTCACATTCATAATATAGCGATAAATTCAATTGCGAAAATATACATTTACTTTTATCATACATACATATGTTCTGTATGTTACCGTTTTGTTGGACAATAATATATTTTCTTTCAATACACATGCAAAGTTTTCACGTATGTAAATTAAAAAATTGAATAGTTTTAGTTCACAATATTTATGTATTTTGATTCGATCTTCATTTAAATTTTTTATAATATTTCCATTGCTGATTTGCAGGCTGCATTGTTATAGATTGAAGAAGTCGAAAACTTGTTAAACGATAAAATTAAAGTTTAAGAAACAATCGCCAGATTTTAGGAACAATTGATGGCTGTTTCTTTGTTGGGGAAACGTTTTCTGGGCTTAAGTACTTCATAGAGTTATACCCAAATAAATTGGAAACTTGTACAGACATTGCCGCACAATAAAACTCGTGCCTTCGCCATGTTGCACATTTACAAAATTTGTTTGACTTCCGAATCCGGACAATTAGACTTCTACTCGTTCGAAAACTCATTTGACCGACAGTTGGGTATATGTATGTATTATATGAGTTATGCTTTTCACAATTGTTTATACCAAGAGAAAACAACAAAGAAATTGCAATTGTAGATTTAACCCTTTTGTTTTATGTAAGACATGTATAAAAAATAGCAATGAACAATTATATATTTTCTGTATTTTTCCGTTCTCTCCACGTTTCTCTAACAGATATGGTTCCTGATTCATGGGATTTGAACCGATTTCCGCACGTGCATTATAAATGCAACCCTGTCTGTGTGTGTCTGTGTTTGCATCTGTTTTGTGTGTGTGGGGGGAGGTTGAAAACCAAAATCAAACGGATCTCGAATTGAAATAAAACATAAAACGGGAAACTAGGTTTTTTTGGTTTTATTTGTTTAGAAAAAGAATTACAAATAATACATAAGTTTTGTTTTTATTTTTGTTTTTCTCATTTGGTTCGCTTGGTTGTTGTTGTTGTTGCTGTATCTTTTGCAGTTGTTTCTGTTGCCATACGAAAATTAAATAATTAATTTAGACTTGCAAAAAACGTAAAATAACCGATTATCTCATTTCATTTCTTGTGTATACAGTTAGGAATATTATTTATTTGTTTGTTTGTAAGGAGGAAGTCCACACGAGGCATCGCCAGGGCGAACAAAGTTGAAGCACCCAGAGTTTGGTAGTTTTGTTCGGGAAAAACACACATTTACGAATTATCAGCTAGATTAATTTGATTCAAAAATCGGAAAAAATCCTTCCAAACTCCGGGACACTTCGCAATAGCTCGGCCCACCCGGCGATGCTGTATTTTCTGTATTTCTTAAGCAGTTGCAGAGGCTACATTTGAGTCGGATCGGCCGGCATCTGTCTATACATTTGACTATGTATTTTGGGCTCTGTTGCAATCAGAGCCCGGCTAACAACTACCCGTGACAATCGAGGGAAGGGCCTCAAATGCCGGCCCATCGGCCCCAAATGAACTGAAGCATCCTGCCCTCAATTCGTATGTAAATGTCTCAAATGTTCGCGCATCCTGCCTGCCTGCTGCTCTCGCCTGGATTATCGTTTCATTTCAAATTGTTTTGCTTTGCTGGTTTGCGTTTTATAATATTTGTTTCTCTTTGTTGTTTCTGGTTTTTGTTTGTTTTGTATTACTGAATAATATTTGCATAGTCAAAAAGGAAACATTTGCTTAGTTGTTTGGTTAGTTGTCGCCGCCCTCCTGTGGCTCATCGCCGTCGCCTTGGGTGTCGGACGTCCAGAGGGTCAGGTTGTCCCTCAACAGCTGCATGATGAGTGTCGAGTCCTTGTAGGAGTCCTCGTTGAGTGTGTCCAGCTCGGCTATCGCGTCATCGAACGCCTAGTTGGGCATTAAAAAAAGTTATTGTTAGTATTTGTTCTCAGGAGTATTTAATCAATGGAAATGTTTGGCAAGGCGAATGCAAGTTGGTAGAACAAAAGCATTTTCAAAGTGGCGTTAGGTTCGTCATACATTCATAATTGGCTTCACTAAACAACTTCATCGAACTAAACTCGAAAGCAAGTGTGTGTAAATCAAAATAAAAACAACAAAAGAGTGGTTTTGTCCTTAACTAAATAAAAAACAAAGTGTTCACCAGCAAAGGCCGCATGTTCGTTATTTCACAGGCAAAGTTTTCGGCATTTCTCATGCAGTTTGGGGGAGGATGGGAGGTCGGATATACTTGGCGTTTCGAAAAGTGTGGAATTTCAGTAGGGCTCAAAAAGTCTGTCTATGAAGGGGAGTAGTTGCTAAAGTTAGTTTTTTGTTTGTTTGTGAAGTGGAAATGTAATCTGTCCATTTTAATAGTCATTAATAATGTTGTAAAAATGTTCTTTTTCAACGCCTTGGTATTTAAGTATACATCTTCCCTGGGATTAAAGCTTATTAGGTTGGTGATTAGTCGCTGGATAGCTTACTCAGTTTAGTCACAAAACAACAATAATTGAATCTTTCCATTGGATTATTAGTAATCGTAAGCGCGATATTAAGTATACATAGAAGAGACATGTATAAGTTGAACTGAACCTGTTTAGCTAAGTGACAAGCCCTCGCTGGTGAATTGATAATTTCGTAATAGAAGACGGAAAAGTTGAGTGCAAGACCTAATCTGATTGGATGTGTGGGCTGCATTTTGGTTTTTGCAATATCGAACGCCTCCTGATAGGCTTTTTTCGAGTCCTCAACGACGGCTTAACGATTTACACATGATTCAGTTATGTAAAAAAGTAAGAAACAAATACCAAAATGTTAGAGAAACAATTTTAAAGAACAGAAAAGTTTTAAATGTCGATGGAGAGTGATTCTTTGTGTGCCCTTGCCCGCTGCCATACGCTTGCCATACATTTCGCTTGATCGAGCAAAGAAGACTCGGAGTGTGTTATTAACCTGTTTAGCCAATTGGCAAGCTTTGTCTGGCGAGTTCAAAATCTCATAGTAGAAGACTGAGAAGTTGAGGGCCAGACCCAAACGGATGGGATGTGTTGGCTGCATTTTACCCTTGCTAATGTCAAATGCATCCTGGTAAGCGGTTTGCGAGTCATCGACAACGGCTGTGTTTGCAAGAATAGTTTTTGTTTGGTTTATAAAAAATTGGTTATTGTAAAATTCAGGTGTATCAATGGGACTTGGGTGACTGTAATCGAGTGCTTTCCAAAATACTTACTGTTGCGTGCATCTCCTGTGGCAACCTCGGCCAAATACCTGTAATAATCACCCTTCATCTTCAGGTAGAAGACCTTGCTCTCGGGATTGCTGGCTTTTGGAATAAGGTATTTGTCCAGAAGTCCCTGCAAGCAAAGAAAACAAGCACTTCAATTAATTTCAGATCAATTACGAGCGCACAATCGCAACAATTAACCAAATAAGCCGCCTGGCTTATTGATATCCCTGTACTGCCACATTTTTCATTTAAAAATCCATCAAGCACGAGTTGAGTTTAATCCAATATAAGAACCCCAATCACAAGAAGTGCGAGTGGGGGAAAACCCCAAGTTCAACCCTGGCCATGGTCTATTTTCTGATCCGTGTAAGGCAATATAAAATCCATATACACACAAGCAAAAAACCAGTGTGTGTGGGGAACATGGAAAATGTTCATTTTAAAAATAGATTTATTGATTGTAACAAATTTTATATTTCACTAGAGCAAGGAAGAAGAGCAGAAAACGGGGCCCGCCCTCTGGAAAACCCAGCCAAAGCAACACCCTCGTCAGCTGGGCTTGCCAAGGGCGGGGGTCCTCAGATATACATAAATATATACATCAAGGCGACTGACAGGTTCGCCAGCTTCATCACCTTCAACTTAGCTGAACGCCCAAGTGAGTTGTAGGTATAAAAATAATTAGATGGACCACCAATTACAACCCCATAAATCCGTCAAAAAGAGACTTGCGCAGAATTGTGGACCACCACTTACCAAAACTTCGTAGCAGATTTCCCTCAGCTCCTTCTCCACACGCTCTCTGTACTCACGGGCGAGCTGCTGTTTTCTAGCGGATGCTTCGGTTTTCTGCTCAATGGAGGAGATGACACGCCACGATGACCTGGTTTTGGACATGTTAAACACACCCGGAGATGGGGTAGAACATTTACAGTTTAGCACTTGAACTCCAATCTATGGGGCGACATTAATCAGCCCGTGATTGATCGACTCACCTGCGGGCACCGACCACATTTTTGTAGGCAACGGAGAGCAGATTTCTTTCCTCATTTGAGAGCTCAACGCCAGTCTCTGTGACGGATTTCATGGCCTGGGCCATGTCATCGTAGCTAAACAGAGATAAATCCATTAGTAATTGAAAAAACATTTAATCTCGTGTGTCACAGAAATCGAAAGCAAAATGTCACACAAATAAAGAAGATAAATTTAGGACGAGATAAAATACGTTCTTTAATTTTCCCAATGGAGTCTCATGGTATAGGTTCAAATATTTTCTTAAAGGTTTATCTAAACTTAAAACCAAAAAACACTTTTAAACCCTCCATTGTATTTTATTTACCAATTTTCAAAATTAAATGATTGACATATTAAAGTACCAGCTTACCGTTCTGACTGCTCGGCCAGTTTAGCCTTCTGGACCAGCTCTTCCTTATCGACTGTCGACATTTTGTTGTTTGTTGTTTTTTTTCGGTTACTTCACAAAACTAATAAAATATGCCACGCAGTTCGATATGCCGCTCAAAAGTTGCTTACAATGGCTTTCTGCAATAAATTAGAACGTAAACAAGAGCATTAGTGTGTTTTTAAGTGGAGGAGAAATGTAGGTGAGTCCACCTTAACCCGTTATCTCGACTAACGGTTTCCAGCAGTTTGCTTTAAAAAACACCTGACTGACTAACAGACTTCTGTTGCGGATTACTGTTATTAAGCTGAAATTCCACAGCCAACAGTAGTTGCACAACACTGCGAATTTTTGTTAGTCAAGTAGTTGTAGTGATCAGTTGGCACAGCAGGGGTATATAGGCACCTACTATCATCGCGACCATTTACTCTAATTTTCAAACTAAACCCAATGAAAGTTATTTAAGGTATCAGAAAATACTGCTTAAAGGTTTAGGTTTAGGTTTAGGCATTCGTTTGAAAAGGTTTAAGCAATAGATAACTTCAACCAAGGAAGCAGGAAGTGCCAATTGTTGATAAAGACAAATCAAATTTCAGACATGTCCAATATACCCGCGATGCACTTGCTACGATAACTCCTGAGTATGCCGTACGAATTTAGTTTGTTGTCATGCTTCCGCTCGAGGAAAGTGTTGAATTTAAAGCTGCGATGACTCATCGACTCGCAGCTGGTCTTTATTGACTAATCGCTGACGGAATGGCTAATTTAAAAAGGAAAAAACCAGCACTGGACATGGTCGCACGTGTGACAACTATGCAACTATTCGAAGCTCAGTTTATGGGTTATGGAAGGCCGAAGGTGGAGAGAGTATTTCGCAGTGTGATGTGAAATACACAAGTTCGACAACAATGATAAAAATAAACCATGAATAAAAAAAAAAGAGAGAGAAATGGAGCAAAAGTCGGCTCGCCTTAATGCGTTTATATATTTTTGTGTGTGTGCCAAAGATAGATATTTATGTACGTGCTAAAGACAGTCTGTTTGTAGTCCCCATACAGTGACGCACTCAATTATTTGCCCACTCAGTAAACTTCTATCGATTAAACGTGCAGTAATTATAAGAAGAAAAAATAAACAAAAAACAGGAAGAAAATATGCGACAGTCATTAATCCACACGTCACACGTAATCCAATTAGAATTTTCTGATAGGATCTATCCAAACTTTCGACCGAGGATCAACTTCCTGTTTGGCTTTTTGAAAGGGACGTGAGGACAGAAAATCGATTAATTTCCGCCCGACCTGGAGAAAGCTTGAAAGCAAAATTTGTATTGGAGGGGGTGAAAATCGGTGTGTGGAAATGCATATGGGCGTTGCTGGTATTTTTAGACAACTTGCGCTCTGGACAAAAAACATTTTGTTTGCCCGCCCGGCGGAAGCCTCGAAAACCAAGCACAAGAATGCCAGCTAATGCAGCCAGCCAACTGATGATTGAAATGGAAAAATCTCTGGTTGGCACACATTGGCGTCATAAAAGCACCACCAACCATCCCACAAATACCGCGTTCAATTGGATTTACAGTCCAGCTTGGCTAACTGGGGCCAAAACATGTGTCGAATAAACAATGATTTATTTTATTAAAAGTCTTAAATAAACAAATGACTCACAGCATCTTTTTCAAAACGAAAAACAACTTTAAAGATATGACTGTTATGAACTATGAAAAATATTTAAGCTGATAAATTTTTGTACATATAAGTTTGAGGGTATCAAGAAGCCATTGCGGTACGGTTACATAAAAATCAAGTAATGAAAGTTTTTGGTACACAAATACACGGATCGACCGCCAAATTGAAAAATCATTGACCCTTTGTCAAAACAAAAGGCGGCGGGGCGTGGCGATGGAAGGGGGTGGGTGCGGTCTGCCAACGCGTTTTTAGGTCAATTGACATGTTTTTCTGGCTGTTCGACAAATGCCAAAACATTAAGCCAGGCGTAACGTAAATTAACGTAACACTCCCTAAATGGGCATAAATATGTGTGTAGTTTTTATCGGATAAATCAAAAGAAAAAACTCGTTTCAACCACGCAGATTGCTCATCTGCTTGAATGAATTAATTAGTGAAAGGAAAAAAAATCACAGGTGGGAGAGGGTTTAATGTTTTAGATACGCGTTATGGAGGGGTAACCCATATGGTCAAGCTAATTGTAGGGCTAGAAAACTTTGCAAATACCATAGGCAAGCTGCGAGATGATGACGGGTACACTTTAAACTTTATCTGCGCCGGCCGAACAGCATGCGCAGTAGCTTAAGAACCTCAAAGAACCCAGTTCCCCCTCCCCGAAGATGTAGAAATTCCTCTACACTGTAGATACCGCTACTACGGCTCTCTACATGGGACGAAAAAGTTACTAACTTTTATGGGGGCTGTGTGCGTGCGGCTGTGTGCGTTCGTATTGGTGCGTTCTGGGTGGTGGTAATGGTGTTGGTGGGGCCGCCAATCGTGTTTCCAAGTGCGGCGCTACAGAATTATAAAAATAATCGGGAGAAAAGAGGGGGCTCAAGAGAGCAAGGGGGCCCAAAAGAGAGCGAACAAACGCCGCAGAGAGGCCGAAAATGTATCTACCACAGGCGGCCGCCAAGTATGTTGAGTTTGGCGAGGAAACCCACCTAACCGCGTGTCCCCATCCAAGTTTATATATATATGTATCGCTATATCTTGGCGTACTGTGTGTACATATAGCTGGCTATATATGCGTATATATAGAAGTCGGCTATGTCCGCCGCCTACAACTTAACCGATGAACTGCTGATGATGATGAGAAATACGAAGCTACAAGCGAATCTCACCGCATCACATACATGCACCAATACTTGGGCAAATGGGGAATGTTCTTTTCTTTCTTTCCAATTTTTTTTTTTTTGCACAAATTCACACTTTTGACTTTTTGCGTAGAATTTTTTTCGGCATCGGATCGATGCCTGGTGGAGCGAATTTCGATTTTTCTGCGTTCCAAGTATAGATGCATGTAAGTGATTACTCATAGTCGGCTTTACACGTGTTTTTCCTTCGGGATATTTAGCAATTTTCGTTTTATAATTCCATACACACACTTCATCAGTTGCACACACATAGATACATCCAACTCTGGGCCAGCAAAAATGTTACTTACATTCTCGATTAACTGAAACTGAAACGACAACGAACACTACCAACGAACGAATGAGAATGACGGACGGCAAAGGTTGCACACACTCGCCGCGCCGCTGTATCTGTGTTTCGCCTCTGCTCTCTCCCCACACACACACGCTCATGCGCCGCCGCAAAAGAGAAGCAGCATATGGGAATGGCGCAGGCGAGAGCGAGTGAGGAGAGACCTCAGGGTTGCCAACCTGCCGGCGGCAGTAATGTTGCCAGGTGTGCAGGTAGAACTTAAAACCCAAACTTTGAGATACAATATACTAATTAACGGCAGTCTTGAAACTTGCAGATAAAAAGCTTTAAAAGAGCCTGCTGTTGTTGTCAATGTACTTTTTTTTTCATCAGTTTATGAAGTAATATTTTATAGTTAGTTTCCAACCTGTTGAAACTTTCGAGCGCTTATCTATCTGCCAGATTACGCTTTTATCTTAACTTTATGGCCTCCGCAAGGAGGAAACTAATCGGGAGATGTATGCCATTGATAAGGGGGTGACGGTAAATTGCCTTAATTTTAATTTGGATTTCATTGAATTCATGCACTCATACATAAAACCAGAAATCAGCGCTACTAATGCTTTTCTAAATGGAATCCAAACCAAAATCGTTATACCCACAGCCAGGACTTGTTTTATTGCTTTCTCTTTGAGTTTTTTCTTAGAATTTTTTTTATAATGCCCAATTTTTTTTGTTGTTCAGCTATGTTATAAAATTATAAATATTATCATAAAGAGAAACCAAGGATGACAATAATGTACACTGACTTTCTAAATACTAGAATCTATTCAGGAGTATTAATTGTCTATCCAAACTTAATATTTTGACTTTTTACATTCCTGGAAGCAATTTTAACTTAGAAAACCGTGCGTGACTTGAAGGAGATTTGGCTCACGGCCCCATCCCTACTTTTTACTACGGCTCACAAAGAACAAGACGGAGAAAATTACGTCATCGGCGTCCTATTTGCTTTCGGTAATGAAAATTAGCTATGTCCATTTCCCTTTGTAATGGGGTTTTCGCAATGCGAGTACCACACGCAACAGTATATTAAAGGCCCAAGGGCAGCTAGCATCCAATTAGCAGCCCAGCGAATCAATAAAGTGCGTGGGCGCAGTTATTTGGGGAAAATTTCGACCGCCGACAATATGGCGGTCGCAAGCCGACACACGACGCACTAGGTGAATTTACTCACTGCGCCTGGGTTTTCAAGCGAATTTTAAACGTTTCTGTATTCCTTGAGCTCACAGCACTTGATTTCAGACTTGGCTTACACCGTTTGATCACTTATTAATTAGTTAATTCACCTCTTACGGCTCGGACCTGAAGTTCTTCCTCTTCTCAACGCGCAGCTGTGTTGGAAAACGTCGAAGTGGACAGGGCTGGGCACGCAGGAGTTTTCCAACTCTTGGCGCGAAATTCCGATGGACGATAGTTGGATGGTCTATCGATACCATCTCTAGTTGCCCGCACGTGTTTACTTGTTGTGCGAAACTATTTAGCTCAGAAAAAGTTGATTTTGAACAGATACAGACATGCCGCGCTCCAAACGTGATAAGAAAGGTGAGAGCTTAAATATAATGGATCTGATTTTGACATTTAACCAACTGCTATTCCTTTGATATAGTTTCCCTGACCAAAACTGACCGCAAAGGTCTGGCTTGGAAACAGCGGATTGTGGACGACATTCGCTTTTGTGTGGGTAAATACCCAAACATATTCGTTTTCCAAGTTCAAAATATGAGGAACAGTTTGCTGAAGGATCTGCGACAGGAGTGGAAAAAGAACTCTCGGTTTATATTTGGCAAGAATCGCGTAATGCAGATTGGTCTTGGTCGCACCAAAAGCGAGGAAGTGGAGTCGGATTTGCACAAGGTAAATAAAGAGTACAAGATTTTTAATATTTCTTGTATTAATGGTAAATATATAGCTCTCCAAGCGCTTGACTGGACAGGTGGGTCTGCTCTTTACGGACAAATCCAAGAAGGAAGTTCTAGAGTGGGCAGAGAACTACTGGGCCGTGGAGTACGCGCGCAGTGGTTTTGTGGCCACGGAGACAGTAACTTTGCCAGCTGGTGCTTTGGAAGACTTTGCCCACTCAATGGAGCCGCACTTGCGATCTTTGGGTCTGCCCACAAAACTGGAGAAGGGAATCGTAACACTGTACAGTGATTACACCGTTTGCGAGGAGGGCAAGGTACTGACGCCCGAGCAGGCGAGAATCCTGAAACTAATCGGCAAACCGATGGCAAAGTTCCGGCTGACCATGAAGTGCTCGTGGACCAAGGGCGAGGGCTTCCAACTGCACGTAGAGGACGATGTGAACGACGAGGATCAGGCCGATAGCGCCATGGAAGAGGACGCAGAGGCTATGGAAGACAACGACGATGATGACGAAGAGGAGGATGATGAATAAATTAGTTTTAGGTGTAGAATTAATTTTTTAATGTATATATCAATTACATACAAATATATACGTGTATTTTTACATTATATATTATCTTACGTTCAACACAGATAATACTTGATTTATGGTAGCTTAAACTAAGAACTAAGTAAACAAAACACTTAAGAAGCATTCCAGATATTGCAGCTAGTGACCAAAAGCCGTGGTACGAAGTGAAAAGGCACAAATCCTCAGGTTGCATCGTCCGAGAGAATGTAGAGCACCAGGGGCTGTTCGTTCTCGCTATTCTCCCCCAGAAGGTCGCTATTGTTTATGGAGATATCTTGCGTGTCCTCCAGCTCTAGAGCACTTGTGGTGGCACTTAAAAAGAGTTCCAGAGGCGTGGACTGCTCGGGAACTTCTCGATTCGAGGGAGTATTAGTCTCCAGTGCCACATCTTCCTCTCCATCGTCCTTCTCCTCCCCATCCGAATTCCTTAAATGTTATTGGTCCGCGTGCAAGGCCGTCGAATTCGGGGGAACTGTGCAACCGGCTTCAATGTGCAACATTACCTTTTGTTTCAGTTGCGCCACATGATCTTTGAGGTTCTTCACAATGCCCGCCAGATCGACATTCTCGCCTTTGAGCAGCTTGACGCGATCCTCCAGCTTGGAGATGCGCTCAAGCTTGCGTTTGCGGCACTTGGAGGCGGCCACACGATTGCGCTGCCTCTTGCGCTCCAGCTTAATCTTCTCCTGCGTTTCCATGTCAATGGGACTGACAGTCGGTGAGCCGGCTGGGTTCACAGGTTCATCCTTGATCACCGGGAAGCCGTCGCCTACGTTGGCGTAGGTGAAGGTGCCTCCGCTGATGCCATTGTTAACCGCCGTCATGGTTGTTCCGCCAGTTGTTGTGGTGTTTTGAACAGTATTGACGGCCGGAAAAGCTTGCGAATTGGTGTGTAGATTCTGCAGAGCCTCCTCGAATCCCTTGCCAAAGGCCTCCTGCTCCACGGTGACGGGCCCCGCCTTGGTGGGGAATACCTTGCCCGGTTGCGGCGTCTGTATAAGGTTGCTCGACATCAAAATCTTTTCCAGATCGGGGGTATTTAGTGTTTTGGCCTGCAGATCTGGTGAGTTGATGACCAGCGGCGCAAAAATCCGTTTGTTCTTGGCGCCCTTGCTATTCAGATCCAGGGAACCGGGACGTTTATTGGTATTCGGGGTGGATGTTGTAAGGTTCGCGTTCTGAAAGTCCAGCGACATGGGGACTCCTTCTTCACTGACGGGTTCTGTTTTTGGTACGATTTGCACGGCTGCTGTTCCAGAACTGGCAGCATTTGGGTTGGTTAAATTCGCAGCAGCGGAAACTGGTGTTTTCATGATTGCCCAAGCAATGACGTCAAACTGTGTTTCGAGGAATGAACGAGAGAAAAGTACAAACAACGGACTGATAAAAACTCGTTTCGCGATGAGTCATGCGAATAAATCGCCTGGCTGTGCTTCTTACTTACCACAGGGTGGGAAACTTTTGAGGGTCAATATGTGATTAAAATAATCTTCCTGTTTTGCAATTGCTGGTTTTGTTGAACCACTAATCTCTGTGTTTAACAGAAAGTTTTTGGATTTATTTTTTGTCTGCGCTTAGATAAAAATAAAAATATTTCTGACGTTGTAGTAGTTGTTTTTAACGTGTTGAAGATGGAACAAAGTATTTGCGTGTTCGGTACTATCGAAAAGGCCTAAGAACGTCATCGCTAGTTTGGGAACATGTCTTGGCTAAACACAAAGGTGTATTCACTAAAGTGTGACCGTTTTGCGGTATTGTCTAAACAAAACCAAAGTAAATAGCTGGGTAACTAGGACCCGAACCACTGCAGAGAGCTTTTGCAGAACATTGGCAGCATTGACGACGTCTGATTGGCAGCACAAAAATTTAAATTTAAAAGTTTGCCGTTACCCAAAATAAGTAACGAGAACTATTTTATATGATGAGTTTAATGTTATGAGAGATAAATAAATATAATTATTACGCTAGTCCATTACTGTTTTTTCGACATTCCTGAGATAGTTTGCAGTAAATGACGAGGAAACTGATCTGTTCTGTAGTCCAGGGCGCCGGTAAATGGGAAAGGAAATGCGTCTTCGAAAGAGGATGTTATTATCTTTGCGTCCCAAAGGAACAACAGCCTGTGTAGAAGGATCCATTATGCAGGAGTGACTTTGATGCTCATGATTTTGTGAAAACATTTAAAACGATGTTTTACGAATGACAGACAATCTCCAGCTAGCTTAACAAAAAAGCAAACCCCAAGTAAAACACAATTGTTTTATGGGATTTCCCCGATATATTTATATTCGACATTTATGATAACTGTATAGCAATAAATATTTTCAAATACGTTCTTTTTGTTTTGTTTTTCAAACTGTAATATAATATAATATTTTGATTTTGCAACCAAACGTCTTGCTGCTGTTCAGATTGGTATATGCTGCCCTAAAAGATTTATACATTTATTAAACTCCTTGTATATTAATAATCACATCTATAGATTTGTTAGAGTTTTAAATATTTGTCTTAGTTATGTCCATTTATTGTAAGCACGTTGAAACACATTTATGTATATGTTCATCTGTAGAAGAGTAATGCGGGGAGAGAGAAGTCTCTGATAGTTAGTTACTCTGCCAGTGAGTTTCGCACAGATAGTTCATTCCTCGGTGTAGGCTAAAATCGTTATAAGTGTAATGTGTTGTTTTGCGATATAGGTGATATATATGCACATCCAAGTCGAACCGAATGGAAGCATTCTAGCGATGACTTTGGAGGAGTAGCTGCCAATGTGAGCTCTGCTTTCCGTAAGATGTCGAAGCGAAACAAATTACTTGAAGCTGGTTGAGGATTAAATACTTGTTTGTTTGGTTACGCATATGTTTCGGTTATGATCACGTTTGTACACTTAAACATTCATAAAACTTGCAAATATGTTTCGAAAAATGTTATTTCCCACTAAACACTTAAAACGAAATAAATCGGGCCACATTCGGGCGCCTACTGCGATGAACAGAATCGAAATTGTATATATATATATATAGATGTATCTCTTTAGGTATCTGGTAAACTCTAGTTGGCTGCTGCTGCCCCGAAAGGCAGACAGGAAAATCCATCAAAATATTATGTCTTTATATGCGACGACTGTTTAGTTTGGAATCAATTGGTTTGATTTTCGCCAGTTCAGCATGGTTTGTATTTTGTTTCTGTTTGGGCTCATATTAAATCTTCTCTCTCTGGGTTGCATTACGGCATTATTTTCTTATTTCCATTTTTCCAATTTTTCGATATTCGATTTTTGTTTTTTCTTTTTAAACGCACACAAAAAGACGTTAGGAAAACTCTGGGCGGCAGTCCGGCACAGTCCGCTTAAAGCCCGATCTCCCTCATGGCCCTGTACAAGCAGGGGTTCTTCAAGCACTCCCGCGGACCCAGTTGCCGTCCGGGCGATCCGCGCAGGATCATCAGGATGGAGCGGGCCGCCGACTGGCACTCGTGGCTATCGCCGCACACGCCGTCCGCCTCCGCCAAATACTGATAGTCGCAGGCCACCTGGGAAGCGCCCTGAAAAGGAAATTCAAGCTGTATTGTCAGGAGCTGTTTGTAAACCTAATAAATATTTAATAACTTACACATAAGTAGCATATCTGGTGAACGCCGCAGAGTGGCAAGAGCTCTTGATTGATGTCCCCGGAGATGAGATCAACGCCGCGACAACGCTCCGCCATCGATTCGATGATGGGGCACTGGTTGGATCCCACGATGTAGTTCTTGTTGCCCAAGTAGGCGTCGTTCAGGGTCTCGTATGGAGCACTGCCCAGGCTGAGAGCCTCCTCCATAGTGTTTGGCTGCTCCGGATAGCGCAAGTAGCCACTGCGCTTCTTCTTCTCCATGTCCTTCGGAGGCTTCTCATCCCTAGAACATAAGATTAATTTAAAGATTATAAATATTTAATTAACAAGTAAACCACTGCTTACTCTGCCAGATCCTCGGCCTGATCCTTCTTCACGGACTTCTTGGCCTGCCAGTAGTTGGAGTCCAAGGCGTTCTCCTCCGATTCCGGTTCGATGGCATTGCGCATCAGGTGGTTGTCGTTCTCCACCGACCTCCTCAACTTGTCCAGAGCCCGACGCATCTTCTCCAAGCTGTAGGCGGTGGCCAAGCGGGAGAGGACATGGTCCTTAATCCTGCGGATATCCTCCTTGCTGTTCAGACCCTCGTGGGCACCCGTGTACTTGATGGTCTCGTCGATGATGAAGTCCTCGATGGACTGCAGCTTCCTGTCCATGCTGTCCAGTTTCTCCACATCCAAGTCGCGCTTCTTCTTCTCCTCCTCGGGGCTCTCATCCTCGTCGTTGTCATCATTGTTGCCACTGCTGTCCGTCTCGCTCCGCTTCTTGAATTCCCTGTTAACAAAGATATAGTAATAAAAGTATTTTAGAAATTAGAACCTCAAGCAAACTCACTCATTCTTCTGGGCGGACTTCTTCTTGCGATCCAAGCCAAAGTACTGCGACCAATCGATGGACTTCTTGGCCCGGAGCATCAGGTGGCCTACAGTGGGGGCACGAAGGTGTTTGGAGCCACCACTGCTGCCGGACAGACTGGCAGCAGCCCGTTTCTTCTTGCGCCGGTGCTCCTCGGCCTCATCGCCATCCAAGTCGCCCTCGCCATCCTCCTCGTCGAACTCATCATGATCGTCCTCGTCGGAGCTCTCCTCGCCCTCCTCGTCGTGCTCATCCGCCTCCGGATCCTCGACGTTCTCGCCATGCGCGGAGTGGTCACTGCGCTTGCGGTGGCGGTACTCGGGTGACATTCCCGGCACATGACCACCGTGGTGACCGGCGTGTCCGCCGTGCTGAACCATTTCGCCAGCCGTCGGGGGAGCGGATGTGGAGGCTTCCTTGGCAGTGACGTTCACCCGCTGGAAGTTGATCTCCAGCCGCATGTCGCCCAAGGCGGTGGCCGTGGCTGGCGGAGATTCCGGCTGATGGCTGGCGGTTTTCGGCTCCTCGTCCGCCGATCGCTTGCGCTTCTCCTCGGCGTGCGATTGGGTCTCGCTGGGCTTGCCAAACAACTCGCTCAGCTCCTGGGCCACTCGCTCATCGGTCCTGCCCAGCGGCGACTCCGGGTTTGAGTTGGTGGTGCTCCTCTTGGCCACCGGGAAGCGCTTCCTCTTGTCGCCGTTGTAGGGCAGCCACGGGAGGACCGGGTAGGAGCGCTTCTTCTGCATCAGCAGGTAGTAGGGCGGCACTCGCATCCGCTTCTTCTGCTCGAACAGCTCGGCGTCCTGGGGCTCCGGCTCCTGTTGGTTCTTGGCCTGGTCCAGATGGCGCCACCACTGACGCACTGCATCACGGTCCCTGGCCTCCTCGATCTCGCGCAGGAACTGCTCCGTCAGCTCATTGTGCGCGGGCTCTGCGTTCAATGGCTGGTTCTCGCGCTCACGGAAAGCCGATGGAACGGGTCCATCTGGAAGAGATTGGGGAACAAATGTATAATTTCCATGTATTTCTTATCTAGTGGTTCCATTAACTATTAATTTATACCTTTTTTAGAAAGAAACATACATTTTAAAATACTATAAAATACTGTAGAACTTATTTTAACCCTTTCTTGCCTGTAAAAGTAAATAATAATTGATTTAAAGCTCTTTTGAAAATAAGTTAAGCCTAATGGATTACTCAAGTTCAGAAAAATAATAAAACAACACCTTATCACACCATAAATAAAGTTTAGCTTAAATAAAATGCATTTTCCCTGTATTTTACGGCTTTAAACTTGATAATATCTTGATTTTCGACCATTTATTTTCCCAATCAATGAGCAATGACTTCACTTTGACCTTGGCAGTCCAGAAAAACGGCTAAAGACTGTCGATAAATCTTCTTCCTGTGTAAGTGTGTGTGTGTGTGTAAGTGCGTGCGCTTGTGTGTGTGTGCGGGACATGCATCAAGTTGTTGGGCCGGCCATTAAATCAAATGACAGGAAGACAGGCAGGATCTGTCGGCTGTGAGCGGCTTCCAGCTGATTGCATTCATCATCGGGATTGGGACTCTCGAGCGGACCAACAGGCATCCTCCCACTCAGCACTCACAAGTTAATCGGAGCTAAGTGGTTTTAGCCAGGCCATTGTTGGCCAAATCCACTCCGTGCCTCCGCCATTGGCGCCTCAAGTGGACACATGCTCGAACGCACGCATAGATATGTACAGTTTGGGTCAGAACGGTAGGAAGCACTTTGGGATTAGAGCCATAAATTATTTTCGGCCATTCGCATTCAAAAGTAGCCACTCGAGTGAGGTGCTAAAAATTGTACATTAGTGGGGCTCTCAATCAGGCTTTTCTTGAAAGGATAATTCCCGAAAGTGGTGGTCGTTTGGTTAGAACATTTGACTTAAAACTACTTAATGTTCAAACTGAAAATGTAATCTTTGCAAGGGCTTAATTTAAGTGCTCTTGAATAACATTTGATATACACATGCGTGCTTGAAGAGTATCTCTTAATTGTACTAATTAAATTAAGTTGGCGAGTGCACTAGTGCTAGTTGAAGGACCTCCATAGTGGCAGTATCCATTTCGTGGTGCGTGCTTATGCGCTCTGTGGCTTTTACTTACCGAACTGCTCGTCACGTTCCCGAAATGAGGAGAAGCGCTTTCTCTTCTCATCGCCCAATGGCAGATTATTGACGCCCAAGTCGTCTGCTCCGTTCTCGAATCCCAGGCCCAGGCCCAGACCCAATCCCAGTCCCAGGTTGCGATCCTGGCCGTAGTTGTCCTCGTCGCGTTCTAAGTACTTGCCAAGTGCCTTATTAACTCGATGGCGATTCCGATTCCTATTCTTGCCAAACAAATCGCCATCTGTGCGGGGTGGAGTTGCAAGTGGAGGTGGTTGTGAGTGGAGGTGTGCCCGAAAAAAGAAAAGAAACGAGGGAGTCGAAGGAAAAGTAACAACGGTACATGTGACTGTGGTGGGGGCGGGGGAAAAATCCGGAAAATCTGTGCTTAGGGTTTGCCTTTCCGAGGCACGTGCACTCCACATGCGGGTTTCCTACTTTTCTTCTCGCTTTTCGCTTTCCCTCTGACTTTCCGTCTGTGAGGGATATCACTTTCAGATTTCGGCCACGACTTGCTCTTATATAATCTATACATGCAGTTGACAGCCTGTCCCGAAACCCAGTCACACAAATCTAATAATAACAACTATATCTGAAAATTGGCAGATGGATAGAGACTGAATGCCTAAACATGAAAGCTTTAGATGATTGTGAATAACAAGATTATTTTGACTCATACCAAAAGTGTCAAACAATTTCTAGGTGAGTGCCTTTGTCTTTTTGGTTTATTAAGTTAAGGTTTGAATTATTATCTCATAATAAAGTGTATTTATCTTTATAAAATACAAATACTAAATAAGCTTTAAACTCTAATTTTAATCTTCATTTGAGTCATTTAGTTGTTTAAAAGTTTAAATTTTGTAACAAAAGTTTTTTAGCCAAGATTGGAGTTTTCTGTAGATTAATTTTAGTAAGATGATATAAGCATCCTTGAAACCATTAATTATTCAACAACATAGTTAAAACAGTTTTCAACAAAAGCAAGATAATTAATCATCCAATACCAAGAAATCTGTTGATATTGATATACTACAAAACAAACAACAACGGAAAGGACTTGCCTCCCTTTTTTCTTGAAGGTTAATCAAAGTTCAACTTTCTTGGGATATTGCTTGATCAACTTATGCCAGCTAACGCGAGTGCAAAGGTGAAGGTCTCCAGTTTTCCCTAAGGGAAGCAATTTCCCGGCAAGATTTTCCCACGCCATCTCACTCACCTTCGTCCCACTCGTCCAGATTGGGTGGCGGTGGGGCGTTCAGTGGATACTTGGCCGCCTCCCTTCGATGCAGTTCGTCCACGGCCGCCTGCAGCGAAAAGGCGGCGGTGCGTTGCGGAGTCGCCTGGATGCACTGCACCACCACCGCTGCCACCAGCAGCACCGCCATCGCCCCACCACCGGGTCCTTCAAATCGTTTGGCCATCGGCTCGCTAGCAGCTGCCACCCTCTCGTAAACTAGAATTTGAATTTAAATCTGAAAGTATGAATTGATTGAAAACCATTATAAATCTTAAAGTGTTAATAGTTCAAGAAAAATAAATGGTTACAATTTATTCGCTTTTTGAATTGAAGCATTTTCTTATACCAGCTTAGAATAATTGTTAAATTTCATTCCATGGAAATAGAAACAATGGCAAAGACATTTTTTTAAAAAAGCTATACTTTCCCAAGTTAAGCCAAGTTGAATTAATACCCATTTTTTTCTAGAGATAAACTCTAAAGAAAAGGAAAAAGTTGGTTTGGAAAAATCCAGTTAAAACGGTTGAAAAGGAGGTATTAAAACGGATTTTAATGCCTGCCACGTTCCGACAGGTGCGTAAAAACTTTTAATTACATTTGCACTTTAAAGTGAGGTCCTCGCTGTTTCTGTACGTGTATGTGTGCCACTGTGTGGGTGGATTGTTAGTTGGTGTTTGTGTGTGTGTGTGTGTGTATCAGGTGTCATCTTTTCGCGGCCACTTGATGGCGTGTGAAATTCCATATTTCCCCGCTTAATTATGCAAACGAGCAGCAGGAACCCGAAATTTTCGGGACTGCGAAAGGTATTTGAATAATCTGCCCATCTCCGTCGACTGACTAATGAAGCAAATCCCGCAGCCTCATGCATATACAAAAGGATCGGGGACATATAAATCAATAAAATTCCAATGTGCCTGCAAATGCCCGGCATTCTTCGCAAATTAGAGGGAAAACTTCATCGCAGGAGCACAGGACTTTTCTGCCTTCTCCTGACTTTCCCGCATTCTTGGCCGCTGACAAAAGCCAGGCTGACAATTATGGGAAACTTGAATTGCTGCTCGGATGCCAACTGCCATTGAAATGCTCATCCCGTCCTTGTTTCTCCCTCTCCCTCTCCGTTTTACGTTTCTCCTTTCTCCTTTTCTCCATTTCTCCGTTTTATGGTGGCGCACATAAGTATGCTACGCATTTGGAAGCGGAGAACATATGACATGGAGGGAAAATATATGGTAATCACATTGGATCTCCCCTTACCTCTCAGCCCCATAGTTCTTCCCACTTATCTCGTACCTGTGGCCACGTTTGCTTTTCATTTTTCCCCCATTAAATGTCAAGGCAGCCGTCGCCTTTCATTCGCTTTCCTTTCTGCTTTCCAGCGCTTTTCTATGGCCACTCCCGCTCTTGTAGTGAAGAACCTTATTTTGCGTCTCGCCCGCAGCTGTTGGTTGGTTCGTCGTTGCCCCTTTCATTGTATTATTGCTGCTTGGCTGGCTTTTGTCTAAGAAGACCAGTCCCCTAGCAGTTGCTGTTGATGTTGATGGTTTTGTGTCTGTTTTTCCAGCTCTAATCCAGATTAAACGCAGCTGCAGCTGCATAAAGCAGATTCCATTTCCATTTCCCTCAATTGCAAGGGTTTCTCAGGCAGGGTTTCGCCAGGCACTCGCCTGTTGCTCGGGGTGATGCGGTCCTTATAACTTGGGTATTATAGAGCGTTTAAGTGCTGTTGGGAAATTAAATCAAGCTCCTCTTCATGACATCCCATTAAATCTTTTCAAATCACTTCAGAACAATCTATAACGTTAAGTTTGTAATCATTAATCCTAAAGATTAAATACTCCCTAGTAACATGTTTAATTGGAAAGGTGAGAGTTTTGAACGCAAGAATAACATTATAGGAATTGCTTGCATGAAATCTCTTTTGTACAAATACATCAATAGGTGTGCTAGGACAACAGGGCGTATGCTTAACATAAATTAATATAAATTACTTCCTTTTAAGATCCCATCCAAGTTTAATAGTGTAAACCACCCAAGTGCGGTTTGGTTTGATTCAAGGAATAGAGGACTCAAGGTAGAACGGGTATAGGAAATCGCATCCCGAGTGGCCCACGGGTCGTATGATTAATATTGATTGATTCCGCTGTCGTCTTAGGTTTTCCTACATCAAACGCGGAGTCAGTGCTAATAATTTATTGAGTTTCAGCGACAATCAGATTTCCAGAGCGAACAAATGCGACCCAGCAGGGCATTTAAATTAGCGTCCTAATTGAATTTGTCGCAGCAACCATGGATACTACTACCACTCCGTACAAACAGATATTTTATATATATTCTTGGGCCAGAAAAAAGGGCCTTTTTGTGAAAATTGGGCCAAATTGAATCGGGCTTTTGGCCGGCAACTGAGTGAATGCATTCTGTCAGCGGAGGAAGCGGCTAATTAGGGGGCCGGGAAAAGCTTTCTGGCTTTAAATATTTAAAGCCAACGAAGGAGACGTCCTGTCCTCGGGGAAGTTGCCAACTTGTTAGCCAGGCTTTTTGCCAGCGTGTGTGTATGTATCAGTTATTCAGGGAAGTGCCCAAGGTATTTTGTCAACAGGCCAACAAACAATTCATCAGTTTCATTGTCCAATTAGTGAATACAGGCAGTTGCAAATAAATTAAACGGAATTATGTCGGCGCTGCTTTCTTTCCTCCCACGAACAAACACACTCCGTATATCTATATATATTCTATATATATATATATATATATATACACACGCCCACCTCAGCGAAATCAATGGAAATGGAAAATCCTGTGCAGTATTTGCGTAATTTTCGCCCGCACACAAACACTGGCCGAAAAGTTTGCACTTTCCTGAACTCACTTGGATTGCTCTGGGGTTTTTTGTTTATTTTCGCGACGTTCGAGTGCAGTTTTCCGTGCGAATTTTTCACTTTTCGCCAGACACTTTTCACAACATGGCGTCACGCCTACGCCAGTACCACAAAGGAAGCGCTCGTCGCTGCCAGCCAGTTGCCACTGTACCTGTTACTCTCAACCTCTGTGCTCAGCCAAGGCGGAACCAAGAGTGTCGGCCAGTCCCGGAGCTTCCACGTTTTATACAGGACTCGCTGCGGCCGAAAGGACACGAAGCCACCCGAAGGCCTTCGTGTGGGAGGTGGGAAAACGAGGGAAAGAGGGGAAAGAGGGGAAGGGAGAGGAAAGGAAAGCTTTCAGCTGCAGCCAAGCTTCGTTGGGAAAGGGAGAAAAAAGAGGTTGAGGATGGCCAAGACTTACAGTGGAAAAAATACTAACTAATAATAATAAATAAATGAAAAATGCGTTTTAAACACCACATCAAAGGTTAGAATGTCAATTGTTTTGTGTTCTTGAAATAAAAACAGATCTAAACAGACAAAATAAAAAAGAGTAACAAATTCAATTTTATATCTTTACATATAATATATTTTTTTTAAACATAGAATCTAAAAATTCTTTCTTTTTTTTATTACCTCCTAATAAGTCGTTTACAATCTAGTGTTCGTATCATTGTTCTGTTAAACATTTCTGTGCGTATTTTATGATTCTGAGGACTTTTCGAACTAAAACTTGAGTAGCGTTTCACTACCAAAATGGGAGTCGCCACCCAGTTCATAGTGGGCGCCATCGCCGCCTTCGGAGCCTTTTGCCTGGGAGCTGTGATCGGATGGTCGGGACCCGTGGAGAACGAGGTCAAGAGCGGCGATGCCTACGACTTCACCCCGGATACCACGGAATGGGGTCTGGTGGGATCCCTGATGACATTGGGAGCGGCCTTCTCCTGCATTCCGGTGGGCATCCTGATCGGCAGGATCGGGCGAAAGGTGACCATGTTGCTCCTGCTGCCGCCATTCGTCGTCGGCTGGCTGCTGATCCTACTGGCGATGCACATCGCGATGCTGCTCCTCGGACGTTTCGTGGTGGGGTTCTGCGGCGGCGCCTTCTGCGTGGCCAGCCCCATATACACCACCGAAATAGCCGAGTTGCAGTACCGCGGCATCATGGGCTGCTTCTTCCAGCTGCTGATCGTCCACGGGATCCTATACGCCTATGTGATCGGAGCCTTCGCCAATGCCTGGTGGTTCAACATCGCCTGCGGCATTCTGCCCGTTGTCTACTTCCTGATGTTCATGTGGATGCCGGAGTCGCCGGTCTACTTGGCTCAGAAGGGCAAGTCCGAGCGGGCGGAGAAGTCGCTGAAGTTCCTGCGCGGCAAGGATGCGGATGTCAGTGCGGAGATGAAGACCCTGGCCACCGACAATCCCACGGAGCAGTCGAGCATCAGCAGCCGGCTCTGCCGAAGGGTCACCCTGAAGGGCCTCTTCCTGTCCATCGCCCTGATGGTGTTCCAGCAGTTCACCGGGATCAATGCCATCGTCTTCTACACGACGTTCATCTTCGAGTCGGCGGGATCCTCGCTGGAGCCCCGCTTCTCCACGATCATTGTGGGCATTGTCATGGCCATCGCCACCGTGATCTCGATCTTCCTCATCGAGAAGCTGGGCCGCAAGGTACTGCTGCTGATCTCGGCTTTTCTGATGGGTATCAGCACCCTAACCATGTCCCTTTACTTTGGCTTCTTCCTGAGCTCGGACATCGGCTGGCTTGCTCTGACGGCCATCTGCGTCTTCATTATCGGCTTCTCGGTGGGATTCGGCCCCGTTCCCTGGGTCATGATGGCCGAGCTGTTCGCCGAGGACGTAAAGGCTTTGGCGGGATCGATTGCCGGCACCACCAACTGGCTGGCAGCCTTCGTCGTCACGCTGCTCTTCCCGGTGCTCAACGAGCAGATTGGGGCAGCTGCCTGTTTTGGGATCTTCTGCGGCTTCGCGGTAGTGGCCTTTGTGTTCGTACTCTTCCTGATTCCCGAGACGAAGGGCAAGACCCTCAACGAGATCCAGGCCAAGCTGGGCGAGAAGAAGGAATAGCTGTTTCGTTGTCAAAGTATAGAACTTGGGAATCTTCTTGAGAGAAGAACTGGGAATGTCTACCAATGTTGTAAATTTGTTGTTCCCTTTACAGATTAGTATGTCATGTACAAATTATATATGTGTGTTCGTATAAATGATCTCAATGCTTTACTTAGACTTTGTTATACCCTTGCAGAGCAAAGGGTATTATAATTTTGGCCAGAAGTTTGCAACGCAGTGAAGGAGACACCTCAGACCCCATAAAGAATATATATTCTTGATCAGCATCACGAGCAGAATCGGAATACGTCTGTACGTCTGTCCGTCTGTCCGTCTGTCCGTTTCTGCCTAAACTAGTCTCTCAGTTTTAAAGCTATCTCGCTGAAACTTTCCCAAAAGTTTTGTAGCTATTGCACGCAGTATATAAGTCGGAACGGGCCGGATTGGCCGACTATATCGGATAGCTCCCAAACGACAGAATGAAATAAAAAATTCTTACTCCGTTGTTTTTGATCAGATTGACTTGATTCCTTCCAGATGGCGTTTTCTAAATGCTATTGAATTTCTGATTAAATTTTATCAAAATCGGATAACTCTATCATATAGCTCCCATAGGAGAGATCAAAAAATATATATATAAATAATGGGAAAAAATTATAATGTCGTTCTTTTCAATGCCACGACCATGATTTTTGGAACATAAAGTTTTTTAAATACTCTTAAATCAAGAAAAAAATTTCATAAAAATCGGAGTACTATATCATATAGATCGAAAAATCTATTTAGAAATAAGAGAAATAGAATTATAACCTCGTTGTTTTACATCAGACAATCATGATTTTTGGAATATAGAGTTTTCTAATGAGTCTTGAGTTACAAATTAAATTTCTTCAAAATCGGACGACTTTATCATATAGCTGTCATATGAACAACATGGAAAAATAATAGAAAAATCGTCATAGATTCGATGTTGTTAGCCTTTATGTATTTTGTTAGACAGATTTAATGACTGCAAGGGTATATAAGCTTCGGCTTGCCGAAGCTAGCTTCTTTTCTTGTTTTTTTAGTATTATTATAAAGATGAAGGGATAACAGTTAAGTTTGCTAGCTTAGCTTAGCTGTAATGAAGTGACACCTGTTAGCTTTCACCGAGCTGATGGCTTTAACCTTCAAAATCGATGGCTGGCTTACCATTCCTGTTAACTAGAAATCTGCAAACTCGCCTGAAAATCACTGAACACGCGGAGTTAAAGGTTAACCGCACTGCACCGAAACCAGAAACGCACTGCAAATGAGGCTGGCTTTGCAACCAAATAAATGCACTCCGACTTCTGATGCATCGGGGGTAAATGGCAGAAAGTCAGGTAAATAGTGGGAAAGCTTCCCGTCCGACTGTCTGCCATTTCCCCAGCGGATTCGGTCCAGGTTCGATTCGATTTATCGCCACTGCGCATGGCCATAAACATGTGTCGGCTGGCCAAAAGCGGTGCAGCAGCTGGGAAGCATGTACACACGTTCTGGCCAGGCCGAAAGCACATACACACTTGTTCCGGGAACGAACTGTTGCTCTCTTCGCATCTGGTGGAGCTGGTCCCGTGCAAAAGCCACCTGTTACTCAGCCCGCTCGCCAGAGGACCTCCACTCCTCCCAGAATTATTTCCGCCGACGAACTCCTCAACTATTTGCTTTTGGGGTGAACTTCAGTAACACACTCAACTTGGATTGGAATTTTCGAACAGAGCATTATTGCTTTTTTATCAAGTCTTAGGTTTTTGCAATTCATCTTTTGATTTGTGTACAATTTTATCACAAAATTATTCGTAATGGTATATTAATAAGAATTTAATCATAATATAGCTTTCTTACAATACTCATAGCTTTCATACACAGACTCATATAAAATTGAAAAGAAATTTCCCATGCGAGGTTTATTCATATTAAAAATTTGTTACTTTTACAGATTTGTCAAAGCTACTATTAACACTAGCCAACACTAATGCTTTGCCATTTGATTTTCTTTCATTGTTGTGAGGTGCTTGTTTGAGGGCGAATCAGCTTGTTATGCCACCTTAATATTGTCCTGTGTACATCTTAATGTGCATGCGTGATGACTGTACTTTTAGTCCCTTTCAATCTGCAATCGTGATTGCAGCGCAGCAGCATTGGAGTTGGCATCGAGCCCCCTCGGCATTTCCCCTTTTTTGGCGTCCAACTGTCCGAAATCCGGTGTACAGGTGGATTCGGGGAACTGGTGCCCAAAGGGAACGGAAATATCCGGAGCAGGTGCTTTCTTGTGGTTCCCATGGCGATGCACCAAATGTTTCCCGGGGCAGGAGCTCAACTCGCTGCACAATCCCGGTCCGGATATTATTCACCTGCATTGCGGTCCACTGGCCCATTGACAAAATTATTTATACAATTTTTAATAAAGAGCGCAGTAAGCTGGTATTTCAATTAGGACACTGTTCACGAGAAGGAGATGCTGATGTTAAACTAATCTCCTTTGAAAGGTTCTTAGTTTAAGGAGCTTAAGTTTTATCTTTTCAGTTGAACAGAAAAACAAGCATTATAAATCAGTCATTGGATGATATATTTGTAATGACTATTAAAGTATTAGATTCCCCCTATTGAATCACACACTTTCCAGCTAAGTTGAACTAGATTTTATTCACTTTTTTATCGTTCAGTTAAGGTCAAAGAGTATATACAAAATAAATACGATTTTCGTGTGGTTTGCAGTATGCAGTATGCGTGATTCGGATTGAGATTAGGTTATGAGTGACTAAGACTAGGGACTACGAACTAATGGATCAACGCTGACGATTAACCACATTCACGAGCAGTTTGAGCAGCTTGAGCTGGCTTCCTCTGACCAGGGATAATCTCTCTCTCTCTCTCTCTCTCGATCGTTTTCACACCTTGAAGATGCCAAAGTAGCTGCGGTTGTTCGCCTCCCGCAGGACGGCGTTGCGATCGTTGTGGATGTCCTTCAGGTGGATCCGCTCGTTCCGCTCCAGGTAGATCAGCCCACTGGTGTGGCAGGTGTGCACCTTGTTGGGCATGTTGGTGGGCACCGTGTTCAGGCACTGCAGGAAGGGCGAGTCGCCCTGAAAGACGATGAACCCGTTCTGGTCGTGCGAGTTGTTGTAGCATATCTGGGCGTATACGTAATATAGGCCCGGATTGGTCACCGTCAACACGCCGTTGTGCACTTGAAAGTGCCCCTCATAGAAGTTCTTCTCGTTGTCGTTTCCTATGTACATGTCACCATGATAGCCTGAGGAATCGAATAGGGTTAAATGATTAAATTGATTTCGGCGGGGAGCAGAATAAGTGTCCTCTTACCCGAACTTCCTTGGTGACGCCTTCTGCTGCTCAGGTGAAAGTGGGCGGCTGGCATCGAGTCCTTGGATCTGGCTGAAATAAGAGATTCACCTGCAAATTAACAGAGGGGCAAATGGAGATTTGGTATTCGTTTTCTGCCAATTGTAAGGATTTGTTTCGAGTACACACCTTTGCGGAATAGAAGTCGACTTTGACGGGAGTGTATTCTGCGACGATGGTGAAGTGGGGTGGAGCTGTGGGTGAAAATTTAACAATTTTAGTAGTTAATTAAAGGGATAAAGATGTACTCTTCTACTTATAATTTATATTTCTATTTTAAGCATATGTATCTAATTTAATATTCTTACCTTTCCTTGGAAGCTGGCTCATTGGCTGGCTTTTCCTGCAGCTCCGTGCGGTTTTCCTGAATGTTCTGCTGCTCGTTGCGCACATCGGCAATCGAACGAGATTTTCTGCGGAGGGAAATCCATGAATTAATTAAGTACACACCATCCCCGGGAATCCCCGCTTTGCTCACCTCTCCTGCTTCTTGCGGCGGGCATTGTAGCTGGTGAAGTCGTCGAACACATTGTCGTCATTGGAGGCGGAGGAGGCGCTGTCCGTTTCGCCCTCGCCCTCTTCGGTGGTTTCGGATGTGGGCGTGGTCTGCTCAGTGTGTGCCTGCTGCAGCTTGTTTATCATATCGCTGTAGTCCTCGTAGTCCATGCCATCGTCATCGTCCTGAGAGCTGTAGACCTCGTCGTCCTCCTCCTCGTCCTCAATGGGATCCACATCTTGGCCGTCGACGTCGTCGCTGTCCTCGTCGTCTAGGGGGTCTTCCAACTTTTTGGGAAAGTCGATGAGTGCATTCTCGTACTGCAACGAAGATGGGACGGGGTCAGCATTTTGGGTCAACTACGTGACTGCAGCTGGCACAACAATCCTGCCACAAGTCGCACATTCATTTGCGCGTTTCATTTTTAGACGCACGCCCGCGGCAAAAGCTGTTTCGTCATCATTCTAATTGATGGCGCCTCCCTCAAAAACATATTATATATACCCACACATACATATATCTATATAGATATATTTAAAGGCGTACAAACTCTTGGGCGAATTGCCTCCACAGATGCCCAGCCATTAAAATATAAATAAATCTCAAAATCTTGAAACGATCTTTTGCCATTAGGCCATTCGAGATCCGATCAATCGTCACATAAAACCAATAGCCATCGCGAGCCTTGAACGACTTCTATATATCTGCAGATATAGTAGCTTTCCTGAATTATTGGGGCTTTTGCCTTGTGTCACTGGGGCATTTGCATCCCATAAATTACTTTCAGCGGCTGGCGCCAAATGTTTCTAATATTTTAATTGATTGTTTCCCAGGGGAAAGAGACAATACAATTAAAATAATCTATCACAATTCCCAGCAGACTTTTGGTAAGGCAGCGAAGGCAAAAAACGGAAAAACAGATGAAAACGCTCCGAATTTATATTTTAGCACATATTTCTATAAATATTTTTTGTTGTCCCACACAATAACCACAAAATATATCTGGGCATTTTTTGAGGCATTCTTTTTAAAAGAGCAATACAAGTCTTATCGACTAAGAAATACCTTGGGTGTTCTTTACCGTTAAATGAATGCAATAAAAAGTGTATGTAAAATTATCTTGATAAAAGACTCAACAACAAAAGACCAGCATACCCTCATTAAAAAATCTTAAGTACTTGCCTCAGAGAATAACAACTTATTTTTTGTTTCGACTTTGTAAACAAAGCGAGAGATCTGTATTTACCTCAGACAAATGTTACAGACGGCCCGAAGCAACAGAAAAAAAAATACAAATATTGATGCTTAAGAGTGATTTATACAATGGCTCACCTGCTTTTCGAACTCATCCATTTCATCCAGATAATGGATGCCCAATCGCTGCTGGAGATTATCGACGACCCGCCTCAGACTCTTAATTTCCGTTTCCAGATGCGTGACCCGCGAAGTCTGCCAGATCTGGAATTGAATTAAATTGATATAGACTTATCCAAACTAGATCGTAATCATTCAGTCATTAGCACTTTGGCAATTAATTGAGTAAGCCCCAATTAAACATCTATAGTTTGTGCGAAGGCGCAGCACATCATATAACACTCCGTGCCGCGAACTTTTGACACCCAAAAAACATAACAATATAACTGAACAAACAGATAAAGACTGGATGGGGGATCAGAGGAGAGAGAGAGAGTGGGGTTTCGTAAGAAAATACACCGAGGTACCGACATCGCCACTCAGGCACATAATCTGCTTAATGGATCATTAACATTCGGGCCGAGCACAGGCCTTATATACAGACACTTCTCATGTTTCGACTGCCACCCGAAATCAAAAAAGAATGGCTCAACTAAAGCCACTGTGCGCAGACGGGGAAAAATATACAAATAAAAACTTGTACTGAATTCTTGTATAATTTATGGACACCACGGCCCAAGAAACTTGTTTGAGGCTCGTGTTTTGGATTCCAGTAAACCACTTTCCATTAGGTCTTATCGACCGATCTGTAGATCGATTGAAGCGCCTGCAGTTTGTCACTTTCTCAGGGACCCCCAGATGATGAGGGTCGTCCGTCGAGGTCACTTCGATTGGATGTCAGAAACGGGAAGCAAAAATTGAATTAAAAAAAAAAAACAATAAACAACAGAAACTTTAAGACATAACAGAGATTTATGGGGAAAACAAAACTTATGGCCCACGTCAGTGGCTGAAGCCAATCATTTACAAGTCAATTGACAATTGTACGATTTCCGTTCACTTAAGCCAAAGCTGAGTGGGTCTTGGGAGATTTCTGGAATGGAGATTGGGGATGGGGATGGGGGGCCGGCAAACTCAGCTCTAGAATTTTAATCTTTAGCAATTCGAAATCGCACTTCGGCGAGCAGAGTCATCCACAAAGTTATCAGGCGAAAACATGACCCAACATCCCATCCCAGTCGAAGATTTATCGGCTACGAGTGCAGAGCAGAACAATCCCCAGTGCCATTTAAATTGGCTCAACGAAAACAAAACAGACAAGTACAGATAAACATTCGGCCGGCATCTGCATCCGCTTTATTTGGATTAGCTGGATCATTAGGAACCGATTTGGCCTAAAGACGTGCCGGTGATGACATCGCTTGATCAGCCAAGAAGCCGGCGACTTTCCCACTCTAAATATAGTTTCATGCCAAATTATAGTTAATGTATCTGCGACGGATCTGGTCACGGATCATAAAATCTGTTTTTATTTCAATATATGCATCTGGGGAATTTCGCTTTTAATTTGGCATCAACAAAGACTTTGTGACAAACAGCTTTATAAGCTGAAGCGTGCCAGAGGTTAAATATTTTTAGATTGCGAATTCGAATTCGGGGGTGTCTATATATGTATATATGTTAAAGTCCAATTTGCATCTATACATATATACTTGCAAATTTTATTAGCAAGCTACTGAAATAAACATTTCCGAAGAATCGGGGGGATCTGTGATTTAAGTCTGAGCAGAGTCTACAAAAAAAGTTCATGGTCAAAAGAATCTCTTAATCTTGAAATGAAATTAAAACTAAGCTCGTTTGGAGTGTTTTTAATGATGACAGAGAACTATTAAATAGTAGTAAGCTTAAAAGTGGTAAAGTTAGCGATCATATAAAGCAATTATAACCATGATAGCTCCACTTTGGGTCTTGAAATATCTTTTAACAACATAGCCAATAACGATTCATTCATATCTTTATTCGGGGAAAACACCCACCAATAACTGATATCTCCACACCTTTCGGAATTCCAACAGTCATGGTTTACCACATGGTAACAAAAGCAAAACAACAACAAATGAAGATTTGCTACTCCACTCGGAAATCAATAATGGGAATCTTTGTATTATTGTGTCCCTTTGAGAGTTGATAATAGGCAATACAATTATAGCATTCTTCACACGAAAGGCCGCCTTATCACAGATACAACGCCAAGAAAACTACTCCAATTATTGACAGAAATTGTTTATGATTTTCGCACTATAGGTAGATAACAAACAAAGAGTTCTCATGACTCAAGTTTTGAGTGTAACTTTTTGTTTTCCTATGAAAAAGTATCTAAAATAATAATGATCATTTATCGAAAGTAGAATAGAGATATCATTTATAAGGTAAGAAAGGTGTAGGTATGATAAAGATTGTTCAATGATCTGCTATTAAGGATTTAAGATGGCTTTAGTATCTGCACCTAGTTGATCTGGTGACCTGCTGTTTCTTGAGGGGAAACTCACCGTTAAAGCCAGAATGGCGACGACCAGGCCCAGACCGATGACCCCCAAGATGAAGGGGATCAGCTGGCGGGTGCGGCGCTGGGCGGTCGCCGTGGTGGTCGCTTTGGCCGGAAAACCATCGTCGGCACTCGTGGGGGTTATAAACGGCTTGAGGGTCTCGGCTGTCATAATTGGTGAGCACTGCGGATTTTAGACCGACCGGGGCCTCCAGATGCTTACGATGCTGCTGACGATGATGACGACGATCTCGCCTTGCCCACCCACTCAAGGGCACTCGACAGCTGTTCCCACTCGAGCTTTGTCGCACTATGTACACTATATATGTACGATCCACTCACTATATATATACACTATGTAAACCGGCGGCACTCGGGACAGCCTCAGAGACAGCTTTAGATAAGCTGCGACATCTACGGAGATTACCCTCTCGGGCTGCTGACGATGCCCTTTTTAGAGAAACTATATATTCTTTGTCTAGACGGACGGATTTTCTTCGCGGTGCCGCTTGTTTTTATTTTCCGCGATCGGCAATTTGCACAAGAGAACCGGCGAGAACGAGTTTTGCGAGATATTTTTCTCGTTTTATCAGTTCTTGTCTGCGATAAAAGGCCAGCAAAGCACAGAGTTGACGACTTGCACTTATTTTGAGTAATTTACCCGATGGCGAAATTCGATCTTGGTAGTTAAACAAAAAGGTTTACTTATTCTGCTAGGCACGCACGCACGCGCCTGCCCCTATATGTTCGATTTTACCGGTTTCTTGTTTAACGAACGTCCGTTCGCGTTGGCGATTTGAAAGAGAATGATTTTGAGAACGGGAACTGAGCGAACGGCACTTGCTTTCCCATACGAGAGCAGGCAGGCGAGAGAGGGAGATGGAGCGACTCTCTTGCTCTCGCTTCCGCGCATGTCGAGGATGCTAGGCATACTTAAGGGCGCCTGCGCTATTTACTTTGTGTGATTAATTTTTGGCAAGACTCTTCCGGTGGTGGTGTAGTTGAAACACAGTGGTCTCTGGATAAATTATATTAAAAGGGACATTACAATTTTGTTTGGGTCGAAATGAATAACAGATCAAAAACAAAAAAATTTAAGTTGATACTTAAAAGCTAGCCCTTCTTTGAAGAAACATTATAAGTTTAGCTCATTGCTTAAGTCTCTTTTTCAAATATTATAATGGTGAAATTTGTATAATATAAAGCAAAGTTTCGAGGTTCAGGACATTAAACAAAATCCACTTTTATCTTAACCTTGTCACACTGTACAAACTTCCCCTTGTCCATATTGAGATCGTAAGTAGCAAAGCGTGTTTGACTTTTTGCGCAGTGTTTTCCGTTGATTTCTTTATTTTTTTTTTGTGCTTTGTGTACTTAAAACCTCCCTCTGGTTAATAATAGGGGTGGCTTGATTGCTTTTTGAAATATGCACCACTGTAAGCGGTTTAGTTTCACTGCACAGCCCTAGGGTTTCTTTTTTTTTTTTGTTCGTGTGGCTTGCTTCTGTTGTGCCCCCTTTGTGACTTGGGACATGGAACCGATCCCCGATCTTCGATCTCCGTGGCGCAGCTAATTGAATTCCGAAAAACGTCGAATCGCTGACATAACCCACAGATAAGCCCGACGAACTTTTGGCACTTCATTAAAACCGTATTTATTATTGCTTAGTGCGCTGGCCGGCTTATCAGCGCCACGTCTAAGTACGGGTTCTAATTGCGGGAATGGCAGGCAAGCCATAAAACCTAATGCTGATCCGATCCGATCTGCCACTGTCGCGACAATCTGTCTGTCCGGCCGGCTGCCAAAAAGACCCATATCGTAAATCTGACCGACACCCGAGCGAACCGGGAAAGATGCAAATGCCGGCGCTGGTCAGCTAATTAGTTTCGAATCGACGGCGACGACAGGTAGCCACAGGTAGAATCGTGGCCAAAACAGCGGGGAGCGGAGAGTCACACGCTTCCGGTGCAACAATTAACCCATCAATTCTAGCAGTTTCTTAAAGGTGTATTATAATTATGAAAATATATGAGATTTATAAAATAAATCAATGAATATATCAAAACCTTTTGCAGAAAGCTACAAATTAAAAAAAAAAAAGGGGTGTGTCCAGCCTACGCACGACAGAAGTGAAACTTCTTCATCACTACTCATTTTTATACACTTGCAGAGCAAAAGGGTATTATAATTTCAGTCAGAAGTTTGCAACGCAGTGAAGGAGACACCTCAGACCCCATAAAGTATATATATTCTTGATCAGCATCACGAGCAGAATCGGAATACGTCTGTACGTCTGTCCGTCTGTCCATCTGTCCGTCTGTTCGTTTCCGCGCAAACTAGTCTCTCAGTTTTAAAGCTATCTTGCTGAAACTTTCCCAAAAGGTGTGTAATTATTGCACGCAGTATATAAGTCGGAACGGGCCGGATCGGCCGACTATAAAGGATAGCTCCCATACGAGGGAATGAAATGAAAAATTCTCACGCCGGTGTTTTTCGTCAGATCTACTTGAATTCTTCAAGATGGCGTTTTCTAACTGTTATTGAATTTCGGATTAAATTTGATCAAAATCGGATAACTCTATCATATAGCTGCCATAGGAGAGATCGAAAATTATATATAGAATTAATGGAAATAAATTGATAACATCGTTGTTTTTTATCCCATGATTTTTTGAATATCAAGTTTTTTAACAACGTTTATATTGAGAAAAAAGTTTCATAAAAATCGGTCATCTATATCTTATAGCTGCCATAGGAAAGATCGAAAAATTTATATCGAAATAATGGAAACAAATTTATAACATCGTTGTTTTTTTATCAGACAAGTATGATTTTTGGAATATAGAGTTTTCTTACGACTCTTGAATTACGAATTAAATTTGATCAAAATCGGACAACTATATCATATAGTCGACATTTGAACAATAGTCGAAAATACGGAAAATGAATAGAAAAATCGTCATAGCTTCGATACTGTTTAGCCTTTTTGTATTTAGTTCGACATATTTGATGACTGCAAGGGTATATAAGCTTCGGCTTGCCGAAGCTAGCTTCCTTTCTTGTTAAAATTGAAATTCTGTAGGAAACCGAATAAAAGCCTTATTATACGCTTCATTTTAGAGGTCTCGAAATGTGCTGGCGACTCTCAAAAGTTAACAAACTGATTGAGAAGAAGAAGAAGACAAATACATATCGATATGTGTTTTCATTTCTAGGTCAAATAAAATGGATAGAAATTATGGTGCCAATTAATATCTGTATGCAACCTGTTCGATTTGAATTCCTTTTGACATTCACACCTCTCACCCCTTTTTCAACTGCAACTTTGTGCGAGCGCGCTGAGAGCGCGCTGAGAGCGAGAAAGGATAGAGGAGGATAGAGACATCGTTCGTCAGCGGTTAGAAAGGGATGGGGATCCTCGCTTTTTCGTGACGGCAATTTTCGTGACGGTAATTTTCGTGACGGTCATGAATCGGTTTTACTCCGTCCCCGAAAATCCATAACGCGCCTAAAGAAGTTTCACTTCAAAAACAATGTATCCTTTTTATAACATCAAAATATGTTATTTTACACAAAATTATTCTGCATTTGAATTACTCAGTAATACTCAGTGGCTGCTATAAAATTATGCTCATCTGTCTGAAACCCCATTAGACGACTGATTACTGTTCTGGTTAGAAACATCTTCAAGATACAAACTTATAAATGAGACTCATTATCTTGTATGATCTAGATATATCACGTGATTGCACAGAGGGTTAACCCGAGACTCACTTAATCGAGCGTAGCCAAGAAGCAAGACGATCTCAAGGCGCACTTTTCAAAGTCAATGCCGGGCAATTGACGTTGCAAACTTACAGATACACACAGTCATTCCGTTGTCGTCTCTCCCCCCTCGGTATTATAGCATGTGTCAGAGCTCCACAACTCTTGGGCTTTGTTTGGATCAGAGACTCTGGAGCTCATACCCAAAGTGTCTTCCATATTGTGGATTTTTTATGTGCTAGAGAGCGATCATCGAGAAAATTTATTAGACAAGCGCCCCAATAGCACCACCGATGCTTGAAATGAATTTCTTTGGAACTATATCGCGGGGACTGAGGTCTCAGATCGGTTTACTTCGAATTGATTCGCACACTCAGCAATGTACATTTGGGTGTGTGTTATTATATCGCTTTGGGGTGCTGGAAATTGGTTACGATAATTAATATACGACAAGCCATTATCTGTTTCAACAAAGTGTGTTCAATGTCGACGCGCCAAATGGCAAACGTTTAAAGATAATGTTATTCACTTTATCGGGCGATCACATTTATTTTATGACCAAAGTTAAACGATAATACGGTTTACATTTGATAGAAGATATTATGTTTTACATTTTGAATAATAATGCGTGTTTAAAAATCAACTATTGAAAATATGTTAAGCTTCTTAGATTACGGAGTTGACTTATAGTTTAATTGTTAATTCAGATAGCGCAAAGCCTTTCTCCCAAAACCAATTTATGTTTACACAACAATTAAAAAAGTCTCAAAAGTATTGAATCGCAATTACATTAAACATAGGGTCATTAAAATATTTATTAATTAAGCTTGTCATTTAAATTGAATAAGACCGTTATTTTTTTTGGTATATAAGTGGTATACTGTAGTACATTTTCTTTAGCCGGATATTGCTCTCTCCCTCTTACACTCAATGTAGTCGATTCTTTTTTTTTTATCGAAATACCGAGTATTTTGCAGCCCTAGCGCTCACTATCGATACTTTCGTGAGTGGTGAACCCAGCTCTAGTAGTCAGAATGAGGTTTTTTTCCGGCGTTTTTCTAATTTTATTAATTAAACTTTTCCAAAATGCCAACGCTGGCGAGGTGGAAGTCGTCGGCTGCGGTGGATTCATCAAGAGTCACGCCGAGATCGACTTTTCCCGGGTGGAGATCAAGCTGTAAGTAGATGACCCACCAAAGTGGGGATGACCTGATAAGATTTGGTCGCATGGTGGCCGCTAATTGAATAATAAATTAACCAGCCCGTATGTGATTAACCTAATTTCCTTTGTTTCACAGGCTGACGAAGCAGGGATCACTAAAGGACAAAACGGATTGCTCGCCTTCAAATGGATACTACTTTTTGCCCATTTACGATAAGGGCGACTACCTCTTGAGTATTTCCCCTCCTCCGGGATGGAGTTTCGAGCCTGAACAGGTGGAACTGAGCTTTGATGGCAAGACTGACGTGTGCAGTCAGGGCCACGATGTGAACTTTGTGTTCAAGGGCTTTGGAATCACTGGACAGGTGGCACTTGCCTCCGGGGGCGGAGCTCGTGACGTGGACGTGGAACTTAAATCGGAGCAGGGCGAAGTTCGACGTACCAAGACGGATGCCAGCGGGGTGTTTTCCTTCACTCCCATTATTCCCGGGAAGTACGTGGTGAAGGCTTCGCATCCTAGATGGCACTTTTCCAAGGCGGAGCACACTGTAGTCGTGGTCAGCGGAAACACCGAGCTGCCGGCTAACTCCATTGTGGTCTCCGGTTTCGATGTTGTGGGTCGCTTTGATTCCAGCACACAACTTCCCGGAAATTTGGGTGTGGCTATTTATAAGAAAAAAGGAGTAAGTTACATTAATTTTACATTACATTAATTTAAAAAAAAAACTAAATAAATATAAAATTTCTACTTCTCAGCAATCTCTAGTGCCAAAATGCCAGAAAGCCCCGTCAGCGCCGGCAAATAGTGCCAACAGTGCTTACGAATCTGAAGCCTCATGCTTTTCCCAGCTGGACAAATCAGGAGAATATAACTTTAAGAATGTACCCTCTGGCAAATACCTGTTGCAAGCTGTTAACCTCGATTCCAAGCTGAAATTGCACTTGAGCCCCAAGTTTTTGGAATTAGAAGTCGGCAAGGACACACTGCAACTTAAAGAGGAGTTCAAGATCACAGGCTTTACCGTTTCTGGCCAAGTTCTGACTTCAGCTGGTGGCGAACCTCTAAAGGCAGCCGTGGTCAAGGTAAATGGCAAGAAGGTGGCTGAGACTGATGCCCAGGGCACATATACTTTGGAGAACCTTAGCGCTGGCACCGTAAATATCGAAGTGGAGTCTTCCCAGCTCCAGTTCACTCCCCTGCAAGTCAAGATCCAGATCAACACCGCCTCTCTGCCCACAATTGTGCCATCTGCCTACGAGGTGTGCGGCAAAGTTGTGTCTCCAAAATCCCACAATGTGGGACTGACAAAGAGTGGTTCCACCTTCCATACGACGGCTACCACAAAGGCAGAGACCGGAAAGTGGTGTGCCTTCCTGCCTGTGGGAAAATACACCATTGAAGTGCTGACTACCGATGCAGACAAAGCCGCTGGAGTGCAGTTCTTCCCCGTTCAACAGCAGACTGAGGTTCGGAATGCACCAGTTAATGGCATAACCTTCTCACAGCTGCGTGCCAAGATCCGCGGCGAACTCCAGTGCCTGCCCGACGCCACCGGCACCTGCACATCCGCTGAAGTAACTCTGCAGGCTCTGGATGCCACTGGTCAGCCCACCGAGAACAAGTGGAAGGCCAGAGCTCATCGTAAGTGGAATTTTAAATTTAGCTGACACAAATAACCACGTTACCATTTGCCGTTGATAAGTGCCATAAATTACAATAACAGATAAGCTCTTGTTGGCGTTAAGATTTATTTAAGATAACCCTATCAAAGAAAAACATTGCATATCATTCAACTTATGCTTTTTTAATTGCAGGTGGCAAGTACGTGTTTAAGGATATGCTGCCAGGACCCTATGAACTGACCATTCCCCAGGGAAATCTCTGCTACGAGTCCACCCGTGTGTTCCTGAATGTCGCCTCAGCCGAAGAAGATGCGCCACCATTTGTGCACAAGGGCTATGAGGTGTCCATCATATCCAGCCACCGTGCATTGGTAAATCTGCTAATAAAAGCTACTTTGATTGATGATAACTTACTCCTATTTCTCCCTAGATGAAATACACCCATGTAACTGGACCCTCTGAACCCAAGGCGCCTACCGAAACCCTAAAAATTGCGTCAGGGGTAAATACTTTCTGTGTGAACAAATATGGAAGCTACGACTTCAAGCTGGAGGGATGCCACACGTATGACAGCTCGTTGCCCAGCAAATTCATTACCCCGGAGCCCGATCAGCTGCAAACTCTGATCATTAATGCAGTGGCCCACAAAACTGGTATTCGTGTTCTGTCCACCGAACCCACCGCTGAGTCCATTAAGCTTGTGCTCGAATCCGAGGCGCTGGGACAGGAGGTGATCACACCAGTTGCAGAGTCCCACAAAGTGGATGGCAAGTTCGCCTACCGCTATGAAACGTATCTGAAACCGGAGCAAGTCCTTCGCATTACACCAGTGAGCGATGTCCTTCTGTTTGCGCCGCAGCAACAAGAGATTGTGGGAGGCAGCGACTGTGTGGATATTGCCTTCAACTTTGTGGCCACCAGGGGCTTGATTCTGCGCGGAAAGGTCGTTCCTGCCATCAAGGATGCCAAGATCACACTGTCCTTCCCGGATCAGCCAGAGTTGCAGAGCCTGGAAACCCTTACTTCGATCACGGGCGAGTTCAAGTTCGGTCCCATTGAGGAGTCTCTGGCCTTTGATCTTAAGGCCGAAAAGGAGTCGTACGTGTTCAGCGATTACAACCGCCAGTCGGCTTCATTCAGTGCCCACAAACTGTGCGAAATTGCTGTGGTTGTCAAGGATGAGGCTGGTCAGACTTTGAGTGGAGTACTCCTTTCGCTGAGCGGTGGTGAGAGCTATCGCAAGAACCTGGTCACCGGCGACAATGGTGCGATTAACTTCCATTCCCTTTCGCCATCGCAATATTACCTGCGACCCATGATGAAGGAGTACAAATTCGAGCCCAACTCCAAGATGATCGAGATTAAGGATGGCGAGACTGTTGCTGTTACCCTAACGTGAGTTGATTTAACAACCTTGCTTGAACTATGGACTTATCACTCTCCTTATTTCCGCAGTGGCAAGCGCTATGCTTACTCCATCTTTGGCTCAGTGAGCTCTCTCAATGGTGATCCCTTCGCCGGCGTAAATGTTCAGGCCACCGCTGAGGATGGCTGTCCCCAACAGCAGGAGGAGGCCACCAGCGAGGCGAACGGACAATACCGCATTCGCGGCTTGCAGCCCGGCTGCAGTTACTCCGTTCGCGTGGTGCCTGACAAGGAAACCGTCGAGCGCTCCATTCCCGCCCAGCACTCGGTGAAGGTGGGCAGCGAAGATGTGCGCGACATTAACCTGGTGGCTATTAGCCCCCTTAAGATTGTGGACATCACCGCCAGGGTGACAGCCACACTTAATGACCACTACAAAACCCTTCGCATTGTGATGTACCGCAAGGGAAACTCCGATTCACCGGTATTCTCGCAGCGGGTCGGCACTCCAGTGAACCCCAAAGCCAGACTGAATCCGGGCATCACCGTTTTCTTCCCACGCATTCCCCTGGACGGCAAAAGCTACGTGGTAGAGCTGCAGTCCACACTCTCCGACAAAACATATACCTACAAGCTCCCATCGGCGACATTCGTGGCTGACCGGGGCTCCGTGTTCCTGCAGCTGGAGTTCAAGCCTGAAGTGCGCGCCGCCGAAGCGGATCTCAACCAGAACTCCATCTCGGCGCTGGTGCTCATCGCCCTGGTGGCCATCGCCTTCTTCAAGCAAGATCTGGCCACCAGCTTCCTCAGCTTTGTGTGGAGCAAGCTGAACGATGTGGCCGCCGATCTTGCCCAGCGACAGAAGAGCAAGACGCAGGTGCGCAAGAACGAGCCAATCAACCAGCGCGAGATCGAGCAGATGGCCGATCAAATCAATGCCATCAAAAAGAAAAAGACCAAGAAGATTTAGTCCCGACTGATAGTCGCATTAGTTGATCAATTTAGTCACATTTCGAGGTATTTGCGGTAGGTATTCATCTGGTTTTGTTTTCTGTGAGATTTTGTTTAACCCTGTTGTAACTTAACTTAAACTTTTACTTTTGAATTGCATTTAAAAAGACTTGGAATTTTGTTCATTTTTCATACAGATATTGAGGCAAGTTTATTTTGTGTTCGTTATCCACTCTTATAGCTAAAATAAATAAATACGAATAAATAGATTAATTTAACACGGCTGTTCTAGTGCATCAGAATGTGCTCGGCAATAGAGCTCAGTTTGCGATTCTTGTGCTTGGCATGTCGCCTTTCCGCTTGGAGGTTGATCTCGTTCTGGGAATCCTCAACGGCGGATTCCTCCGTCACCGCTTGCTCCTCTTCCTGCTGTTGCTGCTGCACCTCCTCTTCCGTTTGCTGCTCCTCCTGATGTGCCTCCGCCTCTGGGTTCTCCTCGGCGTTCTCGTTCTCCACGAAAATGCACTCGGGATTCACGTCAGCACACTCGCCAAAGTTGGTGGCCCTGGCCACTGGATTTCTGGCATTGGTGTACTTTTCGAAGAAGCCACGTCCTACAATGCGGAAGGCCATGCTGGTCATGGGGTTCAATTTGGAACGGAACTCCATTTCACAGACAAAGCGACGACGGCAGGCCTTGGAGTCCAGACCCAAAAAGGCAAACATAAAGTCGGCAATTCTAGAGGGGATCAAGAAATTAAACCATGTCTTGTGGATAATCAAAGCACTTTCACTTACTGCTCTTCAGCGGGCATTTGACGGGCCACACTCTCCGAGATCTCTTCGTCCACGATCTCCACTTGCTCGTCCTCCTGCTGCTCTTCATCCTGGATTAAATGAACCTGATCTTCAGTACTGCGCCGACCACGACGACGGGTATCAACGGGACCAGTTGGGCCAGGACCCGAGGGGGATTCGCTGTGGTATTCGCTGCTGTGCACATCGGAAACAATGTCCGATCCTGCATAGCTGCTGTATCCGGAGTAGGGTTCAAAGCTGGCGCCGGAGTCATAGGAAGTGGGTCCTTCGTAGTGATCTGAGTGATCGTGGTCCAAGGAGTAGGGAATGTGATCGTGATGGGAGAAAGACGAAGGACTACAAGGAGGAACTAAGGTGTAATTAAATCTGAATAGACCGCATCATTTAAGACCACTCACGGATGATCCAGGATGATCTCCTGGTTGCACCTGGAATGAGGCCAGAAATAGCGGAGGCCCAAGTAAATGGCGCTGCCAACGAAGAAGGAAACGATCACCACTTTCACCTTGATCCAGTAAGCAATCGCAATGGGCCACAGGTGACGATCTGTGAAAGAAGATATATAAACATGAAGAAGGTTAAATAATTTTCCATTGCATCAGACCTAAGAAACTTTCACTGCTCGATATTCTATATTTTAAGGAGGATTTCACGATCGTTTATTAAACAACATCTATGCCCAAGATTGAAAGTGAAAAGTGTTAATTGCGAGCCATACGTGATCATCCAATTTGGATGAGGTGCGTCTGGCTCGGGACTTGAACTGTGGGGAAACTTTCCAAAGAAAGTGGGATGGTTCACGCCTAGGCGATCTGATTATGCTGATTTTGTACAATCAGAATAATGGTAATACTTGCTTGCTAATTGTTATATAAAGGGGCTCTTTTGATAACCATCTGGAGATGGTTAGTAACTCAAAACTTATAAGTTTCTAATTGATTATTATTGTGTAGCTTTTTGTGAATTTTTTTTGTGAAGAATATATAATTTTACTTACACCAGAACATGTGGTGGCGATGGCGACGAGTACGTCCTTCGAACTCCATCAACTCCCGACCGAGATTCTCCCAGGTATCCTCCGCTTGGTTATCCAATTCCGCTGGGGGCTCATCGTTTTTGGTCTCCTCACAGAATACCAGGGTGAAGTAGACGATTAAAAGCACTGCTCCATACCAAATAATGTTCTTGTGCATGGTTGTAGATGTTTTTGTCAATAGATTGTTGTCGGTGTGAAGATGAAATAGCTCGTATCCCTTTTAGCTTTTGATGGTCGCTGCAGAACCGAATGATGCAGCTCAAAGCCGGGGATCCAGCTTATATACCACCGGCTATCGGCGGACCACTCCAAGTTCAGGGTGATAATTGAAGCGCTGTTGCGGCTTTACGCGCAGATTTTCACACATGCGTAGAGCCCGGCGGATGACGAGTTTAATGCCCAAAACATGCATTTGAAATTTCTTTAAACTAGTGCAATTTCACTTTCATAAGTCGTGCCCGCGTTTCTAGATGCTTTTGTTTTTGTTTTGATTAGTAGACATTACGAAGACATTACGACTTGAGCCTCATTTTTAGGTAATTGTCTGTTGGCGATTTTCCCCAGAATAGATTTCAAATGTTATGCAAAAGCGCGCCAAAGACAGCCGGCCTGGAAGTTCTAGGTGGCTATCGAGATGGAAGGGACCTATCGAGCAAGAACTATCATCTCTAATACGAAATTGTAAACATTCTTGGCCTGAAAATATTTAATGCCGGTTTCTTGAATTATGTCCAGCTTAAAGTCGAACGAAATGGACAGCAATCCAGCACCGGATCCCCAGGCGCCTATTACCCGCAAGGGATTCCTCATTTCACTGAACAGTGGTTCTCCAATGCCCATTCCAGAGCAGAATGTGGTAAGTAGGCTCGCTTGGCTAATCCCCTCTAGATTTTTGTTATATTTGGTGTCTTTTAAGTTTGGCCGCTGTCGTCCAGTCTCCGAATTTGAGAAACTCAACCGCGTGGGCGAAGGCAGCTATGGAATTGTTTGTAAGTTCAGCTAAGAAGGCCATTAAATCACTGACTTGACCTGAAATCTTATGCAGACCGTGCACGTGACACCCGCAGCAATGAGATTGTGGCCCTAAAGAAGGTGCGTATGGATCAGGAAAAGGATGGCCTGCCTGTCAGTGGGCTTAGAGAGATCATGATCTTGAAACAATGCCAGCATGAGAACATTGTCCGCTTGCGTGAAGTGGTTGTGGGAAAAAGTTTGGACAGCATATTCCTGGTGATGGATTTCTGCGAGCAGGACTTGGCCTCCGTGCTGGACAACATGTCTCAACCTTTCACCGAGTCCGAGGTTAAGTGTATCACCCTACAAGTGCTCAAAGCTTTGAAATACCTCCATGCGCGCTATATGATCCATAGGGATTTAAAGGTTTCCAATCTCCTGATGACCGACAAGGGTTGCATCAAAGTTGGCAAGTTAAAGAAACAATTTTAAATCCTTTACTATCTAATCAAATAAATTTCTAGCTGATTTTGGCCTGGCGCGCATGTTCAGCAATCCCCCAAAACCGATGACCCCACAGATGGTTACTTTGTGGTACAGAGCGCCAGAACTACTCCTGGGTTGTCGGACACACAATACTGCAGTGGATATGTGGGCATTTGGCTGTATCTTAGGTGAACTGCTGCTGGGCAAACCACTACTCCCCGGCAGTTCAGAGATTGCACAGCTCGACTTGATAATCGATCTTTTGGGCGCACCCTCCGAGTCTATTTGGCCTGGTTTTGCCGATCTGCCCGCGGTGCAGAACTTTACTTTAAGCCAGCAGCCATACAATAACCTCAAGACCAAGTTTCACATGCTAGGCCAATCGGGCAGAAATCTCCTGAACATCTTGTTTATCTACAACCCAAATACCAGAGCCACTGCAGAGGAGTGTCTGAACAGCAAATACTTTGTGGATCCCCCGCAGGGTAAGTTTGCATAGAATCCAATTGGTTTTCCTTACTAATGGAATTTTTCATGTTAGCTTGTGACCCCCGCATGATGCCCACTTTCCCGCAGCACAGGAACAATACGCCTGCTGCTCCACCTGCTCAGCCGCCTGCCGATATTCCCATTTCAGATCTGCTCAATGTATTCATTAAGCGCCAGCGCATGGATTAAACGAGAACGAATTTATTTGTAGATTACATTATGCAACGCACTGGGTAGAGAACTAAAGGAATGGCCGGTCCATCGGCGTCTTCTTCGCTTTCCTGTCGCGGGCCCTTGGAAACCATCGGTGCTTGGTCGTGTGGGTCAGCTGCATCAGTTCCTGGCGCGCTACCTCCGGATGTTTGCTCTTGAAGGCCCGCATAGCAGTTTTCAGCGCCGATTCCTTGACCACCGACGAGGACTGAACCTCTGTGATCTTCGGCAGTGGCTGGGTGTTCTCGTAGGGAATCGGCGTGTCCGGGTGCCATGCCACAATAGTGCGGCCATTCCGGGTCACAGCCACGGCCTCCACTAGGCTCTTGCCGCCGACAGCATTGCGCTGAACGGCGCTCGAAGAAAATAAACGAAAACTTCCGTACAAACGTGCCGCTGACATTTTACAACTAGAGATGGCAGGCACGCGCTGATAACCAAACAGCTGGATGTTATCGAATACACCCAAAAACAGTGCTGTCGTTTATTTAAAAAAAAAAAACTAAAACAACTCTTGTTATTTTTCAATACAATCATAAAATGTGAGTTCCTAAAATGATTAAAACAAGATAAATATAAAAATCTCTCTTAATCATTTTCCTTACTGTAAAAATAGATTTTTGACATTTCTAGCTATTTTACATTTTACACTAGCTCTAAAATTTCTGCCATTACTGACTGCCTGTATCGATATCGGGCGCTTACTCACTCCCCCTGACAGCTGATTGGCATTTGAAAACAAACATTGCGGCCAAGATGTGGATTCCCTACGCCCTGGTGGTCCACGTACTGCTCCTGGGCTCAATATTTGTGATCTACTTTCGTTCACCGGTGATTACGGGCTTGACTCCCCAGAAGCGTCCATTATTCTACGGATTGGAGCCACCGGCGAATCGCTTAGTTCTAATCGTGTTGGACGGATTCCGCGCTGACTCCTTCTTTGAGGAAAATTGCCGCTATGTGCCGCACCTGCGCGAGATCTTCCTGCGTGAGGGCATGGTGGGCGTCTCACGCACTCGTGTGCCCACGGAAACGCGACCCGGGCATATAACCCTGATCGCCGGTTTGTACGAAGATCCATCCGCAGTGCTGCGTGGTTGGAAGAGAAACCCCATCGACTTCGATACGGTATTCAATCGGAGCTCACAGACATACGCTTGGGGCGCCGAAGATGTGCTTCATGTGTTCTCAAAAATCTCGAAAGGGGAGAACATGCATTTCCGTTCCTACTTCGACGACCTGGACTTCTCGCCGGGATACAATGCCTACGAACTGGATGAGTGGGTCTTTAAGCGAGTCAAGTTGTTGCTCCAGGACAAGAGTGAGTCTCTGCAGCAGTCAAAGAATGTGGTATTCTTTCTGCATCTCCTGGGCTTGGACACCTCGGGACATGTGCACAAGCCGGGATCACCGAAGTTTCGAGAGACCGTTGACAAGACGGAAAAAGGAGTTTACGAAATCTATCAGGAGTTCGAGCGGGTGTTTCCAGACAAGCGAACCGCTTACCTACTGACAGCTGACCATGGAATGACTGATTCAGGTATGCGATATAGAACTTTACTTTATCAAACTAACTCAAACTCTGTTGTACAGGAGCGCATGGAGCTGGGTCGCTCCATGAAACGGACACGCCTTTTGTACTGTGGGGCGCAGGAGTTGCCAGGACAGCTCCCAATCCCGGAGGCCGCACATTTATGCCCAACAATGAAGGTCCCGCGATGCCAATGTACGAACTGGAGCAGGCACAGCTCACACCCTTGATGTCCGCCTTGGTGGGCCTGGCTCCGCCAATGAACAACTTTGGAACGCTGCCCATAGGCTACATGAATGTCAGCAAGGAGTACGAGGCAATAGCGAACTATTTGAACGCTCTGCAGTTGCTGGAGCAATATGTAGCCCTTCAAGAGGTACACAAAAAAGGAATGTTTGCGATGGTTTTATCCGAGTTTAATGTTCTCTCCACGGAAGCAATCAAAAGTTACAAGGACAGCATTGTAAAGCTGCAGAAGAACAGGGAATATACAAAAGCATTGGCTAGGAGTCAAGTCATTATGGCACAAGCCCTCGACGGCATTGACTACTACCATGGTTATTACCGTAGAGCTCTCCTACTGTGCACCACTTCAACATTCCTCGGATGGATTTTCTATTTGTACCGATTGTTGACTCGGAACCGGGCCGGTAAAGTAGAGCTCATTCTGGAGAGGAGCACAAAAACCGTAAGAACGAGCCTTGGAACTTCTGTGGTGCTGTTAGTGCTATTTCTGCTGGGCCAAGGAACACCCCTGGATATATCGTTTTATCTTTTGCTCCCGTTCTTCGTCTGGCTGAAGGCTTTGCAGCCATGGAATCTTTGCTTCTCCTCCTCACCAGCATCGGCGTACAGTGCTCCAGCCTTGAAGACCACAATGTGGCAGCTCATATTGATTATAGCTTGTGCGGAGCTGATGGTATTCACCTTTTTTGAGCGCCGCCTGATCTCGCTCTCGTTCTTCGTCTTCGCCTGCTATAATGGCTGGAGTAACTTCGAGCCCAAGTCGAGGGATTTTTTCACCTGGTTAACGTTGGTCGTAGTCCTGGCCTTCTTCCCCCTGCTTCCGCTGTCAGTGGGCTATCAGAATGGTTACCTACTTGGAGCTGGGGTAATTGTGATTCTCCTGAACTCACTTTGGAAGACAAGGACGAGATTAAGCTACAGCAATCACACAAAATTCTTCAATGCTCTGATCCTCCTACAAACCATTTTGTGTGCCTATCTGCACTCACACGGGAGAAACATTCCTTTACCCCTTAATGTAACCAGCTGGGTGTTCCTGGTATACGCCTTCGCATCTGTTGTGCTGAGCAAAGAATCAAGACTGGAATTGCGTCTGGCCCAGATTGGCTTTAATTTGGGATCCCTGTACGCCACATTATGCACCTCATACGAGGCTGTATTTGTCCAACTACTGACACTAGAGCTGAGTATATCGCTGAGTGCCCAGAATGCACAGGCGGAGAAGTCGGTGCTCCGACTGGCCTTCACTCTGCTCCTGTACACTTTCTTCTCGCTCTTTGGTTCGGGCAACATAGCCTCCATCAGCTCCTTTGATCCCAACATCGCTCGCTGCTACCTCAGCCACTTTGCTCCGTTTGTGATCATGGGCCTGGTGCTGCTGAAGCTTCTCGTGCCGGTGGTGCTGATCATGTCGGTGGTCTATGCCCAGAGCGAGTTTGTCCGCCAGCACGAGGAGCAGATATTCATCTGCCTGCTGCTCATCTGCGATGTGATGGGTCTGAACTTCCTGTTCCTAGTGCGTAACCAGGGATCCTGGCTGGACATCGGCACCTCAATATCGCATTTTGTCATCATGGAAGTTACTACGTTGGTCATCCTCGTGCTGTTCTATGCCGCCAAGCAGCTGCTGCTGGTACTCCCTTGGGAGGAAATCAACATAAGAAGTCTGCCGTTACGCCTCATCCACTGGGAGGTGATCAGTGCCAAGAATCACTAACCCGAACCAGCCATAAACCGCCTTGAGAAAACTGTTGGCTACGCTTAAACATTTATATCCGATAATATTTACAACACTAATTAAGAATTAGTAGCATACACTTGTAAATTATAGAATCTAATGCTAGGAATGTGTCTGTGTGTAGGTAAGGGTCAGGGTGGATCGATTTTTTGTATATAAAAATGATAGTTTTTAGTTCTTTAAAAACCAAAGAAAACTTTCTATCTATACTCAAAGGATTTGACAAGAAATTGTAATGAAAAGTATTTTATCTGCATAGAATGACTTAATTAAAAATTGACTTAAGTTTGATCGGAAGCTATAGAATTATACTTCTACCTCTTGTATATTGAATAGATAATTGATACTAAATAATCTTGTAAAATAAACTTGATGAGTGTCTTACAAAATTTAAAACATATTGAACAAAAATCTATTGTATAAGTGTATTTTTTAGTTCTCCAAGGTTGAAATTATGTTTCTTTAGAACAAAATTTAAATTGCGGAAATGTCTATATTCAACATTTATAAATCGACCCACCCTTTTGTGGGTGGTGGGTGGTAGGGTGTGTTTTCGTGTGGTTTTGTGTGTGTCATGGCACAACGACATCTAATGAGTAGTAGTAGCAGCAGCACAAATAGAGAATCGCCCTTCCCAGTTAATCTTTCAGATATCGCTCCACCGGGTTAACTCCCTGAAGCTTTGGACTGGCCGTCTCATCTAGAATTTAATATGAATAAGTATTTTATATTTAGTTAATGATAGTTTCACCCACTTGACTGCGCCGGTTTGGCGGTGGTGGCACTTTCCCGCGGAGTTGCTTGCAGGCAGTTGAGCCACTCGGCCAGCGAGATCTTCTTGTCCCCATTGGCGTCGCAGTAGCGCGGCATCTTCTTGCCACATCTGCGCAGATTGCTGTGGAACGGGATACTATTTGTGAACTTTTTGCAGGAAGGGTTTCAATAGATTGGCTTACCTGGCACTGGTGACCAAATCACGGAAGTTTTTCCACTCGCGGCGATCCCACGACTTGTTTTTGTTCTTGTCCAGATAGACAAAACTCAGCGTGGCGATTCGCTCATCTTCCGTCTTCCACATGGTGGTGTTGGTACTATGATATTTTGGGAATACAAAAAATAGTTTTATAATATAGGTATTTAATTGATTTGTCCAACATATAACCCCTTCCAAAGTAATTTATTTAATTGTGCTTACACTTCAGTTAAGAAAGGAAGTAGATCTTCTACTTATCTGAGAGAATAATAACATAATAAACACAGTTTATCCTACCTGGTGGTGCTGCTGGGCAGGAGTGAGGTGTTGAGGTAGGCCTTCAACTCCTTAAGGAACTGCGTCTTGCGCGGCTCGGTGCATCCCTTCATGGGTCGCACCGCCACGTTCTCGTCGCACTGCGGCCTCCTGTTCTTCACCGATGTGCCCGGGATGCTCTTGCCCGTATCCTCGTTGACGCACCAGCAGTACGAGGTTGTGGTGGAGGAGGTGGTGGAGGTGTAGCACTGGATGGGCTGATACCGACCATCCTGCAGGCATTGCGGCACAAACAGAACGTTCTTTCCGCCGTGCTATTGGATTAAAATGTGAATATTTAAATCCAGGTGTGATGTTATGGGAATTGCAATACTTACGCCCTGCTCTTCCAGGGTGACCGTTTGATCCGTCCAGCAGCTGGAGTCGTTCTCAATGTCCTGGCTTGTTGCCTCTGGCTTGGAGTTCAACACTGTAAAGATTTGCGCGTTGACATACATTTTATTCTGTCCTTTGGAAGCATGCAAAATGATAGCAAACACAAAAAAAAAAATATGAATTTGGGGTCAAACTGATCTTATCTCATACTGATGAATGGAAAACTGAATTTTAAATGCAGAAAATGATATATGCTATCCTTCTTAGGTATACAAAAATTACTTTTAAACGAATTGTTGGAAATGTAATTGTTTAAATAAAAAAGTTCATTTTCTTTTCAATTAATACTTCTTACAAAACTCAATAGATCAATAGAATTTTCGATTTTTTATGATTTATGTAAGGTTTTTGGGTTTTGGTTAGTTTGCTCACAATTCTACGTACTATATAATGATGGAATATGGGTTCGTGAGCTGGGCAGATCCGCTCCTTGAGAGTCGTCCTCCTCTCCGCCGTAGCCCGTGCCACTGTCCTCGTAGTTGTCCTCGTGCTCGTCACTGCCACTCGCATCCTCGGAATACAAGTGAGGACTGCCACTACCGATGGTGTTGGTATTCGTGGGACCTCGGTGGTGGCCATTGGAGTTGGTGTTGTGGATGCTATAGTGGGTGGAGTGTGGTGGGGCGGTGGCTACACTGCTCGCCAGAAGATTAACAATCGCACTACCTGGATTTAGGTGACACACATATGGAAGATGGTTTAAAGGTTCGAGAACATGGATCGTGATTGTTAATTAACATGCTGTTAGATTCTACTTTCCTTTATTTATAGCATGATATGGGCTTTCAACTTACGGTTGTGAATCTCTTTGGTGAAACAGATGCTCCACTCCAGCCAATTGAGGTTGGCATCCTTGGTGACATCACAGTATTTGCCAAAGGTTCGTCCACATCGTCGTGGTTTTACGTTCTAAACCAAAAGGAATTCCCTCTTAGCATTGCAAAATGAAATAGAAACAAATTACTTACCCGCCTGAGGACCTTCTTCAGCTCCCTGACCTCCTGGCGATCGAGCAACTTGTTGCCGTTCGTGTCCAGTTTGGAGAACTTCCACTCCAGGATGTGGGAGTCGGATATCGATGGCTGGCGGAAGAAGATCTGAGCCTCGTTGCGGAACATCCGCATCAGATTGCTGTTGAACATCATCCGATCCGACTTGCTGCAGGGCCGATGGGCCGTGGATCCCGCCTCGGAACTGCCCTTGGAGGCAGAGGTGTCCGGACTGTAGCCAATCTGATGGGAGGCCAGCCGGCGACGATCGCGTCGATTGGCCCTGCAGCGGAGCTTTCCTTTCCGCCGGAACTGCCTGCCGTCATCCGCGATGGGGTTGCCCTGGCTATCGCTGCACCAACATCCGTTGTTCCCGTAGCACTGGATCGCGGCATAGTTGCCATCCTTCCTGCACCTGGGCACAAAGTATCCGGGATCGTGTTTCTGCTGGCGACGAGCGAATTTCACCGCCTCCAAGCAAGCTGAAATATAAAATAATGTATTACAATATAAAAGTGTAGATGGGGTATAGGTAAAGAAAGTTTACTGCTTGAACGAAGGATTAATTCAAGCTTTAAATGTTTTTTTTTGGAAACAGCAATTAATCCAAAAGAGTTGGTATTAATAGCTAAGATCTTTATCTCTTGGAAAGGATTTATATTCTTGGAGCTTTGCATACTATATATGTATGAGTATAGGAAGACGATATGATGTACTTACGATTGCAGGGGCCGCCGTACTTCAGGCTCACCTGATGGCCGCCGCACTGGGCCCGCAGCAGGAGACACCTGGTGGGATAGGTTTGGTCGTCGGTGCCGCAGACGGGACCCTCGTTATCATCGCACTCGCCCTGCTTGGCGGCGCAGGCGGGGAGCTTCATCTGCGGGGGGAGAGATCGGAGGAAGGCGGGGTAGGTGTCAGTCCGAGTCTCGGCTAAATGGCAGCCCCAGAAGGTGGGGTGCTCAAACACGCGTAAAATGATTTACTGCACTTGTGGCCAGGTCTGCGAGTCGCCAAGCGTCTGGGCTTTTTGCCTCGCTGACTGGAATACGAATGTTGCCAACGGCTGACTGGTGGGGCGGTGGTGACAGGGGCTTTGAGGTGTGGAGGGAGGGGCTGCATCCAAAGGGGGAGGGGCTCCGGGGGTGGCAAGCCACCAGCTACCCGGCTAATGTGAAAATCAAAGTTGTCAGGCCCATAACTCGAACGGCATCGCGAATACACAGCCCCCAAAATCGGCACCAAAATTATGGCAGTCTGCTGCTCTCGTCGACCAACTGGCTGCTGAGTGAGCAAATTCTTGTTTAGCCCACAAAATCACATACACGTCTGTATGTAAATCGCAAATATCTTTATCTATATGTACGAATCTATATATATATATATATAGATGGGGAGGCCCAGCACTTTGGGATTTGCCAGTGCAGCGCCTTTTGTCGCCAATTTGCTGCGGCCAGCCCACAGATATTTATTTGTCGTGCCACTCGGACATTAATTAGTTTTCGCTGTTATTGAAAAGTGAAATGCGTCAAGCCATCTAAATGTACCATAACTGAAACATGTTTCGGATAAGATATAGCATACTAATTGAGGTGCTCGTGGAAGTTAATGTATGTGAGCTTTGCATCAAAAGTCGAACTTGTGTACGAATTTCTGGTTATTTAAATATTTTTGCAAATTATTCATTTTGGCAGCTTATTCGAACCCAAGTACAAAACCTTTAAATTGAGATATTAATAAATACTTGCGGTGTAGAATATCATAGAAGGAATATATTCTATAATTTACGAAAGGCGAAAAGAGAGGAATATCAAATAATAAAACAGCCATTAAAACTATCGAAACCGTATAATCCAGCTTAGTAATTGTACTTTTATGGAGAACCCTAACGAGCAATCAATATTTTACCCTCAAGAATATGAACACCAGAAGCTCGACAAGAAATGCTATACAATTATGAGAAGCACAAATAATACCTGTCCCATCGTTATCTCGTTGCCCCAACATATAATGAAGAGTGTCTGTAAACAATTCGAATTCTTTTTGTGGGCAGCAGAGCACGCGCTGCCTGGAAATCGGAGTGCGCAGGTGATTTTCGACTCCCAACTGGGCACAGACAGATATCGGGCAAACATATATAAACACGGCATACTATATTGCTGCAGTCGGCAGATCCGATGGCTGTTCCCAGAACTCAGGTGTGGGGCATCTGGTTATGAAGTCGAACACGGATACCTCATTAGCCAATTAACACATTGGGAAATTCAAGACATCGATTTAAATACTCAAATATGTGTTCGAAGAGTGCACATAAAATAATATTGTATTTCCTGAGAATTGAGTACTCAACCTATTTATGTATTTAAATTTTCGTGCTAAAGTAATAACAATAAAAAAACTTGAAGAAATTCTCAATAAATTTGAATATTCCTAAACTAGGCAGATAACCAATACTCATTTACTTCTATTATATTTTTATAAATCCCTTTTTAAATACATTTTGCGATACCTCTGCATCTGAAAATGTCTGATTAGGAATGCAAATGACAACTTCGCTTGCGATTGTCTATATTTTAAATAGGGCGTTATCCCGAAAACGTGCCTGGACTAAAAAATCCCCACCTTGTTGCACCCTTTTACCCCCGTCTTCCATTCCCTTTGAGCCACAAATTATAAACGGAGACAGCTCAAGGATTGTTACCAAGATATCGACAAAATTATTGACTGACAGTTCTCACGCTCGCCGAACGAGGAGGTGGAGTGGAGGCTGCGATGGGCGGAGAATAATCAGAAGAACAAGCTCCACACTTTAAATACTTCTTTACACTTTGTCATCATCAGCCAGCTTATTGGCATTGGCAAAAAATAAAGTATTAAAACCAGAAAGGACAGCTAGATGGAAAGACAGAAGCTGGAATACTCTTTCAGATACATTATTATAGTGGTTGAATACTTCAACTAAACTACTTCTTGTTGGAAACAATATGCGAATTCTTTAGATTAGAATTTAAGTATATATTTTAAATCTGAAGTACTTTTGACAAGATACTTTAATTGCATTTGCAAGGTATAGAAAAAGATGAGCAAAAAAGCTGAGAAAAGAAATCGCTTTTGACTTGTGACCATTTTGTGTGCTCCTTTTTGCAACTTCTCTTATTATTCTTCTTCTTTTCAGCAGGAACAAGAAACACGTTCGTCCGTCGGTCAGATGAAACAAAAACAAAAATCAAGGTGTGGGTTTAAAGACTGGAGAAGAGTCGCAGAGGAGAGAAGAACGGAGCCGGCAGACTCTCTTTTCGGAGTTTGGCAGACAGCGCGGCGGCGAACAAGCTGGAGAAAGAGGAGGAGAATGAGAAGAACAACAGCCGCAGATTCTTCTTTGTCTGACTTTTGGTACCTTTGATACCTGGAATATTCAAGTGTTTTCTTGGGATTTACGAAGTGATCATTTGTATGTCTTTGCAGAAAGTTTTGCTGGGCACGCTACAACCCCACAATTATTCTTTATGCGATTTTAAGCTGAGCTGCAAATTGATTACCCAAGAGAATTCTCCTTAGAAGGACTGTATTTTTTTGTAAGTAAATTAAATTATTAAAATATCACATTCTTTTAACAAAGTCTTTAGACCTTTAGTTGGTGCCCTAAGAGGTTTGGGGAACTGATTCTTAAAATAAAATAAATCATTCTTAATTGGGCAAACGGAGTCTAATTAAGCTTAATTTTTGAATATCTCCTTACTTACCAACTGATCATCACTTTTTCCAGTCGCAAAGAAGACCGCCAGCCAGGTGACCAACAAAACACATCTCGCCAACATTTCGCTTTGCAGCTCGATTTCGACAATTAACTGTTCTTGTGGTTACGGATTCGTTTAAGTACGCGCGTTGTTACATTAAGTGCTTTTCACTCATTATAATCAATGTTTTTCGCTTATTTCACCATCATTTTTGCAAAGTCGCAATTAGATTTTCTTCCTAGAACTTTTACTTTGCCGCTCTCCGATTTATTTATTTACCAATTTCCGTGGGCTATTTATAGTGCGAGAGGTGTGTTCGTGTGCATTAAGGTGTTGTGGATCTTCTGTTTATATAATGTGTGTCTTTATGTGTGCGATTTTGGTTCGTTTCGATTGGAAAACGGCCCGAAAATAATCAAGAAGAAGCGAGGAGCACTGAGCTGCGGACCAGGCCAAAAACCAACCGATCGTAGTCGAGTTCCACACACGACTGGCCATTTGCCTTGGAGTGGAGTGGCCCAAAACACAAGAGCGGAGCAGAGACTAGAGGAGAGGAGAGGAGAGACGAGAAGAGGAGAGGAGAGAGGCCCCAGGTCCCCCAGAGAGAGGTTGTGGGCGAAGAATCGGCATCGAAACCAAAGAGAGCGGTATCCCGTCGCCGCCAGAGTGTCTGGCGTGTCGCTTCCAATATCTTATCTTTGCCACTTCGACTCTTGGACACTGCACAGCTAGGACAGTGAAAACCCTCTAAGAAGAAACATAAAGCAATTGACTCCATATTTTGACTTAATTTCAGATACAGATATTTACAATAAATTTTTTAAATATTTATGTTATTTTTCTATACATATGTATATAGGTACTATTTATTTTTCTATTACTAATTGATTTGGTTTACTTAGGCAAACTTCACTGCAGCAGCATAAAAACGATCACATTCACACACCGGCAGACAGAGAGAGCACTTGTGTGTGCGTGTGAAATTTATCTTCCTTTGTGCATCTCAAGAGGTTGCCTCACCAACAAAAGCAACAAAAAACGTCTAAAACAAAGCGGCCAACAGTTGCACCAGCTGCTCAGCCATCGAGTGAGGGGCAGGGGTGGCAAAGGTGGGGGGTCGGGGGAAAACGTGAGCCGCCGAGGGCCCCGCTCCTGTGATTTATAGAGCCGCTGGCCAAGGAGTCCGACTGGAGAGGATTTCGAGGAGACGGAGGCGGAGGTGAAGGTAGCGTTGCCGGTCCTCGCCTCCGTTTCAGTGTGAAACCTGCCAGACAGTCTGACGGCGGCGATAACTGCCCCCTCCTTCTGTCTATCTTATACCCCTCTCACTCCTTGTACCCCAACCCACCGAACACCCGCCCCTGCCTCCGCATTGTTTTCGGCTGTGCCACACTCCGTTTTGTGGCCTTCTTCGGCGATCGTACATGCACTTCGAAAAAATATGCACATAACTAGATAAATTTTTGAACTGCGGGGAATCTTATTTTATCTTCGAGATCTTTAGCACCAAATATGGGGTTTATCTTCTGATTAACTTCTGATACCTACAAAAATATTGCACTCAATCCCTTAGGAAATACAAAATCTCAGAGTTAACCCGGTTCAAAACTTGTACAAATTACTTCATGTATATAATACTTTCTCTCCGTGTAAAGATGGCTAAACGAAGAAGACGCTAGACGGTTAAAAGGGGCGGGGTGAAAACTCAAGTGGAGTGGACTGGCAGACAGTATGACGCCAAAATGCAAGACAAGACAACCTGGTCGATAACAAAGGTAAACAGGCAACGGCCAGCGGCCAGCGGCCAGCCAAGGAGCAAGTTAAAAAAAAAACCCCGGTCGTGGGATTCGATCGGGATTGTCGGGATTGTCAGCTCGACTGGGTTCAGAACCAGATGCAGATACAGATATAGATGCACGATACGGATACAGATACAAGAACTCCCGCCCCGGCCGCTGTGTGCCCAACTAATCATTGTGTGATTCTTGTTTGTTTATTTGCCTGGCTTTATGAAGAGACTTTTCGGTAGAAATTATTTATTGTCGCCTGTGTTTGTGTATCTGTGGATCTGCGTATCTCACTGTGTCTGTGGATCTGAGTGCGCAGCCCTTTAACTGGTACTCAATGAAACAGTTAGCTTGAAATCGGCACAATTTCCCTAGATCAGCGAATATAAACTATTCGGGCCTAGTGGTATGTGTGTTTGTTTCTATGTTTTTGGCATATCCTGAAACAAAAGGGTTTAAGGGAAGTTTTACATTTTCTGAACAAATACATACATAAATACTTAAATTTTTGAGATGACTGAAGACTTGTTTAGAGAATAACTTCTCGTAAAGTTCTTAAATGAGTGTGCCGTAAACAACTCGAAAAGTAATCATGACTTATTACAACGATTTGCTTTGCCTATAAAACTCCATTCTTATCTTCAAAGATTGTCAATATTCTCAGAGCAAACCGAATAAAATTAATGCTCTATACAGGGGTTTCTCCCATTTGCCAGTGATCTACAAATATTAAAAATCCCCGAGACGTGTGTTCCTGCATAGCAAAAGAGACAATGGGCAAATAAGTCACCGACTGGGACTCCCTGGGCGAATCGATATGCCCACGCGATTGCTATATAAACTCAGGAAAACCATGATAGGTCACAACAGTACCACCACTGACAATCCATCATGAAGATCTTTGCTCTTTTGGCTTTCGCTATGGTTTTGATGGCTTGCATGGTGCAGGCTCAACCCGTTGCCGTGGTGGAGAATTATCCGGCAGGTTCTCTTCTGGACATTCAGGATGCCCACCAGCAGGTAGTGCAGCACAGTCGCCAAAAGCGAGCCACCTGCGATCTGCTCTCCAAGTGGAACTGGAACCATACCGCCTGTGCCGCCCACTGTGTCGCCAGGCGGTTCAAGGGGGGTTATTGCAACGACAAGGCCGTCTGTGTTTGCCGAAAGTGATTTCGTACCAGAACTGGTAATTGACAATTTTCCGAGAAACCAAGTATGAAAAAGTCCTGTTCAACCAACAATTAAAAGAATAAAGTACCTTAAATAAACTGAATTTAAAAAAATGTTTCCTTTAATCAATTCTATTTTTTTATGAATTAAACATCATACATTTTCAGGTATTTAAAATTCATTTCTGCCACAAATCGACATTTGCCAAATGGCAAACTTTGAAGTTTTCTTAAGATTTGTACCTCAAGCCAAGCTGAATATGTGTAAATATTGAAAATAAATAAAAGTCAACCTTTGTGTCACCCTTGCGTAGTTTTATTTAGAAAATAGTGAATGGTTTTTTTTTATCATTATGTCACTCTACGGCTTTATTTGACAATGTCTAGAAATTCGTTTAACGGAAACCGTTTTTGTCACTATCTTACAATTTTGCAACTATTAAATCAATCTTTATCAGCAGTTCATTTAACTATAAAAGCCCATTGAAAATTGAAACAGGTAAACAGTCGTCTACTTTGCAATACACCATGAAGATCAAATTTATCCTGGCTCTAATATTAGCTGCGATTTGCGTAATGCAGGCCCAAGATATTCCCCAGGAAGCCAAGGATCAACAGCTATGGAAAGGTCTTTCGGGGAATCCTATCCAGGAGGTTAATGTTCGCTCCCGAAGGCGAACAGACATCTGTGAAACTTGGGATTGTTTATTATTTTGTTTTGATTTTAGCAGAGGAATTGGGATCTGCGTAAACGGATTTTGTCATTGCACGTAACAACTTAAAAAAAAGTAATGAACACAGTTTAAATATTAAGTAAATAAAAATAAAATGAAAAAACCTAAATTTATAAGAAATAAGATTATAATTTTACTAAAACTCTCCTCGTGCATCGAATCCATTCATAAAATTATTCGCAATGAATGATCTCTTATCTCTCAGCACCGATCCATTTTGCAGGGTCAAAAAATTAAACCTTTGCGAATTAAAAAGGAATAGCAACAATTTCCGTTGCATTTTGGTTTTTCTAGTGTTTTGCTATGTAAATATGGCAAATTGCGACTACAATTTGCTCTTATCAATTAACCGAGCAAACAAACAGTCGTCTAAAAACGATCGACACAGCAAACAAACAAGGGAAAAAGAAAGAGAAACACGCAGAGAGAGACATACACGACACTTAATTAACGCCAATTACAATGGTTAATAAGAGTATGTAGAAATTATCGGCGAGCGACTGAATTGTGGGTTTCTTTAATTTACGAACGTTTTGCCAGTGAACTCACGTGGCGAGCCAAAAACCCCAGCAACCACTCGCGAGCAATATCCCAATAGAACTGACTCTTCAGTTATCAGCTCACTATATAGTATATTATTGGCAGACGTTTCCGATCAGGAGCTAAGAGAAAAGCCGAGTGATATTTACAGTTTCGAATTGCAATGCTGACCAATTTGAAATTTGCGCTCTGTTTATCGATAGTAAGAAATAAAAATAAGAAGCTGATCTAAATGAAAACCCATTTTAGTCAGTTAAAACAGCATACCATAAATTTGGCTTGTTAGTGCCAAATATTTACAAAACACATGCTTTATGTACGAATTATTCTCAAAATAATTATAGTGAATTTAATTACTCAAGAACCTACATATCCCGAGAGATGGTAACCCATAAAATATTTTGATAACCAAAAGTGACTATTGCCAGGAATACCTATCGATAGACAGATATTGGGTTTCTTAGGTTTCTTAGTAATATTTACTAGAGACATTCTGACAACTGCCCTAAGACCGCCATCCCCACTTCACTTGGGCATAAATTAAGAAGAATTCCACACTTATCGCAAAGAAGCGTTGAGAACCACGTCGCTCCTAAGTTGTCGTTAATACGGCACACGACTTATCAACGCCGCACTTTCAAATCGGACGCGCTGTGCTGACGTGGTGGTTGCCAATAATTCCACACTTTAAAATAATTAATAATAAATAGAAACATGCTGATCAAGGCGCTTATCCTTTTCGGACTGCTGGCCTTGGCTCAAGGATACAGCTTCACTTCCCGCGAGGTCAAGTGCCACGGTAAGGGAAAATGTCACATAAATCAGCAACAGGCGGCTGTGCACTTGTTGACCCTGACAACCCGATAATTGGATTTTTTCTATAAATTACAGTGTGCAAGGCCGTCGTAACGGAACTGGAGGAGGCAATCGCTAAGGAGGATAGTCATAAAATGGCAGATGTTAGCGGATTCCGCCTGGATGCCCAAGGAAATTCGATCAGCAAGAAAGTGCGCCTGATAAAATCCGAGATGTATCTTACCGAATTGATGGAGAATATCTGTGAGTGCATTTACCCTTAGGTCCATTTGATTTGGTGAATCAAAAATAGTCCAAATGTGTGTTATAATTTAAACCTTCTTGCAGGCGAAAAAATGGACGACTACCTAAAGGCGACCTACAAAAGCAATGGTAAATTCACACTCCTGAAGATGATTATCAATGGCCAAATGAATCCAGACTCCTCGCTGGTTGACTTTGTACAAGATGGCGATCTCAACAAGAGCCTGGGTCACTTTTGCAATGAGGTGCTGGAGGACAACGATGAGATATTCCTAAAAGCCTTCCAGGCCGATGAACTAAGCAACGATTTGGATATCAAGATCTGTTCGGAACAGGCAAAGTACTGCGACGATTCGCCCGTCCAGGAGGAGTACGACTTCGATGGCAAGGAGGAGTTGTAGCTTGTCCAGTGATAGCCTAGTCAATTAACGAATTTCCTTGATCGCCGCCAGTGCTGATCTTCGTACTGATTTTTCGAACGAAAATTATGTTTAGTTAAAGTAATGAAACCACCATGCCAATTGTTAACAAGTAGATACGACAATAAATTTCATGTGCAATGTCCTTTAAATTTTATTAACAAGTGTTTTACATCACAATTGGTTTATCCCTCTTCTTCTTTGCTGTAAAACAAACAAATGACACTGTTTCTTGGATTCTAAAGGTAGTACTTACGGATCGTCGGTAACATTGCGGAGCATTTGGTGGCGAATCACTAAGAACGGAGCTCCAAATCCCACGATACCCGCAATCAAATAACACACTGTGAAACGCATGGGGCTGTCCAAGCCAAACGGCAAATTCTATTATGATAAAGGATAGTCTAAACTTGCTTCAACTTGATTTTAGCTTGGTTTAATTACCGCACCGGGACAACCGCCCGAGTACCCATGTCCATTTCGCTTTATCGGTCCGCAAAGCTTGCTTATAGGTTTGCGCAAGACGGTCCACATAACTTAATTTTAAATTGCAGCTTTTAGAGACAGAATTGTCGTTATTCTACAGATTGCGAATGAAAATGTGATTCATGCTCTCCCTCCACTAAATGACAGTAGAAACTTTAAAATAAAAGCCTACTAATCAAGTTTTAAATGAAACGATATTGAGGGGTTCGTTCCGAGACGTCAGGTTACTAGTTCATTTATAGAATAGACTCCTCTGAGGTTGATAACCATCTTACAAGGATTTTTTAATGCAAACGTCTCTTGTTTTTGTCTACGGTAACGGGTAACTTTATTTCGTTTCCACTTTTCACTTAAATCTAAGCTGTAACACACTGAAATAGCCTCCCGGCAGCTTCAGAAGATATCGCTACATCTGAAAAATAACGATTTTTTAAAGATCAGCAATAATAACATAATCTCTTTTTACTAACCTTACATTTGTTGTTGCTGTCGCCTGGGGAGCACCTTACTTCTTGAGCAGCTGGTGCCTGACGATCAGGAAGGGAGATCCGAATCCCAAAACAGTGCCGATGGTGAACAGAGCGGTGATTCTGTACTTGTTGGTCAGTCCAAAAGGCAGATTCTGCAACGAAAATATGGTTTTTACGGTATTACGATTGATTTTCCATCCTGTCCTATGTGGTCATGAAAATTATGTAACCACCGGAAAAGGTTCTTTTCCGGCACTCACCTCGCCGGGAACTCCGCCGTGTCCGCTCATGCGAACCATCGACTGGGAAAAGTTGCGTACAATGACACTGCTGCGACCCAACATTTTGTAAATTAGTCGATTTGAATAACAATTCCAGAAAATCTGAGTTCGCAGTGGGTGCGCGGATTAGAGATGACAGCTGGCCGATAGGTTTTCTGCAGCCCTGGTAGTGGGGTTGTTATTTTGCTTATCAAATTAAACTTCAAAATAATCGCATACATTTTTACACCACCGCTTAAAACATACGTTTTTTGAGCTTTTCTAACCGATCCCTTTAGTACAATGTTGACTTATTTGTTTTTCAATTCGCATTATAAACCTCAAGCATGTAGGCTTTCTGTCAAATTTATAATATATATATATTTAAGGTCTCAGTGGAGTCCGTCTATTTCTTGTGATATTTGAATTAGTGCGCAAATATCCCGATAACCCACAGTGCTATCGACTGTGGGTGCCATCGCTGACAAGCAGAACACGCGCCCATCGCTATTGCGTTTCGAATATTCCATTTATACGCACGGGCACGAGATTTGTTCCGAGCAGCTAGAAACTTTTAAATTATTGCACAAAATTATAAGTGAACGCCCCGCGCCCCTTCACCCACTTGGGGACCTTGTTCGTTCGGCGGCGGCCAGAAATACCGGGGAAAGTGTCCGTGAATCGCGAAGTTTTCCCAATGAAGCGCTGAGATCGGAACGACCGACAGCAGCAACAACAACGAAACAGAAAAGAACGGATAAAGAAAACACACCAAAATGCTAGAACCGCCGAAATTCATTGAGAATGATTGCTACAACGGCAGCCGGACCTTCACCTGGTTGGCGGATATGGTGGGGCTATCGGTGGACTTGGTGAGTATTACTATCTGTACTCCAAAACTCCATGGGTTCTTTAATCCCCACCCCCACCTTCTCTTTACGAATCGGGCGTGTGCACGTGTGCGTGTGTATACGCGTTTGTGTGCCAATCATACGGGATAAAAATGGCTGTATAAATCTCAGGATTTAAGAACAATGCGGTTCCTAAAGGACGACGGAAAATATTCCTAAGATAAGTTCTTTGGAAGCATTAATTTACCTGGCAACTGCTAAGTGAATTAATTATACTACCGGTTTTCCAAACACAGTTCCCGTATAAAGTAAACAAGCTAAGAGCGGACTGTGTATTTATTTTAGAAATTCATTTTTGTGTACAAATTATTGTAGTATTTTTGGTAAAGTTGTGCTTTAGCGGCTTTTGCTAAAAACGGGCTAGGAATGTTTTTTTTTTTTTTAAGGGATACCTTGGGGCCTAAACATTAATAAAAAAAATGGCGGAAAGCGTAAATTTTAATTATTTATGTGTTAAAACAGCAATTATCACTGCCGCGAGACAACCCGTTTTAGAACATTGCCATGTTTTTCAAGCGAAAAACTTTACCGCGAAAAATGTATTGTGAATGAAGAGTGCTGCAATTGAGTGAAAATTTAAAAACAAAAGAAATTAAACAATTTCACCATGTCAGACACTGCCAATATTAGTACTGAACGATGTAAAGGTTGCGAAATGACTCAGAGTGATTTTATAGTACTGAGTGAATACCCAGGAAAGCTATGGCCAGTTGCTTTTTTGCTATTTTTACAAATAAATAATTAAAAATCAAGCTTTCCGCCACTTTTTTATTAATGTTTAGGCCCCAAGGTATCCTTTAAAAAAAAAAAAAAATAAAATTCCTAGACCATTTTTAGCAAAAGCCGCTAAAGCACAACTTTACCGTATTTTTTTTTTTTGTTTTAAGTTCCTAAATTTCAACAATATTCCGGATTTCTAAAGCCGGGGTGCACTGTACCTTAAAGTTGTTAGATATTTACATTTGCTACATTTGGCAGCTAATCGAATTTGGCATTTCGTTTTTATTTTCCCTACTTTGTAGTTTTCTAATTTAATTTAGACAACTTGAAATGTGAAGAGCTTATCACTTGACAAGAATTGTCTGTGGAATTTTCCATGCCGCGGGCTGTCTAGCGTAAAATTTTAAAATAACTACCGTTGTGACTGACGCACCGTTGATTTCGCTAAATTTAAAATGTTTTGCATCACTTAATAGTGCGGTGTGGGAAGGGGTGGTGATTAATCTCCTCGCAGAGAGTGTCGCACAGGCACACTTATTACCTCTCTCTCGTTTCCCCGCTTTACATCTCATTACCCCCAATATACAGCCATGGACAGATAAATAGCACAAATGTAAAATCAAATGTTTTCTTCAATTTATTTTGTTATTAAGCGAGCTTTCTCTGGATTATTTGAGGTCTTATATATTCCGTACTTTTGCTTATCAAATTGTGCCAAACAAAATTTTATTACATTTTGTCATTGCTTTTTTATTATGGTTTGAACAAATCAGCTTCCATTTGATGTGGTCACTTAAATAGCACACATTGGTCTTACACGTATTTTTCAAAGGGTAAAAATTTAATACTAATTTTTTTTTGTTATATTTATTAAAGATGAGACTTAATTGAACTATTTTCGTGAAAAAATTAGCCGCGTTATACATTGTACTCTCAAAAAAGGACATTTAGTAATGAACTTAGTGAATCCGGCAAAACCGTTGCTGAAATTGCAGAAATTTAAAAATTATCTGCAAAAATTGTTATTATTGTCAACAAAATAGAAAGGCAGAGTAACTATTATACGATTAAAAACCAAATTCGGAAAAATTTTCTTGAGAAACGATCAAACACACCGAATGACTCACAGTGCGGGATACAAAACTTGATCCTATTTTAATTTTTGTCAAATTGGAAATGATTCTACCACAGAATATAACCTCAATGTGTCCAGAGAACTGGTTTCAAGAAGAATAAACAAAGTTTCACTTTTTTAACGCATTGGAAAAAAAACGCCATACTTGACAAAGCCCCACATCGAAAAAATCTAAACTTTTGCTATGGCGCACAGGAACGAGTCAATGAGTTTTTGGAGGAATGAACTTGGAACCGATGAAATTAGTATAAATAGGGTAGAACTTGATGGAAAAACCATTATTAGTCGCCCTAAAGTCCAATTCCTGAACCACAGATGTACCACCAAAACCATCAAACATGCAGAAGGAAAAATGGGGATTTGGGTTGCGTTTTCCTGACCTGGCTTTGACCCAATAGTCTCATCCAATGGCTTAATGGGTCGATTACAGAACTTGGATATCCTGCAGAAGGAAATTGAGCTATTGGTTATTTAAAATATGCCGGTATAAGGGACTTTTATGCAATTTAACAACTCAAAGGACACTGCTGGAGTCGTTAAAAAATGGCTGTAGGACGAAAAAATTGATATTTTGGATTGGCCGAACCAAAGATTGAATCAGAATACCATATTAAGCGTCTGCATCACAGAAAAATTTTGAATTAGTAATGAGAAATTTTAAAATTTGGATGAATTTTGTGCAGGAATCCAAGAAGTTTGTAAATCTATCTGCAAGGACTCTTGTCGAAAGCTGGTGGGAAGGATAAGCCAAAGGTGTGAAGCGGTAGAGCTTTACGAAGGATTCAACACCAAATAAAGACGAAAAGGACCTCCGGTTTAAAAAAAGAAAATTTTTCAAAATGTTGTGCTATTTATGTGTCCATGCGATTTGGAGGCTCTTCGACAAAAAAAGCTATAAACTTTGTTCTATCGTCAAATAATTTACTATTTTTTAGTTATTACAGAGTTTACTTAATAAACTATGGAATCACTATATCCTTTATCCCGATAGGCTGCGTTTTCGATAACATATTGGACATTACTCCTCTTTGACTGATTTGTGCTATTTATCTGTCCATGGCTGTAGCGTAGTCCACTCGTTTGCCGCAATGCGATTTGCATAACTGCAGCTGGCATATAGAAATGTGATTCATACTGAGGCATTTTCTGGCCCAAATCAAGTGACATACACGTTCGTAATCGACACATTTTTCAATTCCGATGACCTAATGCCAACATCCGATGTAAGGAAAACAAAAACGCGCACACTAACAGTAACCCGTGTTAATTCTGCTATCTCGCAACTGTCTTTATCAAGAGCTGTGCGAAATCCAATTTGACTGACTTGGCTCCAACTATATACATATATATCTCTTATTCCCACTCTGCGTCCAAGATAATTGAATTTTTAGCGCTTCTTTTGTTTGCAAACAAATATCAACAGCTGCCTGTGTATTTGTAAACCGTTTTTTAGTTGTTTTGGCTCAGCTGATGTAGACCCCATGAGTCAGTCAGTCGGTCTTTTTAAACCAAAAAACGGTGACTGGTGGGTGTAGTTAACCGAGCAAAGCTAATAAAATTTCATAGTAAAAGTACCGCGTTGCATTTTTTTAATTAAAATTATGTTAAAATATATTCCTTAATATGTATGTATGTTTGTTTATGTAAATAAAATACCATCTTTAAGTTTCTTTTAAGTGAGAGTAGACCGTACTTCGTAGTATGATTATATGGGTGGGCGACACTATTTTGGAAATCGCTGCGCCTGATATTTTATTCACTTTTTCGTTTTATTACGCTAATTCGCTGCGAAGGCCGCAGCACGCAACTGCGCAAATGCCGGTGAATTGGCCAATTGTACCGTCGAATCGTCCCATGTTAAGGCGTCTATATACATAGTACTTAAATAGGGGACAAATAGTGCTTAATAGGATCGCGAGAGGCGTTAATGGCCAAAGATGAAGTCCCGGCCGGTCAGTTGCTTTTTATTCTCAACCGTTTTGTTTTGCTTTACTCTCTCAATCTTGTGTTCGCCTCCCACGCTCCGACTTTCTTGATACAGTTGCGTTCAAAATAATAGTAGCTTTAGTACAAATATAATAAATTGTAATTCTGTCGGTTCATTGGTAGCTATTTAGATTCGTTAACAAAGTCCTAATCTTTTTTTATTTCTCAAGATTTTCATAACAGCATTCCAAACGCTGATGTCTGTGTTGTTCGATCATTTTATTTATAAACATCAATAAACAACTCATCACGGTTGTGCTTGTTTTACTGCCGTATACATTTAATAATAATATGTTCCAACTTTTGCGTTGCCGTGGAAATATTTAACCGGTTCGAATGATGACATAGGCATTTAAAAAGGGAAAATCGAGACTGTGTAGCCAACAAATATCAATTGAGATTGTAGTGCATGCCAAGCCAATAAAAGGGAAATAATATATAGAAAGATGAAGGGCGAGTCATGCAATTGCTGCGCAGTGCGCACCCCACTTTCCCCAACGCTCCGAAATGCATTTTATGTTATTATAATTTCAGTGACCTTGAGTTTGGGGTGCCGCAGTTGTTTGAACTCGTTGATTTTGCTTTTTCTCTGTTTTGCGGTGTGCGTTATGTTTTTTGCTTTTGACAGCTGTTTGGCGCCTCTATCTGTTGTTTGCATACCCTTCACTTTGGGTATATCAAATACACAACAAATCAGAAATGATTTACGCTGAAGTATTAATCTTGAATTAATTTCTTTCATTTTTCCCGTTTGTTTTGTTTTCATGTTTCTCAAACGATTACCATATCTCTGCATTCTTAACTAATTTCGCAATTTGTTTTTTATTTGCGCCCTGCTTGTGTTTTGACTTTTGATTTTATCGTGCGTTCGCCTGAAGCTTGGGTATATCTTTTGCGGGTTCTTCCATTGTTTTATTTATAGTGATCACGCCACTTTTTTTCGGTTCGTTTATTGCCACCCCTTGCCGACTTGCGCCATCCTACGTACAATATTTGGCAATGGGGAATACAGCATGTTAATCAAATGATTTATGATTTGTTTTCATTCGCAATGCACGTGGATTTATCATATTTGCTTGCACTATTGATTGAGATATTTAATCAATCCAATCATATGGACTAACACAATTAGTTATTCAGACAGTTTTTGCACAAAATAGCAACCTTATTTATTTGGTACAAGCTTTATTATCTTAATTCTTAAGCTCTTTAACTTGGTTATAAATCTAAAGTTTTTTAATGCTTTGATCTGTTTGCGTTTCTGCTTTTGTCGTTAACAATTTGTTGTATTTTGTTACAAAGGGTAATAGCTTTCATAGGAAAACCTTTGGTGCATAACAGTGACATCTCTTGGTTGAAGAGAGGGCTAAGTCAAGAAACTTAAGCTAAACTTGTAGCTAAGGAATCCCGGTGAACAATGGCAGATGAGTACTCAGAAATTGCTGTCGTTGCAAACCATGTTGCATTGTTGCTGGCCGAAACCATGGAAACATCTTATCTTGACGTGCAGATGGCTGCCTACCCATAATTACGGAAACAATGCGCCTGAACGGAAGATGAAGGGCTGGGTCCACACATTTGACTTTAAACTGTTTGCCTGTCCGATAGACAATATTTGTCGTGTTCATTTGGTATATCAAGTATATATTGCAGGATGTTGAATGGGAATATCTTGGTAATTGGAATTCGCCATGTGGCTTTTAGACTGCGTGCCCCGAAATTCGATTTATCGTCATTCTCTGCACCTGAAAATGTATATGGCCAATATAGTTATTTCAACTCGAGCGCAGGGCAGGAATGCCAGTATTGTGTTCAAGGTCTCCAAAAGAAACGATTTGCCTGTAATTACGAGTACAATAAGCGTCCCCTTCTCTTTGTCCAACCAGCTAGGAAGATAATTTCCGCATTATTTCCATTCGCGCAGAAGCCCTGTCCTTTAAATATAGTGGTTATAAGATCGAATAACAATTGTATTGTTAATAATAAAACAACTCATTTAATAAAATATTATTTTATAAATATCCAAACCAACAAGTGTTCACTGACTTGTTGCCCTTTTTTGTGTTTCATCCCAGCTGGGAACCATAATTCTTGAGCAAGATTTTCCTTTCGTTTGGCTGTGCTTAAGCCAAGTCGCTTGGGCTGAGGCAACAAAGAACCGGTTTTCGACCAGCGGCATTGCGAGCCCACTTATTGCGCATGAGGTATTCGAATGATGATTACAACATGCGTCCGAATGGGAAAACTGCTGCTTCGATGGCTATTCTTCTTGCTATAGTGATTCACCTTGTAATCAGTTCGATACCCAAAGGTCTTTAATCTTAACTTGGCGGTTACAGCCTTGTAAATTGACGGACTTTGCTGCTCTGCCCGACTTGTCACTAGCTATCAGAAATCATGGCAGGGGCGCCTTTGTTTTTGTCCTATGGCGTGAGTGTGGCTTGGGGGACGTGGCCCCTTTGTGGGAGCTACTTCCCGATAAACAAAGGCAGATAATGTACGAGTATATCTATATAATAAGGGTACGCGTTATCGGCAAACGGTTGAAACGGTCGAAGTGTGCCTGCCCATTATGAAACTCAACAGCGGAACTTGTAAGATGCTAAAAAAACATGTTAAGATAGCCGCTGAAAGAGAAATTAAAATACAGTGCGTTGCAGTGGTGTATTTCATTTAATTCCTGGAATCACAATTCGATTTTTCAAGGGAGAGTAATTCCCAGGAGTAAAACCAATACAATCATCTCATTTAAGTTCACGGATATTATGCGGTGCTTGCATAACATAATAATAATCAATAGAAGCTTTTTGGGACCACGGTTTCAAATCGTACAAGTGCATTAAGTAACTTCGTTGAACACAATTTTCTGCACTTTGCAAATTGGCAAAATGTTTTTGAAGAAATGTAGAATGTAACATGTAACTCGGTAGCCAAAAACATTGCACCCACTCAAGGGTATGGGTATAAAAAGATGCTGCAGGTGGGTTAGTTGTCAGAGCACCGAAGCGAAAGCGGTAAAGTAGCCAACAGCAGTTAGTTATCCTTTTGCGCCGCCTGAAATATTCGATGAATCTGTGTAAGTGACTTCTTAAAAGTGTTGCGGGCCTCGTCGTTAAAGTTATCCCTTGCAGCAAGCCTTTTCCTTCTGGCCCTTGTGGCATCTGTGGCTGTCAGTGCCGGATCTGCCCGCAGAATCAGCAGGCCAAAGCCAAAGCCAACTACGCCTCCTTGCGTGCGGACGACCACTCCGCCATGTGAAACGACAACTCCACCATGTGCGACGACAACGACCACTGAAGCTCCAACGACAACAACAACAACAGTTTGTGCTCCAGTAACAACGACCACTGAAGCCCCAACAACAACGACCACCACCACTACAGAAGCTCCAACGACAACAACAACTGAAGCCTGTGCTCCAACAACAACGACCACCACTGAAGCCCCAACAACAACGACCACCACTGAAGCCCCAACAACAACGACGACCACCACTACAGAAGCTCCAACGACAACAACAACTGAAGCCTGTGCTCCAACCACAACGACCACCACTGAAGCCCCAACAACAACGACGACCACCACTACAGAAGCTCCAACGACAACAACAACTGAAGCCTGTGCTCCAACCACAACGACCACCACTGAAGCCCCAACAACAACGACCACCACTGAAGCCCCAACAACAACGACGACCACCACTACAGAAGCTCCAACGACAACAACAACTGAAGTCTGTGCTCCAACAACAACGACCACCACTGAGGCTCCAACAACAACGACCACCACTGAAGCCCCAACAACAACGACGACCACCACTACAGAAGCTCCAACGACAACAACAACTGAAGCCTGTGCTCCAACAACAACGACCACCACTGAGGCTCCAACAACAACGACCACCACTGAAGCCCCAACAACAACGACCACCACTGAAGCCCCAACAACAACGACGACCACCACTACAGAAGCTCCAACGACAACAACAACTGAAGCCTGTGCTCCAACAACAACGACCACCACTGAGGCTCCAACAACAACGACGACCACCACCACAGAAGCTCCAACGACAACAACAACTGAAGCCTGTGCTCCAACAACAACGACCACTACTGAGGCTACAACGACAACAACCACTGAAGCCCCAACAACAACGACGACCACCACTACAGAAGCTCCAACGACAACAACAACTGAAGTCTGTGCTCCAACAACAACGACCACTACTGAGGCTACAACGACAACAACCACTGAAGCCCCAACAACAACGACGACCACCACTACAGAAGCTCCAACGACAACAACAACTGAAGTCTGTGCTCCAACAACAACGACCACCACTGAGGCTCCAACAACAACGACCACCACTGAAGCCCCAACAACAACGACGACCACCACTACAGAAGCTCCAACGACAACAAAAACTGAAGCCTGTGCTCCAACAACAACGACCACCACTGAGGCTCCAACAACAACGACCACCACTGAAGCCCCAACAACAACGACCACCACTGAAGCCCCAACAACAACGACGACCACCACTACAGAAGCTCCAACGACAACAACAACTGAAGCCTGTGCTCCAACAACAACGACCACCACTGAAGCCCCAACAACAACGACGACCACCACTACAGAAGCTCCAAAAACAACAACAACTGCACCCTGTGCTCCAACAAGTACATCTTCATCCCCCGCTCCTCCTAGGCCTTGCCAGCCAAAAACTACGCCAGCGCCACCTCCCCCTTGCGATCCCACCACTACAACCCCGCCACCTTGTGAACCAGAGACAACCACACCCGCCTGCGGATCTGGTGACTCGAAGCGTGATAACAGTGTCCTCGATCAAGTGATTGCCAAGCCAATTAAGGATCTCCTTGATGGTTCTAGCAGCTCCATTAGTAAACCTGCTCTTCCGATCGGAACCAGTGCCATGTGCGTTGGACGCGCCGAGGGTACTATTGTCCAGGATCCAAATCACTGCAGAAGGTACTACGAGTGCCGTGCCGGTCGCCGCTTGCTGCGCAAGTGTAACTACGGTTTGTGGTACGATTCGGAGGCAGGGGAATGCCTTCCGCGAAGCGAGGTTCTGAACTGCCCGGCCCAGCGCAACTGAGACTCTCAGCCGTCTTGAGTCAACTGGGATGAGGCCTGAGATTGCAATGCAACTTGTATCCGTAACCAACAGTAACCACCTACTCAATAAACAGCATATAAATCATATATAAATATAGTGAATAAATCGGCACTTAATCTTAGTGAACAACTGAATACCGATTCACACGAGAGCCACCGTCGAATTTTAAGCGGTTGTAGATTAGAACAAGGGTTACTTTAAGAAAAATTGGGAGCCGTAGATTTTACCGCTATCTTAATTTGAGCCATTTCTTCTAGACTTGTGAATAGTAATCTTGAAAATGCGTTTCAAATTCAAATTCTGAACTAGTTATAGATTTAATTACATGCCACCTATCTCACAGTTAAAGTACTACAAAATCAAAGAATAATAAGTAAACTGCGCATAAAATATAAAGTGTGTTAATGTTAGACCTCTTTTAAGTCATTGACTCCATAATCGTGGCAATCAAATTGTTAATTAATGAATGCGATTACATTAAGTATTTGATTTGAGCGTCGTATGCTGTTTGTGAATGTGTACGAGATTACTCGTGTCTATATAATAGCACAATTTTGTGTCTGTGAGTACGGCAAGCAAATTGTAAAAGTGTCTGTATGATAAGGGCGCCTCGAACCCAGAGTCGTCGCATCCGCTTGGCTTTCGGTAATGATGTTGTCCACAAACAACGCCCGAATTGGTGTGAGGTCCCCCACAAGACCCATTCTTATCGCACCTTATCGAGGGCAGTTGAAAATGCGTTTCAGGGAATAGGAATCAAGTTCAAAGCGTCAAGCAATTGATATCAATTAAACGGCACTCGACCGTTCTAATTTGAGTCCCCCCATTTCTTATTCATTGGCACGGGTCCGTGCGAAAAAGCAAATTAGCGGAAAATAACACCGAAACCCCTCGGTCGGTCTTCAATGGCAATAGTTTTTGCGCAGAGATCCCTTTAATTTTCCTAAGCATTTGCATTGGAATAGAAGCCAAGGCTAATGGGGGTCAGCAAAAGTGGAGGAGAACGAACATTGATCACATAGCGTGATCGTGATCGGCGATCGCCATGATCAAGTGCGCTGGTTGTCGAGCACTTGTGGCCGCAATTCTCGATGGGGGTTGTGGTGATCTGGGATGAGGTGAGTGGGGGATGCTGTTCTCGCATTTCAATTGCAAGTCTAGCTAAACATGTGCTCGGGTTTTTAATGAGTCCAAAGATTTCGAATAACTTATAGAACAAGTATTGTTATGAACATTAAAAAAAAAAAAAAACTTTCTTAATTTCATTCCAATTTCAATAAAACCTTATTCTCCGCATTGCAGGTAAACTTTTTGATTTGTCAAATATCGGCTCTCTTTTTGGCCTCGCTCTTCCGGTCCGTTCTGCATCCTTCGAAGGTGTCCAGCAAGCTGCGCCACACGTTCGCCCTTTCGATTGGCCTGGCCTTCGGCTACTTTTGCTTTGGCCAGCAGGCAATCCACATTGCCGGACTGCCGGCAATATGTTACATCGTCATCCGCACCCAGGATCCGCGCATCGTCCAAAGGTAATCGTCACTTGCCACTGATTCTGAGGCCTTCAGCTTATTACTTTTCATTTCAGAGCCGTCCTGCTGGTGGCCATGAGCTATCTGCTGTGCGTGCACCTTATGCGCCAGCTCTACGACTACGGATCCTATGCCCTGGACATAACCGGGCCCCTAATGATCATCACCCAGAAGGTGACCAGTCTGGCCTTTAGCATTCACGATGGCTTCGTGCGGCGGGATGAGGTGGGAGTGCAGTAGTGATATTATTATCAATCATGGGCCTAATATCTTTTTTCTTCGCCTGGCAGGAACTCACCAAGGCCCAGCAGTACCACGCCATTCGCAAAATGCCCACGGCCTTGGAGTACTTCTCGTACGTTTGGCACTTCCCAAGCATTTTGGCAGGTCCTCTAGTCTTTTACAAAGACTATATTGAGTTCGTGGAAGGCTACAACCTTTTGAGCAGTCCCCCGGGCAACGTAAGTTTAATTATCTTCTCACTTAATTAAGAACTAATCTCCCTTTTTCCAATTTAAAAACTAAAGATTCTAATGACGCATTGTGCTATAATTGCTTATACAAAATAATTGCTTTTTAAGAATTATAAGGAAAACAATCAACTCTAATTCTCAGGGAAATCTGGATACCAGCAAGAGAGAAGTAGTGCTGGAGCCTTCACCTACTAAGGCGGTGATTCGTAAAGTGGTTGGCAGTCTGGTGTGCGCGTTCATATTCATGAAGTTCGTGAAAATGTATCCTGTGAAAGACATGAAGGAGGACGACTTCCTGAACAACACCAGCATGGTTTACAAGTACTGGTACGCCATGATGGCTACCACCTGCATACGCTTTAAGTATTATCACGCCTGGCTCCTAGCGGATGCCATATGCAACAACTCAGGCCTCGGTTTCACTGGCTACGATAAGGAGGGCAATTCCAAGTGGGACCTGATATCCAACATCAATGTGCTGTCGTTTGAGGTGGGTATCTCCGTCCATTGAAATTAAAGGCGTTTTTTAATTCTGTCTCCTTTCTTAACAGTTTTCGACGAACATGCGCGATGCCATTAACAACTGGAATTGCGGAACTAACCGTTGGCTGCGAACGCTTGTCTACGAGCGGGTGCCGAAGCAGTACGGAACTCTCCTCACCTTCGCCCTCAGCGCCGTCTGGCACGGCTTCTATCCGGGCTACTACCTGACCTTCGCCACCGGTGCCGTCGTTGTGACGGCCGCTCGCACCGGCCGGCGCCTCTTCCGCCACCGCTTCCAGAGCACGCAGGTCACACGAATGTTCTACGACATCCTCACCTGCCTGATCACACGCGTCGTACTGGGCTACGCCACATTCCCATTCGTTCTGCTTGAATTTATGGTGAGTCTGCTAATCGAATCATCGAATCTTCGAATACACTTAACACATTTAATTTTCTTGTCTTACAGGGCAGCATCAAATTGTACCTGAGATTTTATTTGTGCCTTCACATCATTTCACTAGTGACCATATTTATTTTACCCATGTTTATTCGCGGCGAACGCCGGGTTCGCACGAGTGGCGGTGAAAACGGCCAGTTGGCGGGCAGAGGCAATGTCAAGGATGCCGCCTTGAAGACGACCGCAAACGGGGAGTCTGCTGCCGCCCTGACCGCTGACAATGATCTCAACGAGGATAGGGAGGACGACAAGCACGCTCAACGTAAAGTCAACACGCCCACACACCAGCAGTCAACTGCTGTTCTACACAACACAACCGAACAACAGCCAATCGAGCAACCGAACAATGTAAACCTTCGACCACGCCCACAGCAGCAGAAGCAGCCACATCTGGAGAAGAAGCCGATGATCAGGTGCGCACGCGACGCAGTTAGTGTGCCCCATGACCAGTGCGAGATGGACCAACTGTCCAGCAAGCTGAAGGAGAAGATCGACGCGGAGACCAAAAACATTGAGGATTTTATTGATAAGACTGTAACCGAGACCGTCAGCGGCATTGTGGAATTCAAAAAGGATCTGATGCGGGACATCGAGTTTCCCAAACTAAAGCTGCCCGGCAGCAACGGCGCTGCCTTGGAATCTTCCACGACCGGCGGTCTCCGCAAACGCAACATATCCTCTGTCCATGACAATGGCACAGATTCTGGCAATGCTCCCGCCGACCTCCATCATCCGCTCGAGGAAAACGGCGCCGCCTTCCTGAAGAAGGAAATCGAGGTGATCAACGCGGTGGTGCAGCAGGCAGTGCCGGCCGTGCTTAGCAACGGTCATGCAAAATAGTGGCATCGATCAGCAGGTGTGGGAAGACCGAACCAAGCAACGACAAAGAAGATGACACGGCAGGGAATGGAGGCGGCCAGGGGACAAAATGGGTGCTGCACCTCGGATTGGCTGATTAATAGATAAATTGAACTGACAGGTTTATCCGACACGCACACGATATACGCACACTACACGCTCACACACAAACGGCAGACACTCTTTGGTTTCACTTTGAATGGAGTACTTTTAGTTGATAGTCGTTTAGAACACAGATTGTTTACACTGAAGTCCAAGGCGGCTTATAAGCCAAATAATAAATAAGATACACTTTTATATTTGGTATACCAGCAGCCAAACCTATGTTCAAATTAACTAAATGTGCACCAAAACTCTAATTGTTGTTGAAAAGAAATCTATGTACGTTTGTAGATGTTTATTTGTTAAGTACCATGTCCTGAGGCGAACAGTGCGTTTTAAAGCTAGTCCCTAGACATATCCACTGGGATAACCCAAAGTTGATCAAGCCAAGCCAAACGATAGAAGATCTTTAATCATCCAAATCTAGCCGACTGAACCCAACTGCAAAACTTTTTTACGAGTTGTTTTAACAACACCAAAATAAGATTTGAAACGCGCTGTTTGCATCGTGCAATTTGATAGAATCCATATATATTTAGGTAAACCAGCATATGTTGAAATATTTACCATATAGTCTATGTGCGAGCAACTAAACCAATTTTCAAACTTCAGTACTATTGTAGTTAAAATCCCGCCCGAAAGAACCGAAAACAAATCGTCAACGTCACGTGACAAGTAGAACCAATGATATCCTCTTCTAGCAAAAGAAATGTAAAATCCACGGGGCTCGCAAGCAACAGCTTATTAACAAATGGATTCAGAAAAGGCACAGACAAGACTGAATGACTTCAGTTTTTAGTCAAACCCCTCAGTGAAGAATATCTATTTCTTGTTGTATTTTCAGCCGACTGTCATTTGCGAGCTCTGCGAAAAACAAAAGTAAACCAAATCTTAACTTTAGACTGAAACTATTGACAAGTACTAAGCAACAAAAAAAAAAGAAAGACAAAAGCCAAGCAATTTGTGTCTAGCTAAAGTTAGTTAGTAAGCCGTCAAGTTGTTTTTGATATTCAATTTAATCCAGTTTTTGTACAACTGCGCGAGTGTGTCTGGAAAGGATATTCCAGCCAGCTTCCATATATACTTCCCAACGCGGCATTTTAGCTGGTCCACATCTTTTTGTAAATGTTCGTGTCTCCCACTTGTGGCTTCCTAATCCGTAGCTCTTAGGCAAGCACTTTATATACCATTTTTGTTTTCCCTTTTATTTTGTTAGTTCCAATAAATGTTTCCGCAACAAATCCTCACATATAAACGATATATTTTTATATTTCTTGTAAAACCAGAACGAAAACAAAACCACTCTAACCGTAAGAGAAATCTCGCACATTTGTTTCGATTGATTGTCGAGAAAATCTCGATATGCAGTCCAGTTGCATCAGATATACAAACCAATTTAAGCATTGATATTCGACGAATAAATCGTGTATGTGTAGCTGTTTGATTTCATTTATTGATGAAAAAAAGGGAAATTAATTTTTCATAATAGGAAAATATATTTGTTTATCCATGACCATGTTCAATGTTTTCATACAGCTGAAATCTTATATATGTATAAAACTGAAAAAAATAACGTGGAAAACAAATTTTCTAAAATTCTAGACTGCCGGTTATCTTGTAGAACTCGTCCTCTCCGCGAGATTTCAATACGCATAAGTGTACTGCTTGGCACTTGGCCGTACCGAAGTCAAAGTCCCCGAAGCGCTTTAGGATTTCGCGGGCATCGAAGGAGTCGCCGGACTTCATCGCCTCCTTGCGATAGCGGTTGTTCATCAGAGTCATGTGAAGTTTAATAGATTCACGTTGATTGTTGTCGGTGGCGCAAAGTCCGGTAGTCTGAAAATGGGCTAGGCATTGATCCGCGAACTTCTGCAAGCCAGAAGATTCGACGCGACCGTACAAAACACGAGTGGAGCTGGGATCGTCGTTCATGATCTCCAAGCCCTTGACTTTAATATCAAATGGAGTGTTGAGGTCAGCCAGAAGCGGACGACAGGCCTCCAGCTCATCTAGTGCCTTTTTGCGCTCATCATCATCTAGAAGAACATAGACCCCTAGAGTAAGGTGGATGGAGCGCTCCGAGATGAATAGCTCCTCATCAATGCCTGGCAGCTGGGCCTCCAAAATGCTTTTCTGGAAAGGGAGTGCATATTTAGAAATGATTATTACCATTTTTTCCAATGCTTTTGTACCTTAAGTTCTACAAAACGATCTTTTACTTCCCCAGAGTTTAGAGCCACGGCCAAAAAGTGGGTGGGCTTCATCCTCTTTCGCAGCGAGGTGATTATATGACGGATTTGCCGCAGTGCACCACATACATGGCTGCGTTGCTTGGCTCTGATCAATATGTCGTTTGAAATTTCGTTATGACGTGGAACGTAGATCTCTGTTCTGGTCTCCTCCTCGATGCGCCGTTTGGTGGAGCCTTTGAGGCCTATTAAGCCTCCGTAGAATGATCTGCGAGGAACTATTTTATAGGGACTGTCATTCTCTTCTATAACTTTACCTACTTGGGCACATGAAGCGCTAACTTAAAATCGCCATTTGGCGACTCCTCGATGTTGCAGGCAGCTGGATCTTCCTCGTCATCGTCTTCACCATACAAATCTGGGAGAAGAAATATGTTTATGATGGATTAAATGACAAAGATAGCCACTTACCTGGCTCCTCGTAGGCCTTGTTTTCCCTTTTAGCCATTTTATTTTGGCCGTTCCACTTGTCTCCTCCGAAATCTTCGTGTACCATGTTTACTCTATAGCGCCGGTTGTGGCTCATTTTTTGGACAGGCGGGGATACCACTTCGCGACTCATTATAACTTAAAAAAACCAAGGAGCATGTATTCAGGGGGATATCCCGAAAACGAATGAACTTCCAACCAAAGAAAAAAGCCGGCAATGTTGACAAGTTCATGTGCAACAACTTAACGTCGGAGATTTAGCGGCGATTGGGGAACGGTTGGGTTTGAAACACGAGGCTGTTTTAATTTTTTTATTTCTCATGGTAGTTAAGAAAAGAAAAAGCCGGCGAAATACGTTGGGCTTGCTCATATTTTAGGCATTAATTTGGCTCCCCAAATTAAATCCACTCATAGATCATGTACCAAAATGAGCGTTAAACCAGCTGAAAGAAGGAAAAAATACCAGATTTAAATAAAGATGATGCTTTGGCCACATTGAAAGTTTGTTATTGTGCACGTGCGTGGTTTGTTTTCAGCGGTTGTTGCGAACTTAATAATTTTTAAATAACAACCATGCCCGCCGCTCCCGCAGACCGCAGCAATGGCAAGCAGACGGAGCCCCACAAGTCTTGGAAGAAGGTGAACGAGGAGCGGAAGGCGCTGAAGCGCCAGCGGAAGCAAGACAAGCTGCTTAAGGAGTTGAACCAGGCGAAGGAGGCGGAAAGTCGAGCAGAGCAGGCTGCCAATGGAGCCCAGACAAAGAACAGGCCTAATCCATCCACCTTGAGCATAGCCGTGCCCGGCTCCATACTAGAGAATGCCCAATCTGCAGAGTTGCGTTCCTATGTGGCAGGACAAATAGCCCGTGCCGCCTGCATCTTCCGGGTAAACGAGGTGATCGTCTTCGACGACGTGGGCATAGCCACTGCCCGCGAAACGAAGCGCAGCTACGAGCCGGACGCGGAGGGAAGTGGAAGTGGCACGGTGCGCAGCAGTTCCCTCCAGCTGGCCCGCATCCTACAGTACCTGGAGTGTCCGCAGTACCTGCGCAAATACTTCTTCCCGTTGCACAAGGACCTAAAGTACTCGGGGCTACTTAACCCCCTAGACACACCGCATCATCTCCGGCAGCAGAGCAAGTTCCGCTACCGCGAGGGCGTTATCTGCGACAAGAAGGCCAAGGAGGGACACAGCTACGCCAACGTGGGGCTGCTCAACGACGTTCTGGTGGACCAGGCCATTGAACCGGGCGTCAGGGTTACTGTTAAAATGGAACCTCCCAGTGGTACGACCTAAATCTTTGTTTTCTGGAGAAAATTCCAATCTTATTGATTTTTTTAACCCCAGAGACCAGCAAAAAGCAACGTGGAACCCTTGTCAGCCCAGATGAGCCGCGTCGGGAAACAGGCGTCTACTGGGGCTACCAGGTGCGCATTGCCCACTCACTGTCGGAGATTTTCACAAAATCTCCATACGATTCCGGCTATGATGTGACGCTGGGAACCTCGGATCGTGGCACCAACGTGCATGAGGTGCCCAACCGATCGTATGGCTTTAAGCACATGCTCATCGTCTTTGGCGGACTGCAGGGCCTTGAATCCGCACTGGCCAACGACGAGAAGCTGACTGTAGACGATCCGGAGCTGCTGTTCGATCACTATGTAAACGTTTTGCCACGCCAGGGCTCTCGGACAATTCGCACAGAAGAGGCCTTACTGATTGCCCTGGCGGCACTGCAGGAAAAACTTCAACCGGAAGTGCCCGACGTTGAGACCGACTTAAGTGATCTGCTACCCAAAAGTGAGGATACTGGCTTACCAGTGCGCCGAGATGTTTTGGTTAGCAAAAAGCAGAAGAAAAGGAAGGTGGTTGAGGACACGACAGAAGCTCAAGTGGATGACGAACCTACACCTCCAAAACCTGTAATCAAAGTGGCTCGAAAAACTGCCAATCCTTTCGCCGATCCTTCGGAGAGTTTAGAAAAATCAAGCCCTGCAGAAGACGACTTTGAAATAGTTTCCTCCACCACAGTTTCTGAAGCACGACAGTCGAGCGCAAATGACGACTTAAGTCGATTCGATTGAAGGAATAGTTGGGATTTTATTTTTGTAAATATACAGATCCATATGTGTTGCCTAAAGTTTCGAGTTTGATTTTATTGTTTTCCCACTAGGCGTTAAACTATTATCTGTATTATATATTCCGTACTTGTTTGCATAACTTGCTAACGCCCTAATAACTTTCTACTTACACACTAAATTAATACATTCAAAAAGTTTCAACGCGAATGTCAAAGCTAGATTTTGGATTTCCGTCTTCAATTAACCGCCCAGCTACTTTACTTACATAAATGTACACTAGAATTTTGCATCCACTCTTTCGAAGCTTAAACATAACATAATAACCTAGTTGTCCCTATAGGATGGACTGACTATCTGTTATTTACACATTGAAAATGAATGTCGGAAAGAGAGTCTTGAACCGTCGAAGAAAGGCCTCACAACAGAATCTCTAAATGTAATATGTTGCCACATTGTCGCTAGTCATGATTAGCTATGGAATCGAGTCCTGGAACCGCGGTTCTGGCAGAAAGTCCTCCTCCAGCTCGATGCGCGTGTCGCTGTGATATCCCAGCAAAGATTCTGTGTCTTCTTCCATATGTCGGATCGGGAATGTCTTGCCGTCGCCAAAGCTAAAGGATGTTGTGCATTATATTCGATCAGGACAGGAATAACATGTATATGGAACAGTTTATATATCATATATATCATACAGGAAAAATGATTAGTTATGAGTGCGCTACTTAATTATTGGTTCATGATTCGGTGCAGTGCAGTGATTCGGAAGCAAGGCGTTTGAACTTCTTTTCTTGTTTTTGGCAAATTAAAAACAAACCTTTGTTGATGCTTTAAGTATATTTTCCATCCATTTCAAGATCGTCACTTGTCGACAAGTTTACTCAATAGAATATGTATTTAGGTATAATAGGTGTACAAAAGAATAAAAAAATACAAAAATCAATTTTCAAACATTAACTAACTACATAAATTAAAATCAAAGAGAAATTCCCGAATTCTGTGTGTGATTAAGTGTACTGAAATCTCATACTTAATATTACGTTTAAGTCTTGAAGATAGGTTGGTATCTACAAGGATGATTGGTTCCATGAATGTGTTTAACAAGGTACAAATGTCTGAGCAGGATAAAGATCTTAACCACCAAGATCTCTCAGTTTTGATTACAAATTTCGATCTATTAAAACAGCGATAAATGCTTGTGTAGTAACAATTACATACTGCTTAATGTTATCTTAGTCGAATGTAGCTAAGTGGTTGTGAATAAAAAATACCCGACGATTTATATCTAAGCCAAATATTGTGGTCCCAGCCCTTTCAACATAAAAGTAGCTTATACTGAACAGTTGATAAATTGCATAGAGGTAACGTATTGGCTTGCTACAATCTGCAATGCTGACAAATCTGGCAGTTAACCCGGCTATATAGTACAAACACATAATACAATGATCTACAGAAACATGACAAATGGGGAAATTCAAACTGGCAGATCTCCATTCAGCGGGCGAGGGGGATTCTTCGCTAAATCGGAGTCTGCCAACGGATGATCCCCGACCATGTCGATGTATACGGCCGCCCCATTGGCTCCTCCCTCCGTCGGCTGACTAGACCTGACTGCTGCCTTGCTGGAGTTGCTGGATGACAGGCCGTTTGCCAGCCGCTCGTCCCGGCTTGGAGATGGTGGCTGCATCGGCAACTGCTGGACTGCCTGCGCGCTGACGCTTCTTACTTGATGAGGCGATTGGTTGTGGTGATAGTTAGTGGTGTCGAGGGGACTAGCGCCAATCAACTTATCTGTCGGATTGCCATCTAACCTGCTGGTGGCCGTCTCCCCCATGGCATCGTACCGCTGGACTGGCGAGGCGGTGGACACTCGACTCTGGTCGCTGGAGGTCGGGTAACTGTAGCCTTCACCGCGACTAGGTGGTGGTATTGCGTTAAACAGAGAGTTTGAAAAAGAAATTATCGTTTTCGAGTTGGTTTTTGTTGTTTGTTTTGTTATTTTTTTTTTACAGTTTAGCTTTTTGTAGTTGTAGCTTTTGTTGTTGCTTGCAGTTTGTTATATAATTTTGTACGAATGTGTATGGACTAATATAGAAATTCGATCGATTGATCTTGTGTGGCAAGTGTTTTGGCTTTTTAGTATTAGCTTGAAGGACACACGGGTTTTCGCAGAATTTCAAACGGGCTTCGGCTTTTAAAATTGGTCACTTAAATCCCGCGAACAACTCGACACTAAGCTGGTTTTTGTTAGGTATAAGTTGCTATCTCTAAAGCTCGCTGGCCAAAGTCTTTTCTTTTTATTTACAAACAGAAACAACGAAGGTAAGGGAAATGAAGTGGCAATTTTGATTATGCTTACAACTAAATTACAAAAGGAGATCGACAACATTTTTTCGTTGCTTTTTTGTTCTCAGTCTATTAAACATACAAATTAATTTTTTCTCTTACACAAATAATAAAGTTAAAAATTGCTTTTGATTAATCTAAAATTAGTGATTTTCAGCAGATTTGCCGTTTAGTTTTAACTTAGCACACAGAACACACATCGAGAATTAGAAAAGGTTTTCAACTACTAAGCATTAGCTGTGAAGCGTGCCTTTAATTTGCCAAGTTGTTAAAAAAAAAACAAAAAGTCGAAAAAAGTAAGTTAAAACAAATAAAACAAAAGCGCACAAAAACAACAACTAAAAGGCGAAAGAGCTTCTAGTGCAGCACGGATTAGTACAAATGGGAATGTGAGTATGCCAAAGATCAGAATAGTGTGCGAACATAATCGAGACATACCTGGAAAAGACGGGCAGGAACCAGTACTGCCAGTCGTCGCCGAACACCTCGCAGAAATTGGCATAGCGACCCAAGTTATAGCCATTTTTATCTGGTCCGCCAACGCGGAAGATGGGAGCTCTAAACGACTCTAAATGGAAAATGAATTAAAATAAATTACTGAATTTAAAGGTATTACTGACTCACCTAACGTCGTGCGATTCACCAGCACCAGGTAGATGTGGTAGCCAAACAAACTCACCAAACTAATGGCAAACATTATGGCAATGAAGAACAGGAATAAGATGTGAAAACGCCCCATTCCGCTGGCATTCAACTGTCCCTGTGCCGAGTAACCATTATTATCGTACTTGGATCAGTAAGTACAAGTAGTTAAGACAACATTACAGCGAAACGAGAGAATATATTTATTAACTAACAGGTCTTGGCATGCAGCGGTTATATAAAAGCGTAAAAATATGGGTTGGTAATAAGAGTAGAAAAATCGGAAACTTACGGCACCTACCTTCCAGAACTCAACAAAGTCGTGGAGCGTGGTGAAGGCCACATACAGGCAGTAGACGAGTGCGTAGCCCAGGAACAGCACGAAGTACTTGTAGTTGTAGAAGTTGACGCAGTTGTTCACCCAGGGGCAGTGGTGGTCCATCTTTAGCACGCAGCAGCTGCACACGCTGCAGTGGTGCGCCCGGTCCGGCTTGATTATCTTACACTTCTCACAGAACCGCACAGAGCCGTTCATTGTGCTGGAAACCAATAAATCCGAAATTAATCATAAATATTGTCTGTTAATTCGGACATTTTTGTACTTCAATTTTTTAATAAATGCTTGGAGTTCGAAGTAAAAATTAAAAAAATCCTCACCGATTTGTGACTGGCAAATCGCGCGCAAAGTTGTTGAGAATGCGTTTCTGAGTGTCGGGGCTGTCGGCCCGGAAAAGTCGAGTCACTTCCTCGTCTGGTATCCGCCACTAAAAAAAGGTAAACAATAGTATTAGTGGGGTTGTCCCGGTTTCTTTAGATAACGGGAGCCGATAAGGCGTGTGATTCACTCACCTGATCCGGTATGCGGCCCACGGAGGTCATAATGGTACGCCAGTAGGACCACATGAAGAGGGTTAGGAAGAGGTGGTAAAACAGCAGCATGAAGATCATGCCAATGTGATTCTGCGAGTTGCCTGCAGTGGCAGGAAAGCGCAGATAAAGATTAAGCTGAAACAAGGCGCTGTACGAGAAACTCACGGATGCACAGCTCCACCACGTAGGCGTAGTAGGACCAGGCGATCACCGCCGTAATGAACAGCACCGGGATCCACTTGAAGACCGCCATGCAAAAGCCACAAGGTGTCTTTCGTCGTCGATGGTCGTCGTTGCCCATTCTATTGATGTGGGCTACTACTTCGGCTACAGCGCGTGTGTCTCGGGGCGTTGGGGTCACCTCCACCTGGAGCTGGAGCGAATTGGGGGTACTCGATAGGGCTTCTATTGTGAGGGCTGCTCCTCCAGATGGGCGCTTCTGTGGCCAATCCAATTTCTTTATCTGCCAGATGATTCACTGGCTGTTGTCAAACACTCTTCGGCGCTATCCGCTGATTGCTTCCCCTTTTCGGGAGGACAGGTGCTGCTTTTCACCTTAACGCAGCGCCATTTTTGTTATTATTTTCCAGTTTTTGTGCTCATCCAGTTAAAATTAACAAAATTTGGCTTGTCAAATTGGAGAAACTAGTGCTGACACCAAACTCCGTGACTGTGGGATACTATCGGTGATTTCCACAGCTTGGCAGCACCGATGATTTTTATGGAACCATTGAATATTTTTATAGCCGGCAAAACGAAAATTAGGATGTACAGCTAACGTTATAATTCAAATTTTTCGGCAACCTAGTCAAATAACAATGAGACAATAGTAAAATAGTGATTAAGCTAAAATCCTTGAAAACAATCCATCAAAAACAATTAAATTTACAGTTCTAAGAATTCATGTTTTGAACTAGAAATTTGTACTGATAATTTTGTATAAAAAATAAAGTTTATTTTTTTAATCACTTACTGACTCTTGTAGTCTATCTATAATTTCAAACATATTCATTTTCAATATCGAGCGTTGCCACTCATTGTAAAAGTAAGCCCCACTCTTACGTTTCGGTATTTTTATTTGGTATTTTTTCGCCCCCAAAGTCAGAGTCCCCCTCAAGAGAGAACTTTCGCTGAGAGCAAGCTTTTTGGGGAGCAACGAGTCTATTTAAGCAACTCGCAAAAATAATCCAATGTAATGTAATTTTGCCTGACACGGAATATAGAGGCTCTGCATTCGATATCTCACCGCCCGCACTTGTTTACGTTGGCTTAAACATTTTGAAAAGAAGTCTAAAAAATAACTACGGTTAAATCGCCGGTGGAAAAAATATATAGAACGCGAGCCGTTGTGCGTCGGATCGGTGGATTATGTGCATTTGAAAATCGAAAAAAGTAATTGCAAGCCAAAAAACCGAAAAGCGTGCTCGCCAATTAACTCCAGCTTCGCCCCGCCCCCGCCACCGCCCCCTCACCTGCTCTCAACGCCCCTCTCTCTTCAGTTGTGCAAGTGTATGTAAAAATGTGAGAGAAGAGAGCAACAAAAAAAAAAAAAACACTCTACGTGCGCGTAATAAAAAACGAGGTGGTCGGTGGGCGGGGGGTGGTGTAGGTGGCCCCCTCCCCAAAAAAAATACAAAATATACATACATACAGAAATCTACCTATCCGTTGGTGTTGTTGTTGTTACTTGAAGGTTTTTTCGGTGGGGGACAATCAATAAACACGAGAGCTGCGTGTGAAAAAGAGAGCGGAGAGGCAAGGAGACGAGAGGAGAGAGTGAATTGCAGGTGGAAACAGGGGGATCTTGAATGAGAGAGTGGGAGAAAAGAGTGCAGAGAGGGGGGCTTGCGCATATGATTCAAATGCCGGTTTTAAGCTCAGTTTTTTTTAGCCCCAATTATTAAGCAAGTGCTACGATCATTTTACTAATTACTTGTCCTAATCAGCAGACATTTAATTAACAAGATCAAAATCTCATTTTAAAATAAAGTAACTTGACACACAGTCGAAAAAAAACTGCAAAATGCAAGTGCTGCTTGACTTATCGACTACTATCGATAATCGGTAATTGGGTCATGGGCGCCTACTTTGCAAGATGCCAATCAGAATTTGCCCATATACTTTTAGAAACGAAAAAATTATAGCAGTTTTTGGGGTCCAGTGTAGGAGTTGCAAACAGCAAAAAATTCAAGATAAATTCAGCCGAGTGAAATATAAACAAACAAACATTTTTATTTATGCGAAATAAACTGAACAATTACATGGGCGAAAAATCATAAAACCAGTTTTTTTTAATGATGAACAAAATTAAACCATATATCATTGATAAGCATGCGCCTTGCCAAATTCCGATAAGATTGGTTTATTTTTCAATAATTTTTTTATTGGCTTAACGAGTTGCAAAAATTCGCCATAAGAAATATAAAAACTTAAGCTGTTAAAATTATTCTGAATGTTAAAATACACATCAAAAAATGTCTGTTTAAACGAAAAACAATTAATTAAACGTTAAATGGCTGAAAACCGAAAACGTTTTTTACTGTGGTAACAATTTTAAAACAATGGCTCAATAAAAGTCAAGAGTAAACAAAATCTTGTGTATTGCCCTTTTGGGATATTAATTGATAAAATACAGAAAAGGATAATTAAACACTAAAAACGCCTAATTAACTTCTCTTTTATTTAAAATAAACCGAATAATAAATCATAGATTACATGCGCTGTGCACCTTTTCAATTAGCTTAATGGCAGTAGTTTTCTCATCTTATTGACATTTTGGGTGTGTGTAGAAAACAGAAGGTATTGAAACCTCAGCAAATACATTTTTGTAAATCAAAATGTAATAACGAAATTCTGCTAAAACATCAAAGTCAATGCTCAAAACAACAACTAAAACCAACCAGTCGAAATAAAAGTAAAAATAACAAAATCAACAAAAGTAACAAATTAAATTTGGTTTTAGCCGTAAAGAGACCGAGAGAGAAGAGGAAGGAAAAAGGCCAACAAGAAGTAAGGGAAAGGAAAACCAGGCGGTGAAACAGGTGGACGCAGAAGATTCACCCACCCAACAGAAACCATCATCGCCAGCAGGTGACAGCCGAGCAGAAAGTCAGGTGAGTCTCGCTTCGAGTTCGAGTCCATTTCATTTTCGCATTTTCATTACGATTCTGCTGCCATTTCTGTTTGCCTCCCCGTGCGATTAAATATTTCACGCGCTTATCAATTGCTCAAGGGTTGGCATTGCTTGATAAACAAACACAACTAAAAAGCAAACAGAAATTAAAACAGCCAGCAAAAGTCGCCTACTTAAGCAGGCGGGAGAGCAGGTGAAGCGATCGGGGATCGGTGGGCTCGGAATTCCGAACAGATATTAAAAAAAATACGGAATAATGGAACTTTTGATAGCAGAAATATGTGCTAGTGGCCTTAGAAACCAAATATGAATAACTTGACTAACTAAATGATAAATATCTCCATTATTAGCCAGCACAGAAAATCAAAGGCTTTTTTAAAAGGAGTGCTGGCGAAAAAAGATGTTTTTAAAAATGTTCATTTTCTCGGAAAAATTACCAAAATCTAGGTGAACAGGTATACGACTGTATAAAATGTTTTAGGAAGTATTTATTGTGCAATATAAAAAAGGTTTGTCTAACCTCATTAAAGTTTAAAATAGATTTATAGATTAACGAAACTCATAATTTTTTGTTGAGGTGGTGTTTTTCATAAAAAGATAATTAGTTCCCTGATTGCTTTAGATAGTAAATATGTTGTGCTAAAATCACCTCAAGTCCTAAAGTCCTTACCCCTTGCAGTAATCCAACTATTTTTCTTCGTTTGAAATCCTCTTTTCTCCTTTTGCTAATGAAATCGCGATAACAAATTCCTCTGCTCGTCCCCGATGAGCTGTATTCGTAATTAATTCCATTCCGTTCGAAAACGGGAAGACGAGAATAAAAACCTGGCAATACAGCTGGACAACAGGCGAGAGAGACAACCATCCATCAGCGGCAAAACACACAATTCCCAGGCCAAATTCAATCCCAACTTGGGAGGGCGGGGCTGTGGGCCAAATATATGTATGTATGTATTTATGTATGTATGTATAGATGTATAAATCGGTGGCAGGACGACTTCAATGCGTATTCGATTCAATGGCCCGAGGGTCGCCACCCTTGAAAGGCCCTTATTCCGCTTATGGCTGTGGGCCCACTTCCACTTCCATTTCCATTCCCTTCTTTCATTGTCGTAGGACGAGAGCAGATTCCTGTCATGTCCTCACGTTTCCTGGACCCGCGGAGCTTATGGCCCGGCTTAGTTTCAGCTGGGATTCCTTTCGTTTATTGATTGATTCTGCTCTCCGCCAATGGGCCGAGTACCGGAGTAGAAAGTCATCAATAATATTTGTTCGGCAGTGGGAAATGTTCTAAAAATACAAAAACACATTTTGTAGTTTCGCCCCCTTAAAAAAAAACTAAATGAAAAAGTTGCCAGTCGGCTTTAAGGCATTTTTATTGACAAGAGTCCTTCCTTTGGCTTCCTTTCATGTTGCATATCCATTTTTATTTATTTTCTTTTCGGGAACCTGAAACTGGAATTGACAAGGGTGAACAGCGCGGCACGTGAAAAACTCATCATAAACTGAAAGGACAAAGGCGGCGAGAAACGCCTTTTTATTGTCCTCGTTTTTGTTTTCATTCCCTGCGATATACATCTTTTATTTCTCTTCCCCTTTATGCCAAACAATTGGCTGGGAAAATTGTTTTTCCATTTTGATTCGCAATTAATTTTGCAATCCAGAAATAGAACACATCGGGTAAACAAAAAAGGCAACACGGCGTATGCGCAATATTTGCTGTGTATTCAATTTCCACCTGGCCGAAAAACATGGAAATCAGCTTTGGAGCGCAGTCAAACTTAAGTTGATGTTATTAATTAGTTGCACAAGTTTGTGAGTTGCGGTGATAATGCCTCGCAACTCTGACGGATGTTGATAAATTATGTGTAAATACAACATTTTCATGCCCAAAGTGAGTCACACTCTTCGAAAAGTTATTGCGCATAATTTGCGTCTTCTTCAAAAAGTGGCCAACAAATTTTTGTGGCTGCCTGAATAAATAATCATAATTTTCTCCGCTGCCCACCCAGCACCCCAATCAGAGCAAAAAAAAACGAAATGAAAAGAAATATTCACACAGCAAAAATTTAATTGTTTGGCCAAAAGGAAAGAAGAAACGAACGGAACGAAAACGGCCAATAAAAGCCACGACCTTCGGCCAAGAAAAAGCGAACAAAAAATTAAATCAAACCACCCAACCCAGCCCTCCTCCTTCTTGATGTACGTTCTATATATTCGTATAGTGTGGGCAAGGGGCATCCAGATTTCTGCTCAGATTCGGGAAGCTCTTCAGCAATTCTCTTTTTTATGGCGTCGAGGCAATTCCTTCCAGCAATTAGAATGGGAAAATCGATACGAGACAGCCCCAGAAATTAGACACATTATTAGCATGTGATTTTGGGGTTTTAGGTCTTAGAATACATTTATGGTTCGAACCTTATCAAACAACCTAAAAACCATTTCTTAAATAGTTAAAAGCAGAAATGCCAAACAAATTTGTTTGTCAACTTTTTGTGTGCCAAGTGGGATTTACTTGTCGTGTTTTCCGGAAGCCTCT